AAAAAAAAAAAAAAAAAAAAAAAAAAAAAAAAAAAAAAAAAAAAAAAAAAAAAAAAAAAAAAAAAAAAAAAAAAAAAAAAAAAAAAAAAAAAAAAAAAAAAAAAAAAAAAAAAAAAAAAAAAAAAAAAAAAAAAAAAAAAAAAAAAAAAAAAAAAAAGCCAGAAGTTGGTCAAAAATTTCTTCTACATCATCATCATCAAAAGAATATTTAACCTCTTTGCGCTCTTTAAGAGTGAGCCTTTTGGGTGGGTCTTTGTTTTGGCCTTTGTCATTCTTCTTTTCTGTTTTGACAAAAGTGGCCAATGACTCTCCCTTTGCAGACTTCTTGTCATTCTTCTTCTCCCCAAATTGATTTTTTTGAGACGCGGACTTTTGGCGAGCGATTTGTCTTTCAACATTGCTCGCCTTTGACACCAAAGCATCAAATGACTGGGGTTCAGCAGTGGCAACAAAAGTTGCAATGTCTGGTATGAGGTTGTTGTAGCACATTTGTACTGCTGATTGCTCGGTAATTTTCTCCGGGCACTGAAGATTGAGGCTCCTCCATCTCATTATGAAGTCATTAGCATTTTCCCCTGGCTTTTGGGTAGTTTGAGCTAGGTCCATGATCGAGACCTTCTTCTTTGAACTGACGAATTGTGCCAAAAATGCTTTTTGCATGTCGTCCCATGTCAAGATGGAGCCTGGCGGTAGTTGTGTATACCAAGTGAAGGCTGATCCTTTTAGGGATTGGACAAATTGACGCACCAGGAGAGCGTCTGATTGAGATGTCTCGCCACATGCGGAAATAAAAAATGTGCAAGATGTTCATGGGGTGAGCTACTTATGCCATCAAATTTATCAAATATAGGCCGTTGATAACCCTTCGGGAATGGTATGGCGTCATAGTGAGAAGGGAATGGTTTTCGATACCCTGGAACAAGAGGTGCTATGGACAATTGGAACTCACGAATCCCCTCAGCAATTACGCCTTTATGTCATTTGGGGAAATTGTGCTCGTGGAGCTCTCTGCTTTTTCCCTCTTTTGTTTGTTGTTCAGGGGTCACCGATTCATTTGTTTTGCCCCTGTCTTGCTCATCTATGACATCTTTTCCTTTCAGTCGGGCGGATAGTAATGCTATTTCTGCGTCTTTCTCTGCCAACTTATGCTGCATTTCCCTTCGCAAGTCTTGCATCATTTCTTGGATTAAGGTAACTGGTCCTCAGTATTGGAAGAACCAGTCATCATGACTTGCATGCTTTCCAATCCCTCATGAAGTTTGGTCCCTTGGGATGCTATACAATCATTCTCTTGAGTCTGAGATACGGGATCATCATAGAGAGGATTCCATTGTAAATAATCATCCAAGCGAGCTGAGTTTAGACTGGATGACTCAGGAACAATCATCCCCATCATGTCTCGAGATTTAGAACGAGTCAATGGACCCACATAGGGCCTCGATTGATCTTGAGGTTTCGGGACTGTCCCTTGTGGTATGAGAATTTGACCCTTTGAAGCAACGGCTGTCTTCACCCTCTTCCTTTGTGGATGAGGTATGTTCACCACCTTCTTTTTCATGACGGTGGCTTTGCTTTTACCCTTATGAGAACAGGGGTAAACCTCTTGTAATGTGGATTCCGCAACATGAGCTCTAGGGCTTGATGAAGGTTCGGCCCCTTGGACCTCAATGTTTTCTTGAGAGTCATCCTTTTGACTTTCGTCGCTAGTTTCGTCGATGGAAGTCATCAAGGCTGAATCTGTAGGATATAAGTTGACCGGAATTGATCCAATCATGATTTGGACAAATCGGGGTAGCACTTGTCCTCTTCGGAGTCGGCACAGCCAGGGTGCTTGCGGTCTTCTCGCTTGCTGTCACCATTGAACTTGTCCCAGAGAGCTCGGACAAGATTGCCTCAATAGACTGACTCTTTGCTTCTTTCTTCCTTAAAGCACGTGCGGCCCTCTTTCTTGCGTTTCGGAAAGCATTTTTAGACAGTGTTTTCTTCAGTTGGGTTTTGACTACCTTAGGAGTGACTTGAGGTTTGGCCCTCTGAATGGGCTTTGGAACAATGCAGTTGAAGAGGCTCTCACCAACAATGAAAGTCTTCTTGAACCCCCACTCGTTTGGTGCACACATTCTTGGTAGTTTCAATCTTGTGGAAGAAAATTGTTACTTGTGGTGCCATCGTATCTGGTTTTGCTAACCTGTGGCACAAATAAAAACATTAGTTACTTTATGATTGGAGATGAAAAGGTAAATGGGTCCCACTGGGCGTGCCAAAAATTATGTTAGATATAAAACTGTAAACCTCCAAACATAATTTCACCACCACTAATTAATTAATGGGGTTTTATTATTTTAGGTTCGACCCATTCGAGACGCAAGTCTCTTAATTACAATCCCTTGCTATAAGGGAAAACCCTTTGATTCCATCATAAAGAAACAGAATGTATGTGTTTGGTTTTGCGGCTGCTCCCAAGTTCAACCTCAGGGTGCCTACGTATCCTTTACAGGAATCAAGCCACTCGTAGTTCAAAGATTTGCAATGAATAGATGACTCATTGCAAAAAGGGGGAATTTGAATGAATTTAATTGAGGAGTGTTTGAGTGAATTTGACTGAATAAGCCAGGGATTCGATATGGAGTTGTATTTGGGATGGTTGCATCTAGATTGAATCTCTAGATTGCCTACGTACCCTTTCAAAGGGATCAAACCAACGTAGTTCAGAATTGATTTGTGTGGAGATTTGATTGGTGAGAATTTGGTTGTGGTAACCAGTGATTCAAATTTGGTTGCGGTTGTGTCTATTGGGATGTTAGACTGCCTACGTACCCTTGATGGGATCAAACCGACGTAGTTCCAAAGTTTGGAGATTAATAGGCAAGTGTGGCCCAATAATTTAGAGTTGGTGTCTTTGAAACAATTTGAAGATTTTCATAGGTAGATGACCTATTGGAAATTAATGGGTAAGTGTGGCCCAATAATTTAGAATTTGTGTTTGAGATATTTGAATCTCATTAGAATTTTCATGAGTAGATGACCCACGAGAAAAATTAGAAATTAATGGGTAAGTGTGACAAATTTGGTTAGGATAAAACCAGGGATTCAAATTTAGTTGCGGTTGCGTCTATTGGGATGTTAGACTGCCTACGTACCCTTGATGGGATCAAACCAACGTAGTTCCAAATGGATTTGTGTTGAGATTTGATTAGTGAGAATTTGGTTGCGGTTGCGTCTATTGGGATGCTAGACTGCCTACGTACCCTTGATGGGATCAAACCAACGTAGTTCCAAATGGATTTGGAGATTAATAGGCAAGTGTGGCCCAATAATTTAGAGTTGGTGTCTTTGAAACAATTTGAAGATTTTCATAGGTAGATGACCTATTGGAAATTAATGGGTAAGTGTGGCCCAATAATTTAGAATTTGTGTTTGAGATATTTGAATTTAATCTCATTAGAATTTTCATGAGTAGATGACCCATGAGAAAAAATTAGAAATTAATGGGTAAGTGTGACCCAATAATTTAGAATTTGTATCTTTGAGATAATTTGGGGATTTTCATAGGTAGATGACCTATGGGAAAAATTGAAAATTAATGGGTAAGTGTGGCCCACTAATTGAGAATTTGTGTTCGAGATATTTGAATTTAATCTCATTGGAATTTTCATGAGTAGATGACTCACGAGAAAAACTGGAAATTAATGGATGAGTGTGGACAAATTTGGTTAGGATAAAACCAGGGATTCAAATTTAGTTGCGGTTGCGTCTATTGGGATGTTAGACTGCCTACGTACCCTTGATGGGATCAAACCAACGTAGTTCCAAAGTTTTTGGACCTTCAAAGGGTAAATGACCCTTTGAAAGAATTTTATGTTTGAGAAATTTGAATTTTGATCTCATTGAAAATTTGCAGGGTAGATGACCCATGAGAAAATGTGGAATGGTTTTGTACCATTTTTATTGTTAAAGTCCAAAGAAAATTAAAAGGCATTTTGATGAGCCAATTAATTTACTCACATATGATTTTGAGGATTTAAAAAATTAATCCATTAACCACATAATTTATTTGGACCACCCAATAAATATTTTGGGCTTTGAAAGTTAATGGGTAATTTGTTTTGTCAACCCATCAATTTGTTTTCGGGCCTTAACATTTATATTAGTCAGCCCATAAACAAAGAATCCATGTCAGAAAAGCTTTGAGAATCAGTTGAATTTTGAAACCGATATCTATTCGGAGTAGTAGAGATTAATCCAAACTGAATTACTCCCATCTTTATCTGGAATAATTCAAATTGATTCAAACTGGACCAAATTATATATATCTCTCTTCAGCTACTCATCTGTCACAATCACCACGGAGCTCTGGGTTTGAAACGCCAAAACCAAGGTAAATCCTTTCCTTTAGTCATGTCTGTCAGAGTAGACCATTATAGCCTATTAAACTACTAATTGAAAGTCTTGGAATTTTGAGAAGCCACGTTTGTTGTACAGAACTTTGTTTTGCTACTTTTTCCTTTCCTTTGTTTTTTGTGCTTTTCTTCTCCCTTGTCTTTTTTTGTTTCTTTTCATCTTCCTTGCTTTTGCTGGTCTCTCCATGCCCTTCCCAACTCTTTTTTTTGTTCTGACACAATAACATAACCTCAACTCCCCTTTATTTTAGAGTAGGTCCTGTAAGCCATTTCTTCTTTCTTTTCCTTATGTGCAACACGAATTGGGTTTCTTTGCCTAACACAACACGCACAAGCCAAAGAGCTATTTGTATATTTTGTTGAGTTTGGCAGTACCAACTTCATGGCTGAAGCTTCTCCCATGTTTTAATCTTAAAGTTCAGCCATGAATCCATGCTTGACCTTTTTTTTGGCTTTTTGTTGTTTCCTATGTACTTGTGGCAGACTTCCACCAAAATGGGTTTTGTCTTTATCCCATTATGTGTTTAGAGTCCTTCGGATAAAAAAAATATTCATCTTTGGTTCTGTATTGACTTGACAGGAAGGCTTCCCTTTTTCTTGGCTTATGTTGCCTTCGGGTTCTTCAACAGCCGCAACACAGGAGGCTTCTTGGTGAGCCATTCTTCCTTTTGCTTTTTTTTTGCTTGCTGATGCTTTGTGCATCCTTTTCTTTCCAATTTGATTGGAATTTCTAAGGCTTTGCATATTTTCCTTTGCAGACTCGTATCATTTGAGAGGGCCACCGTACTGCCAATTGAGGTGTTGGCTTTGCTTTGTCTCAGTTGCTTCATGTTTTGCCAGCAACAAAGTGAGAAGCTTTTATGATATTTGCATTTTGCTACAGAGGAGTGTTGGCTTGATAATTTTCGTGGGCTGTCCGACTTGGGATTTTTTCCTTGTTGGCAAACTTTGAAGCACAGAACGTGGGTGTGAATCATCAGCTTTTGTAAGCTTTCTGTCACTCAGTAATTTCTGCATCTCCTTTAATATGTTTTCTTCTGTTTATGCCAATCTGTGAGACTAAAACAGGATTGTTGATTTCTCCATTTGCAGCACGCTTCGCCATCTTTTTGTCTTCCAATTTGCAGACTTGGAATTTCGTTGTGCTGAAGGTGGGTTGGGCACAAAGCAGTTGGGATTTTGATGTTTTCTGTTTTTGGTACTCAAGAACACTCGCAAGGTCTTCTTTGAGTACCACAATGTGCCTGTGGACACTCACAAGGTGTTCACAGCACTTGTACAGTGGGGTTCTTGCGGAAGCCCATCTGTAATTCACAACAGAGAGGTCCTTGTGAGAGCTCTCTTTGTGTAAGTAGCACAATTATTGCCAATTTGGGAGGATTTGTTCACATTTTTCCACTGCTGAGGTCTCTGTTGATATGATACACTTCTTGATATCAAACATGGAGGAAGTTCAGGCTTCCGTCACAAGGTGTTCACAGCACTTGTACAGTGGGGTTCTTGCGGAAGCCCATCTGTAATTCACAACAGAGAGGTCCTTGTGAGAGCTCTCTTTGTGTAAGTGGCACAATTATTGCCAATTTGGGAGGATTTGTTCATGTTTTTCCACTGCTGAGGTCTTTGTTGATATGATACATTTCTTGATATCAAACATGGAGGAAGTTCAGGCTTCCGTACAATGGCTTCACATGCATTTTTTGCTTTACCTGTAAGTCAGTTGTACATAAAAGGATACTCAAATGAATTTGTTTATACCTTCTCAATGATATTGTGACAGAGCTTCGTATCTCTTTTGCTTGTTTCTGTTCTTTGGATTTCTGCAGCCGTGTTCTTTGGATTTCTGCAGCAGTTCGGTGTCTTTTCCTTTTTTTCCTTCTGCCTCTCTTTGGTCCCTTTTTATAGACCCAGAGGAACTGACAGAGTGGGATCAGTTAAGGCCTCACGTACTGTGTGGGTGGGAGTAACTTCCCATTACAGTCACCCCCTCAACTCCACACTTCACAGTCACGTACATGAAACTGTTTCTGCTTTCAATATATTAATATTTCCTTGTAAAAAATATCAATATTAATTCATTTGGGCCTAAACCAATTTAGTAACAAGTCCACAGAATCATTTTTAGCTATGGGCCCGACTTCTTTAAACTTGGCCAATATTTAATTTGCTGTCAATGAATTTTTTTATTTCAACAGTCATATGGAGGAAATTTTGTTTCACTTCGTAAATAACAGAATTGGCTCATAAAAAAAGTACATGGCGTGATGAGATTGATGCTAATTAAATCATGTCCAGCATTGCTTGCAAGTTGCATGTAAAACAACTTAATAACTTCGAGTTTATGGTTTGATAATGTGATTACCAACTTTTTTCAATTTTTCATAGTTTCATCTCACCTTATTATAGGCTGAGAGATTATTAACAGGAAAAAGAAAAAGTGTGAACGTTTCCAAAGTTGCATATGAATGATTTCTGAATACATTATCAGGCACTTTCGGTTCAGGTTTATTGCACCAGATTCATTCAACTTAAATGCTGCAGTTTGCCTCCTTTACAGAGATGTACAATTGACAAGTAATACAGTGGTTCGTTCCCAATATGTAGCACAATTGTATTTTAGCCATTTGAACTCTGTTTTCTAGTTCATTTCTGATCCTTTCATTTCATGTGGTCAGATTCTACATCAAACACTCACATTCAATTCTTTTAACCCCTGTGATATACTGTTGCCTAAGATGAAAACCACAAACCAGCAGATCCCATCTTGGTTGAGAGCATTGCCAGGGACTTCCATATACACTCCAATACAGGTAAGTGTTTCTCGAGACATGTCATTTGAGGGTATCAATAAATTAAAAAGGAAGTTCACTGGAAAAAATAGATAAATGAAAAAGAAAGCAAAACCCGACTTCCACAAGACACTATCCTCAGTTGGATCATACTAGTTTGTAAGACAATAGCCGCTGCAAGTTAAACCAGAAGCTGAAGTGCTCAGGATCTTGTAGTGAAGGCATCATCGCTTCCATGTCGAGAAGTCTCTCAAGTTGTCTTCGATTTGTAAAGAGATACTATCATACATCAAAAGGGCACATAGGGATACTGAACACAAGAATAGGGAAAGAAACCATTCTTATGTACACTGACATTACATATAGACTGAAAATTTTCGTGGCTTGAATAAAGACAAATTGTCACAAGTAAATACGATATGCTGATCTAGAGATAAAGATCCTCCCAAATGTTCCAAGCATAAACTTCCTAAAGATGAAATCTGAACATGACAGACATTTCAGCGGAACAAAAGGACTAATCTTTCATTTCCAACCATTACAACTGACCATCAAATTGAAACATGCAATCTTAGTCAGGCAGTAATATTCACCCAAAATAAAAGAAAATCTGAGTCAGGATATTTGTAATGGTCATCCAACTATACATATATATATATATATATATAAATCCATGTGTAATTATATATTAAAAAAAAAAAAAAAAAAAAAAAAAAAAAAAAAAAGGTAAGTAATAAAGCTACAGCCAGCTGGAGTTAGAAAAGGCAAGAAAGATTTTAATATCTTCTTACCTTAAGTTTATTAGAATAAAGGTAAGGGAAAAAACAAAAACAGAACTTGCGTTTTCTCGTGAAATGACGTTTCGTTTCATCATAAAAAAAAAAAAAAAAAAAAAAAAAAAAAAAAACAAAAATCGTCTTCCTCAGTTGTCTTCCTCACAGCCAATTTGCAGACTCGCAAAATCTCTTCCGGATCAGAAGGTTCCAGAGCTAGTGATTCCTTGCTCCGCCTGGATACGCCTTGTAACGCCTCCTCACGCCTTCACCCGCGCTAAACGTACAACTCGCGAAACAGCCGACCGCCTCGGGCGATTCCCTGCCGCCTCGCTCCGACACGCGCCAAGGCCTGCCTTTGAAAACACTGGTTGGGACATTCAAATAGCTATGAATTATTTTCTTTTGCTTTAGATTCGAAAAATCTGCCTAGGCGGGTCTAGGCGGTGGCTAGGCGGTGGCTAGGCGGGTCTAGGCGGTGGCTAGGCGGGTCTGGGCGCCTGGGCGGTTTTTTTTTTTTTTTTTTTTGACTTTAAAAACCTCATGCTGTTGCTTCCTTCTCTCTCACGAGTCGATCACCACCCCAGGCCACGACGACCCCTTGCTCACACCCCCGACCCTTTCCGTAATGGAACTATGAACATCTACTAGAGAGATAGTGGATGTGATGTGACTAGGTAAGTCAAATGCCTAAGCATATAAGCTTCACCTTCACTATCTTATGGCCCAAAAATTTCCTTAAGAAGTATGCATATCAGGGCAAATGACACAGTTGTCTGAGACTAGTCATAATTCTTGAAGCCAAGTTTCAGCTGGGGTGTTCTTGACTAGAAAGGGCAGGTCTGGTGTTAATGCTTTTACTTTGAATCCTCGATCGAGAAGCGGCTTCAGGATTCTGTATCCACTTCCTGAATCCAATGCTTTTTGATAGGATCATCAAGCACCCTTCAGGATTGAATTTTAAGAGATTGTCCGTGGTCATGACTTCTCTTTTGCCAAACTTGGTTGCTGGTGAAAACAATATCATGTAGAACTGAGCACTGCATCCATGGTTGAGGAACTCAAGTACTCGACCGTGAAACTGCTCTGTTAAATTGTTTGAGTTGAGTATCTGCAGTTCCGGGAGCTTGCCCTTTTGTGACATTTTCTGGAGGAACCAGAGGACCAGGAACTTCCTCTGCAACTTCATCTATCTTTGTCTGTACGTTATGCATCTTAGTAGCCAATAAGATGTATTTGATTGTTTTGTGTTGAGAGGAATGTCTTATACTTGGGCTTTTGGACAGGATTGGAGGCCATGCAGCTTCTGTCTTGCTTAAACCTGAGTAACAACGAGCTCGGTAGTTTAACTGCTCTGGGGCCGTTGAGACTGTTGAAGTCACTGCAATGAGATAGGCTCACACACTATTGACACGACAAGGTATCTATGTTCTACACCTCTTTCCAATACAGAAGAAAGTAGTTGGAACAGTGACGAAATTGTGACTGGGAGTGCCAGTGTGAAAGATAATTGGGAAGCTGTTCTGATATTTAAAAGCTTGAGCTTGACACAATATTTTAGCCATTGTGGGAAATACAATTTCTGGTGAAAACTTCCAAGTCGCTTTTGATCAAGTTAGTTCCTACACTTGAGTGGCTGGATGGTGTTAAATTGCATTGGCCTTTAATTCTACGTCTATTTTACAGTTAGCAAAAACACTATACTTTGTTCGATACAGTGGTTTAAATTTTTGTTCTAGTGAAAATGGAGTTTTGTGTTTTCATGAATATGGGCTGCATGGAATGGTGTTTCCTTTGGATTGACGGTAAAACTGGAGTAACACAGGGAAAAAAAAAGGGCGGTGGTGTTGGCAAATTTTGATTGAAATTGTTAGGTAATTATAGAGTAGTGACCAAAATTTCTAAAATTATTATCTTATTACAGAGTAGCGACCATATTTGTATTAACCTTATATAATTATTTGTATTTATATTGGTCCTTGTGACTGACGACTTTTGGCCTGAATTATGAATTCAAAATTATCAAAGAAATCACTTTACACTTTTGACCAACACAGAGAGACTGCCTAGAAACAAATACTAAATAGTTAAAGGAAAAAAGGCATTATTAGACCAAATAGCATTAATGTGATTTTGACCCCAAAATGGCATAATCATCTCATCTCCACCACCAACCCCTACCCCCATACGCTGTTCTTGGGGGTTCTGAACATGACAGACATTTCAGCGGAACAAAAAGTTTAACCTAGTAAAACTAATCTTTTATTTCCAAACATTACGATTGACCACCAAATTGAAACATGCAATCTCAGTCATGCAGTAATATTCACCCAAAATAAAAGAAAATCTGAGTTAGGATATTTGTAATGGTCATCCAACTAGAGGACTACGATATTTAACTTATGGAGATAACCCATTAAAATAACAAAAAAGAAGGTAAATTCCCAGTTCATTCACTAGATGTCATTCCTGAGCATTTTACCTTGACGCGCTGCTCTTTTACCCCGCCCTATCCATAACCGAACATACTCTGATGCATTATTTGTCAATTCCTGTAGTTGTACAGATATAAAAGTTAAACCATAATAGGAGCAACCAAAATGAGGCCGAAAAACATGGAAGAACTTTGTCCTGCATCTACCTACAGTGATGCATGCTGGCTACTAAGACATTAGCTACAGGGCCTTTTAGCAATGGCATTATTAGACTTAATTCAATGACAACTATAATACATATATGAATATTTAAGATTTTTCAATTCGAAAATTGATAGCATGAGACGACAAGAATCTTCTTCAAGTTGGGACCAATTTTTTGAAAGGCGAGGCGTTGATGCAAGGCGTTTTAGTCATGTTATGCAAGGTGTAAGCCTTTTGAATATTAATGTATTTTAATAAGAAAAATTTATGAATAATACAATACAATTAAATTGTACAATTAATTCTTATTGAACCATAACAATCTTTTAAATATAATTAAATATAAGTACTAATTGTCATTCAAAGCATAATAATCAATCCCAAAACATAAAATATTTATTCAACATCAAAAGAAAAACATAGTTCACTCATCCCACTCCTCAACATGAATATCATTCAAACTAGCATCACTATTATATTGATCAACTGTATCAAAATGATATTTCCCACTATCAAATGTTGAAGGATCTTTATCTCTCTCATCATCTTCATTCACAAGCATCGTTCTTATGGACTTGCTTTTGACTTTCCTCTTATCTGTACGTATGAATAATGAATTAAAATAAATAAATTAATGGTAATAAATTAAACACTAATTGTAACTTTCTTTATATATTTAGAAAAAAAAAAAAGGTTTAACCTAGTAAAACTAATCTTTCATTTCCAACCATTACAACTGACCACCAAATTGAAACATGCAATCTCAGTCATGCAGTAATATTCACCCAAAATAAAAGAAAATCTGAGTCGGGATATTTGTAATGGTCATCCAACTATACTATATATATATATATATATATATATAAGTCCATGTGTTAATATATTAATTTAGAAAAAAAATAAAAATAAAGGTAAGTAGAATAAAGCTACAGCCGGCTGGAGTTAGAAAAAGGCAAGAAAGATTTTAATATCTTCTTACCTTAAGTTTATTAGAATAAAGGTAAGGGAATAAAAAAAAACAGAACTTGCCCTTTTTTTGTGAAATGACGTCGTTTCATTTAAAGTTTTAAACACTGAAATAGAAACGACGTCGTTCCGTTAACCCTTAAAACAAGCGCTATCGTCTTCCTCAGTTGTCTTCCTCACAGCCAATTTCAGACTTGCAAAATCTCTTCCGGTTCAGAAGGTTCCAGATCTGGTGATTCCTTGCTCCGCCTGGATACGCCTTGCAATGCCTCCTCACGCCATCCCCGCCCTAAACGTGCAAATCGCGAAACAGCCGACGGCCTCGGCCGATCCCCTGCTGCCTCGCTCGCACGCATGCGAAGGCCTGCCTTTGAAAACACTGGTTGGGACATGCAAATAGCTATGAATTCTTTTCTTTTGCTTTAGATTCGAAAAATCTGCCTAGGCGGGTCTAGGCGGTGACTAGGCGGGCCTAGGCGGGCCTAGGCGGTGACTAGGCGGCCTAGGCGGGTCTAGGCGGTGGGTAGGTGGGTCTGGGCCCCTGGGCGGGTCCTTTTTTTTTCTGACTTTAAAAACCTCATGCTGTTGCTTCCTTCTCTCTCACGAGTCGATCACCACCACCAGGCCGCGACGACCCCTTGCTCACACCCGCGACCCTTTCTGTAATGGAACTATGAACATCTACTAGAGAGATAGTGGGTTCTGCTACATGTGATGTGACTAGGTAAGTCAAATGCCTAAGCATATAGGCTTCACCTTCACCATATTATGGCGCAAAAATTTCCTTAAGAAGTATACATATCAGGGCAAATGACACAGTTGTCTGAGACTAGTCATAATTCTTGAAGCCAAGTTTCAGCTGGGGTGTTCTTGACTAGAAAGGGCAGGTCTGGTGTTAATGCTTTTACTTTGAATCCTCGATCGAGAAGCGGCTTCAGGATTCTGTATCCACTTCCTGAATCCATGCTTTTTGATAGGATCATCAAGCACCCTTCAGGATTGAATTTTAAGAGATTGTCCGTGGTCATGACTTCTCTTTTGCCAAACTTGGTTGCTGGTGAAAACCATATCATGTAGAACTGAGCACTGCATCCATGGTTGAGGAACTCAAGTACTCCGTGAAACTGCTCTGTTAAATTGTTTGAGTTGAGTATCTGCAGTTCCGGGAGCTTGCCCTTTTGTGACATTTTCTGGGGGAACCAGAGGACCAGGAACTTCCTCTGCAACTTCATCTATCTTTGTCTGTACGTTATGCATCTTAGTAGCCAATAAGATGTATTTGATTGTTTTGTGTTGAGAGGAATGTATTATACTTAGGCTTTTGGACAGGATTGGAGGCCATGCAGCTTCTATCTTGCTTAAATCTGAGTAACAACAAGCTCGGTAGATTAACTGCTCTGGGGCCGTTGGGACTGTTGAAGTCACTACAAGTGTTGGATATCTCATACAAAAACACTATACTTTGTTCAATACAGTGGTCCTATATATATACATGTTACATGTTCTAGTCTTTCCCCAGTCACGTTTATGTTGTCGGTACAGATTTGACTGTGGAATCGAACAGTTCAAGTGCAAGCTTCCCATTAAATTTTTGTTCTAGTGAAAATGGAGTTTTGTGTTTTCATGAATATGGGCTGCATGGAATGGTGTTTCCTTTGCATTGACGGTAAAAACTGGAGTAACACAGGGAAAAAAAAAAGGGCGGTGGTGTTGGCAAATTTTGATTGAAATTGTTAGGTAATTATAGAGTAGTGACCAAAATTTCTAAAATTATTATCTTTATTACAGAGTAGCGACCATATTTGTATTAACCTTATATAATTATTTGTATTTATATTGGTCCTTGTGACTGACGACTTTTGGCCTGAATTATGAATTCAAAATTATCAAAGAAATCACTTTACACTTTTGGCCAACACAGAGAGACTGCCTAGAAACAAATACTAAATAGTTCAAGGAAAAAAGGCATTATTAGACCGAATAGCATTAATGTGATTTTGACCCCAAAATGGCATAATCATCTCATCTCCACCACCAACCCCTACCCCCATACGCTGATCTTGTGGGTTCTTCATGCCCATGAGCCATGGATCCCTCTGCATCGTCTCTATACTGTTAGTTTCGAAAGCCTACCTCTCCATTCAATAATATGTTGTTGTAGCCATTAGCAGTCCTGTTGGTTCTACTTGGACTTGTTTGTTCTCCTCCTCCTAATTCAGAATCTTAATTTTGACGCGAATGTCCTTCAAGCTTTGGTCAATCAGCCAATGCAGATCATTCAAAGAAACCATGTTCAAACTGTGGAGGGACTTACCAGTCAGACTCTGGAATAGCACCCTTGTCATCTCCTTTTCCCTGTTCTCCTTCCTTTGTTTCTTCAGTTGTTCGTTGGCTTTCTCAATCCTTTGCCCCAGAAGACTTTCTTGGTTCACCATCTTTCTGCTTTGTTCCATCTCCAGCATGGTCTTAAATTTTTTAAGAACTTGTTGCACTTGGAGAGAGGATGGCCAAATCTCATGTTGAGAATGATATAGGCTATAGATTATGGCACATGCTGGAAGGTTGTTGAGTTCACTCACTTTCTTCATCAGATCCTACTTCATTTTCTTGAATGTTGTTTCTCTAGTTGAGTAATTACTGATGTAGGTTGGTTTCACCTTCTTTCTAGTCATGGCTCTGAGAGAAAATGAAATGAAAAATGCAAACTAGTAAAAAGATGATGCAATTGCGAGTTTTCTTAAGAGGAGAGCCTATGCTATATATAGAGTAGGAATAGGGCAACCTAATGAATTCTTAGAGATTACGTTTTGAATGAGAATTAAATGTGGGGATATGTTTTTCTTTTTTCTTTTTTAATACAAACGGATATTACAGGAGGGGAGAATGAACATTCCACTCCAAATGGGGGAGATTTGTTATTTTATCATAAGGGGAATGGATAAAAAAGCTAAACATGAATGGGGATGAGAATGACATACGCACCTCTGATTTGACCCATTACATACCTTTTCTAAAGACAAATTAACTTATAAATGTACAGATGCATCTGCTATTGAATTGATTAATTTTGGGCATGTTTGGATAAGGGATGATTTGGGGTGTGGATTTGGAATTCAGTCCCTAAATCCAAATTCAGTTATTTGGGTCTGCATATTGGTTTTGGATCTAGGCCAAATTTGTGTTGTTTTATTTCATGGCATCATCTTCTTTTAATCCCAACAATATGTTAGATAAGGGTAAAGCAGCAAATGACCCATTAGTGTAATGATTTGGAGTATTTATTCTCTCAATCAAGGTCATGGGTCCTAGCATCCGTGTAGTGTGTATGAGTTGAGTATACTATCGCCTCTCTCAATAGGAAAGGTCCTAATTTTTTTTTAAAAAAAAAGAAAAAAGGTAAAGCACCCATCATAAGAGATCCTAACATGTTACCTTAGCCAAAAATATGTTCCTCCAAGCTAATCTTTACATGTTGTTCACCCTCATCTATCCCGTCATATAGATGCAAAACAAAATTCTCATGCTTTACTTGAACTATTAAATTATGGTCTATTTCATCTATCTAAAGCTGAATTTTTGCCTATTCTCACAAATCTCCTCTTGGATTGCCTGTTTACTATTTAAAGCTGAGTCAAAATGCCCACGTCAACGCAATGGCCACTAGTCTGGTCCAATTACACGCATTTACTTATTGGGTTTACAACAGTCATAAATGACATAAAAAAAAATACAACAATAATATAGTGTTTAAATGTAGATGGTTCACTAAGTGGAAGATATCTCAAGTTCGAACCCTCATGACATCTTAGTTGTGTGCGTGTGCGTGTGTGTGTGTGAGAAACTCATTTCCCCTGTAGTTTAGACTATCACTTGTACTAAAGAAGTTCAAAAAGTGACAAATTATGACTGAGGTGCCAATGTGAAAGATAATTGGGAAGCATATCCTTGGGGCTCTTGGGCTTTGGAGAAATTTAATTACAAATTTATAAATAAACCCAATCCTAGACATGTATTTATAAAAAAACCCACGCACTATTTAAAGATAGAAACACACCCAAAATCAACCCCAAAGTCAACTTTTTGGGTGTGTTTATAAATGGGTTTTGAGTGTGTGTAATGATGGGTTTTGGGTGTGTTTATAAAGTGTTTTGGGTGTTGGGTTTTTTTTATAATTTCAACCTCCATTTTGGGTGTTTTAGTGAAACTCCCAAATTTAATTCACATAACCAAACAAAAATAAGTAAATTTTTTTTTTTCGTTTTTGACATATCCTTTCAATTTATATTTGAATGAAATAAGGTTTATAACTGCCGTGATTTGAAAATTGCACAAAATAATTTAAAATAATTAATTACTATTTATAGAGTAATTCAAGAAATAAGTAACATATTTAAAAATTCACTAAAGAAATAATAATTAAAATATAATTACTAATTAAAGCAATTTAAAAAGCTAAGATATTACTTAATTACATATATTAAATTAAAGAAGTTTGTCAAAAAACAAAAGTAAAGAAACTAATTCTATATTTTTAAAATTAAAACAAAAACACCTCTCCGGACGAACCCAAGACCCAGTCTATGATGATCAAATATTAATTATTATGTATATATAGTTAATTACTATTTAATTAAGAAGTTTATGAAATTAATTAAAATATTTAAATACTAATTATTCACTAAATAAATAGTAACTAATAGCTTATTACAAATTACATTAATTAAATAATATTAAGATATTACTCAATTAAAAATATTAAGTAATGAGAAGAAAATTAAAAAAAAATTAATTACTATTTATTAAGTAATATAATTTATGAAGTTAATTAAAATATTTAATACTACTTATTTCAATAAAGAAATAATAATTAAAAAGCAATTACTAATGAAAGTAATTAAAGAAGGCTAAGATATTATTTAATTACAAGAAAAAAGTTTTAAAAAGTTATTGACCTAAAGATACTAAGTTTATATTTATTTATTTTTTTAAAACGTCTCTTGACAAAATTTTGTCGGCACAAGTATATGCCAGTGAAAGTTCGCAGGATTAGACTTCTCCAGACAAACTTTCGTCGGCAAAGGTAGCTTTCATTGAGAGAGATCTAATCCGGTAAATATTTGCCAGGCTAGACATCTGCTGACGAAATTTTGTTAGGAGAGTTGTTTTTGCTTATTTTTTATTTTTTAAAAATTACATAAAGAGAAATCCAGATTTTGCTATTTAAATGATATATCTGTGAGGCTAGATTGTTGAAATATTATATAGTATATAGGGTTTAGCCGCACGACTATATTTTTAAAATATTCGGCTATATTGTATATTTTAAAATATGTATAATATGTATAGTATGTAGCTCTTCGACTATACTTTTAAAATATTCTATTTAAAGGGTATAGCCGCGCGACTATAATTTTAAAATATTCCATTTATAGAGTGCGCTTAGGTTTTTGGGAATATTTATGCCTTGTTCGTGTGTTGAATTTGTATGAGCAGTGATATAAAGAGGTTGCTTTATCTTTTTAGGTTCCCTTTGTGATATTTTGTTATATATATTCGAATATTTAAATATTATAGTCGTGCGGCTATACTCTTTAAATATATTATGTTTTAATTATTATTTAATATAAAAAAATAAAAAAACAAAGTCCACAAAATAATTAATTACGATTTATTAAGTAATTTATGAAATTAGTAAAATATTTAAATATTTACTAAAGAAATAATAATTAGAACATAATTGCAAATTTAAAAAAGGCTAAGATAATTAATTAATATATATATATTATAGAATTGAAAAAAAAAAAAAAAAAAAAAAAAAAAAAAAAAAAAAGTAAAGAACTAATTTTATATTTTTAAAGAAGCAAAAACACATTTCCTTATGACATTTCGTCGGCACAGGTCTATACCTGGCAAATATTTGCCGAATTAAATCTCTCCCGATGAAATAACCTCTGCTGACGAACTTTCGTCAGGATTAGAGCAAATGTCGTCGGGATAGACCTGTTTCGACGAATATTCGTCGGGAGAGTTTTTTTCCCAAATAAATATAAACTTAGTACTTTAGGTCAATAATTTATTTATTTTTTAAATTTATTTTCAGTAATTAAATAATATGTTAGCATTATTTAATTACTTTCACAAGTAATTATGTTTTAATTATTATTTATTTAGTGAATAATTAGTATTAAATATTTTAATTAACTTCATTAATTATATTACTTCAAAAATAGTAATTAATTTTTAAATTTTGTCCTTTGATAAAATATTTAAATACTAATTATTCACTAATTAAATAATAATTAAAACATAACTACTAATTAAAGTAATTTAAAAGAGAAATCCGGATTTAGCTATTAAAAGGGTAAAGCCGTCCGGCTGAACCTTTCAAATATTGTATGTGTGGCGTATAGCCGTGTGGCTCTACTTTTAAAATATTCATTTCTCACGGCTCTAGCCACCCGGCTATACTATTAAAATATTCCATTTATAGAATGCGCTTAGGGTTGAGGGAAGATTTATGCCTTGTTCATGTGTTGAATTTGTATGAGCAATGATACAAAGAAGTTGCTTTATCTTTTTAGGTTCCCTTTATCATATCTCGTTATATATATATTTGAATTTTTAAAGATTATACCCTTCCGGCTATACTCTTTTTTTTTTCTTTTTTTTAAAGTCCACAAAATAATTATATTTATTAAGTAATTTATGAAATTTGTAAAATATTTAAATATTCACAAAAGAAATAATAATTAAAACATGATTACTAATTAATGAGTATAGCCATGCAGCGATACCTTATTTAAAGAGTATAGCCGAGCGGCTATACTTATGAAAATATTATGTATATAGAGTATAGCCGCACGGCTATGCGTTTGAGACTCCAATATAAGCCCATACAACTGATATCCCTTAGACACAAACCCATCTATCTATATAACTACGTTGAAAACCCAAATTCAAATTTAAATGACCAGTAGGATATAAGAGGTCGTAGTATTTCTATGTTTTTACATCGTTGCCACTAAACTTCATATTTTATTTATAATTTATTTCAAGCATTTCATTAACTGCCATAATTGTAATTAATATACTCCCTATTAATAGCATATCAATCACCCCATTTCTTTTAGTTGTCATTCCCTCTCACATCTCGCCCCTAAAAATTGTAAAATAAAAAAAAAAAAAAAAAAAAAAAAAAAATGTAAATTACATATCCAATAATGTACCTATGAAAAAAATAATATAAATATATACATATAAAATATAGGTATATTATTTACCCACAAAATAAAAAAGTCAGTTACTTTGTAATTGCGTATATTTTTCATAATTAAAAATAGGTACACAATAATTTATATAAAATATAGGTACATTATTTGAAGAGGAAAGATAGGTACATTATTAGAGGAAAAAAATTGGTAAGTTATTTGGAGAGAGAAAATAGGTTCATTTAAAAAAATTATGTTTGATAAAACAAATAATGGGTACTTTATTCAGAGAAAAAAGGCTATATTATTTATAGTAAAAAATAGGTACATTATTTAGATAAATAATAGGTACTTTATTCGTAGTAGGTATATTATTCAAATGGTAGGTACATTGGATGACATATAATACCTAAATCCTAATTGTAAGTACATTAAAATTAATGTAGGTATATTGGAATAGATAATTATGTACACTTTTCATACTAGGTAAATTATATTTTTCATAAAACAAATAGGTACATTATTTTTTCAACATAATTAGTATGTACAGTTTTATTCATAAACAATTATAAAGTGGATTATTAGTCATGTATAATTCATAAAAAGAAAATAACATAAACATTTTATTAAACAAACCAATTACCCAAATTTGAATTTATTGTTAAATTTTTTTAAAATGTTCCAAAATTAATTCCTACATCTATTACAACCATTTGGAGATATTTCCAAATTCAACATCTGTCATTATATACAATCCAATTAAAAACTGTTTCCATATTGATTCCTACATTAATATACAAAATGCAATAATGGCTTAGTTGGGGGTATTTTTGGAATCTGAAAAGTACAATAAATCAGATTTTATGCTTAATAGGTAACTTGCTGAGTTGGATCCTAGTCATGGGTTTTTACTTATACAAATTGGGTATTATTTATAGGAACAAAAAGTGAAGGGTTTTAGGTATGGCAAATTGAATTTAAAGGGTGTAAGCCAAATTTACTATAAAATATTCCATTTATACAATATAGCCACGCGGCTATACTTTTAAATATTCTATTTATAGAGTGCGCTTAGGGTTGAGTGAAGATTTATGCCTTATTTGTGTGTTGAATGTGTATGAGCAGTGATATAAAGAGGTTGCTTATGCTGGAAAATTTAGTGTGACCATGCCATAATTGGGAACGAAAAGTTAAGCAAATTATCACTCATATTAAAAAAGAAACAATCAATGATTTTACCTTTTTTTTTCTTTCTAAGAACTGTGCAGAATTTTGGCCTGAAGAAACATATATCTATGTTCAAACAATATCATTCAAATCTAATTATTTTTCTTTTTTCTAAGAATTGTCCTACCTTTTAAATTCCTTATATTCACCTTAGTTAAGATGAAAATCCTATCCAAAAGAAAGAAGTTAGACCAAAATAATATATTTTTATGTAAATAGTAACATAGTACAACAAATATTTCCACAATGCGCCAACAATAAAAATATGGATTTTTATGTAGACTTATCCTTTGAGGTGCCCTTTGTGAAAATCTCACATCGATAATCCGCACTTTTATAAAGGTGTATATAAACAAAGCACTATGATGTTTTGGTAAGTTTGGTTAACATTGGAGAGTTGGGCTGATGGGCTTGATAGGGTCGGCTTTGGATTTGGCTTCGATTAATAATAATTATATTAATCTACTAAATTAAGGATATTTATTTCCTAAGTTAATTAGGTGATTTACTTCCTTATTTCATATAGTTAACACATCCTTGTATAATTAGGAGATATTCTCCTAATTAATTACTATATCTATTTTCTTGTAAAGCATCCTCATAAACTCTTATATATCTCCTTATGGAAAAGAATACAATTAACATAAATTATTCAAACTTTTTTTATATTTTTTTTAGTACAAGCGATTGGAGAAAGAGGGGGTTTGCACAAGTACTCATTCGATGCATGGGGTTTCGAACCTCTGCCCATATAAATAGAAGTAAAAGCGCTCAACCAACTAAACTATACCCAATGACAATCATACTTTGACCATCAAATGGTTACCAACACAAACAAACACAAAAACTAGAATACCACACACAACAAAGCTGAAAAGATAAAACTCCTTTAAAAGTCTAAATTATGCCAAGTGTGCATGCATTAATTCTTGAGAGAGTAATAGCAATAGGATATGGAAGAAAAAAAATTATGTTAAATATACCATAATTTAATTAAAATACTTAGAGTCTAGACCCTAACGCCTCGTTTGGGTCATGGAATGAATTTGAGAGGAAATCATTTCCCATGTCATTCCCCAAGGAATGAGAATGGAAGATTCATTTACCACGTTTGGTAATTCCGGGAAAGTAACCAAGAAATATCACTTTATTTCCTTTCCCATGTTTGTTTTGAGTATGAATGGAAAACAAAGATTGTATAAATTTTCAATTATACCCATATTAAATCAAATAAAAAAGAATGCATTTAATGATATAATGTAATTCTAAATTGTTAATGGGGATACAATGGTCATAAAAAATATTTATTTAATGTTAGCTCATTTCCCCAAACTTTACCATGTGGAGGGAAAACAAAACCCAAGTTGGGAGGATGACTTCACTTTCCCCCATACTTTCCCATGAGCCAGATAACGATTTCCCTTACCTAGACTTACCAAATATGGGAAAGCAATTGATTTCTCATTCCTAAGTCTCCTTTCCCATGAACCAAATGGGGCATAAACCCTCTTTTGTAACAACAAATAAAAAAATAAAACTCTTTATCTGACTGAATACAGGATTGTTTATCAACGGTGTGTTAGTTGGATTGACTTAAATTTTTGGTGCACTCCCAAGTGGTCCTCGGTTCAAGCCCTCATGGTGCCCTTGTGTGTAAGTTTCCTACCTCCCCTTTCTATCTTGGACAACCAAAAAAAATCTTTGTTCTAAAAAATTAGAACACAACTCCAATACCAACTCAAATAAATTGGTGGAATACAAATCTAATTAATTGGGTGTCTGATAGAATCACTCAAAATAACAAAGTGAGAATAAAAAACCTTTCTCAAGTGTAATTAATTGGTGCAATACAACTCTTAATCTCTTTATCATAAAATTGAATTACTATTTTTTATTTATAGATTATTAAAATTATTCATGGTTGAGCTTTTATTCGTTATTAGGTCTACTTTTAGGATCCAAATTCACCTTGGGTTGGCGCTTCCCAAACTTACCTGAATTGAATGCCGCTACCAAAAACGCACAAAATTACAGATTTTGGGGGCACACAACGTAAGAGAACCTAAACAATCGCCATCTCTAAACCCAAAATCACGCACTCAGTTTTGCCTCTGTAGACTGCAGTACACCCAGCCAAACGCTAAATTCATTCGCTCTCTTTACTTTGCGTCTTCCATGGAAGCCCTTGCAAGCTCTGCGTTTGTCCCGGAGACGCACCCAGTTCTTCACAACCCTACTTCAATCAGAACACCAAATAAGCGAAGTGGGTTTCTCAAAATCAGTCAAAGTTCTCATTTTGTTGGGCTTCGGGTTCAAGCTCTCTCAGGGGAGGCTTCTGGGTCCGGTGACAGTGAAGAGATCAGGCCCTTGAATAATGGGTTTGGTTTAGTTTCTGAAGAGATTCGCTCTTTGTCTCAGGTATGTGTTTTTCAACTGTCTACATATGCTTGTTTGTATATTAATCTGCAATTGTGTGTGCATTTTTTTTATTTATAGTTTTAATAAATCCTGTTTGGTTGCTATGCAGTTGTGGAAACTGAAAATGTATGGAAATTGAATGTTAGTTGTTGATATTGATTTTAGTTTTCTTATGTGTAAAACTTTTAAACATTTGTGATCAAAGGAAAAGTAAGGAATTTGACATGTATTGGAACCGTTTTATTGGTTTTGCTGAAAAATCAGCAATCTTTATGAAGAAAGAAACCTGTCAAGTATACTTAAATTTTGAGATAAATCCTTGATATTCTGAGAAATAGACCCAGCAATTTATATCAGCAAGGAGGTGTAACTGAAAAGAAAAAAACATCAGCAAGGACTAGTTAAAGTGCTGCAAGTGCAACAATATCTGAACACTCTCAGGTTCCTCCCAACCATAGGTGATACAGCAGATTGGCCCAAAACAGCAAGACGACCTAGTGGAGTGATAACATTTCACAAAGTGCATTTAGCCAATTCACAATCCATGATTGAGACTGAGAATTCAACTTAAAACCTTCAATTGCATTCCTCCAAAACCTACTATCAAAACTACATTCAGAAAGTAGGTAAGCTCGGGAGACCATAGAACATTGCCTCGCCAACCCTAACTCACCATCCTTTGTCTTGTAGTTAAATGATTTTTAACATCTAACTGAGCTTCAAACGATGCTTGTGAATAGAATCTTGATCAGAAGGTAGTCTTTAACAGGTCTATTATTTATAGCTTTGGTGTGGAATTATAAACATATGGAAACTTTAAGAATGGAGAATTAGGTCACTCCAAATTCGTTTTGCAGTATTAACGTCTTTTTGGTACATAGTTGTTTGTTTGCTCACATTTTTCTAATTGCATCTGATCATATTCTGTCTTCTGTTTACTTGTTTTGAAGGGTAATTTAAATCAGTCTGATAGTAGTGAGAAGAATGTGAGTGAGGCATTAAATTTAGACATGTCTCTTTCACCCCCGTCTGCAAATGGAGCAGCAGGGGGAACGAGAGCTGGGCTCTTTAGAACTCCAATTTCTGGCGGGGTGCAGAGTGCAACTTCAGCTCATGGGTTACCTCGACCCGCCTTAGCTGTACGCAATCTTATGGAGCAGGTAAATACCTTTTTTCTTCTTTTTCTTTTTGGATTTTGAAAGATACAATAATTTCTGTTCACTGGGACAGGATTTATTATAGCTAGTAGCTTATTTATTTTTAAGCTGCTAAATATGTTTTGCTTCCTAATTCAAGGCTAGATTTGCTCATTTGTGCACCGTAATGTCGCGCATGCACCATCGACGAGAAGGATATCCATTTGGTTCTCTGGTTGATTTTGCACCTGATTCTACCGGGCGTAAGTTGTTGAATATGTTCATTTAAGTAAACAATTTAGAGTTCTTCCTCAATAGAAAAAAATCTGCATGTAAAGTAAAAATTTAGGCGGTCAATCAGACAGAACTGTAGATTACTCCTTTTACTATGTTCTTCTTCTTTATATAACTTGAACAATATAGTGTATGCTATGAAATTCAACACGCTGTATAATAGTCTGTTTTGTCTTTGTTTATGTACAGTTTGAACCATAGTCCTTTGTATTTGACCATTTTTTCTTTTGGTCTGTATTTTGGACCTCTGGCTGATCATTCTACTTTTCACTGATGGTATACAGATCCTATATTTTCGTTTTCACCATTGGCCATCCACACACGGAATCTGTTAGCTGATCCAAGATGCACACTTGTTGTGCAGGTTAGTGATTTGATAACTCTGTCAATTTACCTATTTGTTCACCTTTTGGATTTTGTTAAGCTTTAGCTTTTGTAGATTCCTGGATGGAGCGGCTTGTCAAATGCAAGGGTAACCATTTTTGGTGATGTCTACCCACTTCCAGAGCATCAACAGGTGATTTCTAACTCATGCCTAGCCAAGGAAATATTGGGTTTACCTTGCCAGAAGTTTTCGCTTTTCCTTTAGCCATAATGGTGTTGTGGAACATGAAGCTTTCCCCTATAGCTCTTTTTGTTCCTGTATGGATTCTCATTTATATTGAAATTTTAAGATATGGATCTCATTTCATAATTTTATTTTCTCATTTAAGAAAATATGAAATGATTGATTTTGAAGATAGTAGTTAAAAAGTAGGTATTTTTTTCTTCGAGCTCATATTTAGGGTCAATTCGTGGTTCATTGGGTTAATTGTGTAGTTGGATGGCAGGTGACCATATGAATCTGGTCAGGGATAGCTTGAGTTTTTAAGAATAGTATTTAACTTGCAGCTGTTGCTACTGCATGTTTAGCTTAAATATGTGTATGGTAGACAATAGAGAAGGGTTTTTCTAGCAGTAGATTTATTGTATTTGGCTGTGTTTGTAGGAATGGGCTCATAAACAATACATAGCAAAACATCAACAGGGGCCTTCTCAACAATGGGGAAACTTCTACTACTTCAGGATGCAGAACATAAGGTTGGTTGTTAGTTTTGCCTTGAGTAATTTGTACAGTTTGTGCTTATTTTACGATTAGAAAAGCTCTGTTGTGTTTCAGGTTCTGTTCTTTGCATTGTATCTGTAATTGCATTTTGACTGCTAGGCTCTTATGAACTATTAAGTTGAATTCTACATTTACATTGTACATTGTACATTTAATATCCTTTAACTTGCAAAAACCGATTTGGGATTTTGAACCTTTTATGGACTTCTGAAAATGTAATCCTTTTGTCAAGGGCCTCTTTAAAGCTTTAGTCCATTTTCAACAGGGGATAGGTCATCTTTCTTATTAGGTGGTTAAGGTGTTGACCATGAACCACTAGGTAGATTCCATGTTTCTGCGTACTGCCTTTCTCTATTGATTGTTCTTATAAAATGGAACTTTTTGGACAGAATATTGAAAAGTTAATTTATTCGTAAAGATGAATTAGGTGATGCATTGTGAAAAATACAAGCGAACTATATTCAGGTTAAAGTAATATCGATATAGTGGAGTCACAGCCTTGCTATGGGGAAAAGTGTATGTAAAAAGTATTCCAGCTTGTATTTCTGGGCACAAATTTCTGATGTTGCCACATGGCCAGTGCAGTCTGTGTGCATTTTTTCTTAAAATTTAAAACTGTTGTTTATTCAATGTCTTTATTCCATGCTGGAACTTATATTGTTTATTTCTTGCTATCAGTGACATATATTTCATTGGTGGATTTGGCACTGTTGCTTGGGTTGACGTCAAAGAATATGAGGCCCTTCAGCCTGATAAGATTGCAGTTGATGGAGGGGAGCAGAACCTGAAGGTGGGTGCTCTGATTATTATTATTATTGCTATTATAATTATATTATCATTAATATTTCGAAATATCCTATTGAAAAAGTCAGTTTGAAATGAAAGACCAAGAAGGGAACTAATTTGCATGTAAGGCTGTAAGGGACATTTCTTTAGTGCTTTGTATATGCCCTTGATAGATCTTGGTCAACACATAGCATGCTTGTCTCGTCCATGTAATCTTTATGCCATCTTGTATTATTTATCTGTTTGTATGGGTCTCTTGTTTTCCGCTTGTAGATTTTGCAAATTTGCATCTCACTTTTAATATGCACAGGTTGGGGCTTTGGTGGACTTAACCATTTTTAACTCTCTATACATTTAGGAACTTAATGCAATCTTTTCGAAGCCCCTGAAAGAGCTTTTATCTGCCGAATCTGAGGTCGATGATGCTGCTCTCATATCCATAGACAGCAAAGGAACTGATGTTCGGGTCCGTCAGGGTGCACAGGTAAGTTTTTTAAACTGACAACCTTCTGAATTTCTTATGCTATCTTGTTTCTTATACTCCTTTCTCATGATTGTAAAAAATTATCTTTTGGTTATTGCAGTTCAACATACAGAGGATATCATTTGACGAAGGCCATTCTGTCGAGACGTTAGAGGAAGCCAAGGCTGCTCTTAGGAAACTTATAAACAAAGGCCGAGTATTTAAGTTATAAAAGTAAAAGACAGGCATTGCCTTATAATGCATTTGCCTTTCTGCCTTATGAGAGATAAGGAGAATGGATAAGCGTGGATGGTTGGTGACTGTAAAACAAGTCGCAGTCCTTTCAAATTTCAAATTTGAGAACAATAACCACATCCGTTTTGTCAACTTACATATAATGCTGTTAATCTATAGGAACTGTAATAATAGCACCATTATATGAAGAAAATGAGAGAACATTATCATGGTAAATTTTGTTTCATATGAGCTAAAATGGGGGTTTTTTATATAGAAATTTAGTTATATACCCAGTCTTAGACATAGTTTTATAAAGAAATCCTACACCATTTAAAAACTATAAGCACACCAAAAAAAAAACCCAAAAATTGACAGCTGTTAATTTTTTAAATTTAATAGTTGTTTTTTAGTTTATTTGTGTGTTAAATACTTATATTGTCCTTGTACTATGGATTTAAGAGAGGAAAATCAGATCTGCCTAGATCTACCATAAAACCAAATATGCCCAAATCTGGCAAAAAAACCAAATCTGCCAAAAAACCAAGTTAGATTTATTTTCTCTTTTCTCGTTGGTGTTTTCTTTGGTGTTGGAGCAAGAGGAGCTTCCATTGAAGCTCAGTCTCAGGTCCAACTATATTCTTCATCTTTAATCTACAATTTTCAATATTTCATTTTTGATTTATTGTTCTAAAATCATGCTTCTATTGATTTTTTTTTTCCCGGATTGTTCAAGACCTCGAACAAACCTCGATCATTTGCTCTTAGCTCTACTCCTCTTTCGCCGCATCGTCTTTGTCGTTATCGTCATCGTCGTAGTCGTCGTCGTTGTCGTTTGGTTTTCACTTGAGATTTTTGATCTTTTGCTTCAATTATGTGTTTATCTTCGGATTTTAGTTGATTTTCAAAATGTATTTTAAGCTTTGATGATCGATTTAACTTTTGTTACTATTTCAGTTATGAATCTCATTTTTGTTTAACAATGTACTTCTATAACAGAGTATTAACAATATACTTCTATGACAGAGTATTAACAATATACTTCTATGACATAATAGTATTAGCAATATGGGCTCGGCTTATTTTGAGTTGGTCTGGTTTATTCTTTCTTCATCTTTTCTTTGGTTGACATGTATTAGAAATAGCAACATGACAAGCATTAATCAACATGACAGTAAACTAGCAGTGTTATTACCATATACTGGAACATTACAGGGGTAAACATGCATTAGAAATAGGATGTCATAGGAAATAGCATTGTTATTACCCTAGACTAGAACATTACAATGGTAGATATGCATTAGAAATAAAATGTCATAGGAAATTAGCAATATTATTACCCTAGACTGGAACATTACAGAAGTAGACATGCATTAGAAATAGGATGTCATATGAAACTAGTATTGTTATTACCCTAAACTGGAACATTACAACCATTAATCAACATGACAATAAACTAGCAGTGTTATTACCCTATATTGGAACATTACAGCCATTAATCAACATGACAGTAAAGTAGCAATGTCATTACCCCAGACTGAAACATTACATGGGTAGACATGCATTAGAAATAGGATATCATAGGAAACTGGCAGTATTATTACCCTACACTAAAACATTACAAGAGTAAACATGCATTAGAAATAGGATGTTATAGGAAACTAGCAGTGTTATTACCCTACACTAGAACATTACAGCCGTTAATCAACATGACAGAGCAGTATTATTACCCTAAACTGGAACATTACAACAATTAATCAACATGACAGTAAAGGTGTGGAACATTACAATCATTAATTAATACGACACGCTAATGAAACTACGGTTTTCAAGATCTTTTGTTTGTAATGGGTTGTTTGGATTTTTTTAAATAAAATTGGGTTGGGCTTGTTTTGGGTGCTATTTAAGTTTTTTGTGTTGGTTTTTTTTTTTTTTATATATAAGTTGATCAATGACAGTCATGTAATTTATAAGAACTTAAATACTAATTTCTTATGTAGTAAATGAGTTTTGGGTGTGTTTCTAAAGTGCATTCCATGTGGAGTTTTTTTTTTTTAATTTCAGCTCCTATTTTTAGGTACTATTCTTGTTTTTTTTTTTTTTTTTTTTTTTTTTTTTTTTTTTTTTTTACATGCATATTTATTTTCACTCTGGGAGTTACTGAGAAGTTAAAAAAAAAAAAAGCATCTGAGTTTCTAAGAGTCTTTTTGATATAAATACAAAATATCCTTTGGACTCACATGGGAGGAAAGACATTAGACTTTTCTCTTCTCATCTTGTTAATGTTGTGGATATATATCTTGTTAATGTTGTGGATATGTTTTGGAAGACCTGTATGATAGATAGTGTGCCGTGGATTTACCAAATTTTTGGAGCTTTTCATCTGTCTATTCAATCCCTTTAGGGAGACAAATTTTCCATCCAAGGGTCAAAACTATGCCACCTATTAGATCAGTGGATTGGATTAGTCCACTTCATCATGTTATATCCTTAATGATGACTATACCTTCTTAGGTGGCAGTGGCACCAAAATTCCATGACCTTGTGGCTTGTGCCCGGCAGCAGGTTCATGCTTAGTCAAATTACTAGGAGGTAGCATCGAGCCTTTATTATCCTTCTAGCTTAAATGCAAATTCCCACATGAAATTACTAAGTGAGGAATTTTCCATGTTGGGTAGCTCTCAAAATAATAAGTTCACCAACTTTGAATGGTCCATATGAGATATATGACATGAGATCCAAGCATATATTTGTTTGGACATTGAAAAGAAAAATATTACTAGATTAGAAGCTACTTCATCACTCATGCATAAATTACCATATCATGCGTGACATACGTCACGTTAATTTGATTCTGCACCGCTGTTTTGTGCGCACCAGTTTTTTCTCGGTGCTTCCATTTGTGAGCTTTACCTTTGGTTCACCGTCCGTACAGAGAAACGACAGAGAGCGTGAAGAGAAGAAAGAAGAAAGAGACTTGGATTGAGATATGTTTGTCTTATAAGTCATAACTTTAGTTTTTTGCTAAATTTAAAGTTAACTCACAGGAACAACTGTAGAAAATAAACCAAGTTATTGGAGTGAAAAGCTTACAATTTCATAAACAGGACAAAAAACAACAGGTACTACAGTCCACCATTCTCTTTCCAAAATGAAAATTTACCTTCTTCTTCTAAATCAACAATGAAAAGAAAGAAAAGGAAAAAAGAAACAGAAACTCATTTACCTTTCCTTTGCCATGAACAATCAGAACAAATCAAACCAACCCAGTCTTGGAGCTCTCTACCCTCTGCCCTATAACACCTCACTTTCCCAAGAATCACAGCCATAAATCCCCAACAACCTACAAGAAGACAAACATAGCTTTCTTCAATGGCAGAAACCAGTACTAGCAGTAGCAACAGTTTCTTCAATAACACCAATGGGGGCTCACCAATTTCCTACATAGCCCAAGACCACCTCTTTACAATCTTGTTGCTTCTTCCTGTAGATTCAATTCTTTGCTTTGCCATGGCCTGCAAGAAGTTTAGAGCTTTGACAGCCTCTGACACTCTGTGGGAGTCCATATGCAGAAGGGACTGGGGTCCCAAATCAGTTGAGGCCCTCAAGGCTTCAAATTTTCATCATCAGCTGCCTTGGATGAGGCTCTACAAGCAAGTCTCTCGCCTGGACTCTGTTTATTGCCATAAATTGTCTAACCCAGATGGGGAATTGGTGTTTCCAAGTCCCAGGGCCTCTCATTCTCTCAATTTTGTGTCTGATTGCTTGGTTTTGTTTGGTGGTGGCAGTGAGGGAGGTCAGTCAGTTAATCTTGTTGAAGATTCTCCCAGCTCTACTTTTCTTTTGTTCGTGCTTCTGGTTTATTTGTTTATGTTTCATGATGAAAATCTCATGTTCTGTGTTTTGATGATTGGCTGTTCATTTTATTTATTTAATGGGGCTTCTGAGACGTCTTCCTGGTGTTTTGGTTTGAAAAATTATACTGCTTGAGATTTCACCATCACAAATTTATATTTTATTGAACTTTATAATCCATTGGCTAGATGAAAGTCATTCCACATGCATTTTTATAAACAATATAGAACATCTCATAAAATATATGTTCATAAGTAGTCTCTTCTAGTTTTTCATGCCCCCTCCTACTTGTTCCACATCATTTATACTGGGTCTCTTTGGTTTTGGAGGCTTTCTGAACTTGTAAAATCAGTGGAGATGTTGTGAGCATTGACAAAATGTCTAATTGTTTTTACGACAAAATTATAGGGAAACTCTATGATGAGAAAAGGACCACCATGACAATAATGCTTCATATCTTGCCTTGCATGAATTGCATGTAAGAATAAGCTTTTTAGAAGTCTGACCAACCTGAACCTGACCAGATAATGAAGGTCTCTCTCTCTACATTAAAGACAAAATGGTCAAACGAATAGTTGGCAACCTGATCAATTTCTAAGCCCCATCCCTCTGCTCCTCCTCCTGAATTCTAATCTTGAAAGATCAAATTTTTTGATTTTGTTGTTGTTGTCAGTTCTTGGTTTGATCGAGTAAATGATGGAACTTGGAAGAACATTTTTTCCATTGATCAGAGAGGTTAGGTAGTACTAGAGTCGATGCCCAGCGTCTCAAGATTCAGACTTATGCTTACAACTCTACTGTTCCTCTTGATCTGCAGAACTGAAGAATATTAGAAGAACATGCTGAGAATAAATGACTTGTGGTTTCAGTTCTGATATTCAGAAAATTTAATCTATGCAGGCTATAAAACCCCATTCAAGTGTCTTTTTTTTCCTGTAGATAACCTCTTTCAAACTTGCAAGCAGGCAATGAAATTGTTTTAGAAACGATTTAAACGACAACTCAAGATGCTTGTGGCCACCTTTCTATAACTGAACACCAGCTCCAAATTGTATTTAGTTCCAATTTTATCATGGTTACTAAGAAAGAGAGTCAGCCATACCCTCCCTTGGAATCAGGTCGCACGTAGATAGTTGGATGTGTACCGGTTGGTCCAGTCTTGCCATTGGTAAATTCTTATTTCCATTTCGAATTACTACAGAAATTTAGAAATTATGGAAATTGTATACTATTTACCACAATATTGCACAAACGGTCCCTTAATATGCCAATTCTCATGCCAAATAGAAGTGCCTTCTTTCATATTCAGTAATTACTTGTCACATTTAAACAGCAGAAGTTGATACTAGACCTGTAGGATCACTAGGTTTGAGGCTTTTCTTTCCTATTTCTCTTCATATCATTAGTTAACATTAGTCTTATAGTTTGAAACTAGGCCCCTCTATGTCAGTCAAGAAGGGCATGGTCAAATAGCTATACATAAGGATAGTCTCCATTTACACCAGTTGCTTTGTTACTTAGCATGCCTAGACTTGTTTTGAATTCTGTTTCTTTCTAAATTTAGCCTTTAAACCTTTGCTCACAGGTGTTGGCTGACTGAGTAGATGTTTGAAGTTATATTTACATAATTTGTAAAACATTTGTCGTTCTATAATCTGCACCATGCCACTGTTTAATCTAATTCATGAATGAAAGAATTTGTGTTCACAAAAGGCAGAAATCTAAGATGTGCTGTATCCATTTAGGAGTGTAGTATTCCTATGAACCCTGAGAATCTACTTCTACTCGTAACCACCCAAAAAAGAAGACTAAAAAACATAGTTCTTGAGCTGCACAACAAGGTGCTGTCTTCTTTTTAGTCAGTTAATAACCAAGTTTTTCTATTCTTTTCTCAAAGGCTCTTTCAAACTTCAGCAGGTATAATCTATCCCTTTTGTCGAACTTTGCGTTGCCCTTGGAGCATGCTTGTGTTTCTTGTCATGTACTTTTATTTTAATAACCAACCATTCTGTTTCTGTTGTTTGTTATTTTTTAGGACGCCATCTAGATGACACATGGGTGGCATACGTTGGTAATGATTTTCGGAGAATGTTGAAGTGGCAGAAGATCAATTCAGGCATTCCAAGTGGCAGATTTGGGCATTCATGTGTTGTTATTGATGATTTTCTTGTTCTATTTGGAGGAATAAATGACAATGGAAACCGTCACAATGATACATGGGTTGGGAAAGTAGCATGCCATGAGACCCTTGGTATCACACTGTCATGGAGGCTGCTTGTCGTGGGGCCCGATGCACCTTCGCAGCGAGGGGCTCATGCTGCATGCTGCATTGATGGCAGAAAGATGGTTATCCATGGAGGAATTGGGCTGCATGGCGTCAGGTTGGGTGATACATGGGTGTTGGAACTCTCCGAAAACTTTCGATTTGGAACTTGGTATGAAATCGTGGCTCATCCATGTCCGCCAGCTCGCTCAGGACACACATTGACTTGCATTGGGGGAACCCGAACTGTTTTATTTGGAGGGAGAGGATTGGGCTATGATGTGCTTCATGATGTCTGGTTCTTGGATATTCATGATGGTCAACCTAAATGGGTACAAATACTCTATGAATTACAAAATGTTCCTGGAGGAGTTTCCCTCCCTAGAGTTGGTCACTCAGCTACTCTCATCTTAGGAGGTCATTTGCTGATTTGTGGAGGAGAGGATTCGTACAGACACCGGAAGAATGACTTCTGGGTTTTAGACATAAGTGCAGTTCCATCCATTACAATGCAGCCGACTACACTCAACTCTGTGCAGTTATTGGCAAAAATGTGGAAAAGGTTGAAGGGAAATGGTTACAAACCCAAATGCCGGTCATTCCATCGTGCCTGCACAGATAATTCCGGGCGTTACTTGTTTGTGTTTGGTGGAATGGTGGATGGCGTACTTCAGCCTGCTGACCCTGCCGGGCTGAGGTTTGATGGAGAGCTCGTCCTTGTGGAGCTTGTGCTCCAGCTGTAAGGAGGAATGAATATATCTTTGGTACAAAAGATGAAGTTGCTTTAATTATAGAAAGGAAAGGAGACTTTTTTCAACTGGTGCGGGCTTCCTAAAATAGCCATTAGCTCCAGCATCAACAAAGGTTGGCTCTGCGAATGCGTCACTAGTCAACCCATGGCTGAGTTAAGAGAATTGCTGCGATTTTGGGTGCCATTTTTGGGTTGTCCTGGACCACTAGTACTTGCGCGTTCACATAGCCAGCCTTTGTTGCTACCGAAGCTGATGGCTACTTTAGGAAGCCCCTAACAATCGAAAACTTGCCATCATATTTGATCACGTGCTCCAATCTATGTAAACAGTTGAGGTACGTGCATACGTATAAACAAAGCCTCCTTTCCTAAAGCATCGGCATAATTTGGTTAATTACTTGCCATTCCAGTACACCATGTCTTGTACATAGTAGCTCATAACTTGCTCTGTACGTCTCTTTTGAATTGAGATTATCTGTTCTACGAGAAAAGACAAAAAAGAAAAAATTAGAATTGAGATTCTCTGACTAAATGAATTTTTCATGCATTGTTATTTTCCATGTGGTTTGGAGAGCTTATTTCTAACTACATTTGCATTTCGAGTCGATTCTGCGTCGTTCTAGTCAATGTGGAATCTGCATCATATATGTTAATGAGAAAAATGGCAATGCCCCAATCAATGGAATAGTTCTTTTGTTATTTTTTTTATACAAGCAATAATGTGGGAGGGTTAATTGAACCTAGGATTTCGGGTGCAAGGGTAAATACTCTAAATCGATGGAGTAGTTTTAAGTGCCTTTCTTTTTTAGGGTGTGTCATTTTCAGTGGCAACCTGGCCAACGTCATTTTGTCGTTTGTTCTGTATTTTTTCTTGGAAAGCAAACCAATAATTTGAAGGTATGTATATCTTAGGACCACTAATGTCACTAGAGTAAGTTGATTGTGGGATTGAATTTAATTTTTACGTGGGACCATAAAAGATCACAATAAGCTTTATAAGAGAAGCATGAGAGGCCTAGAGGTAAATGAGTATTTACCTTGCAGGTATAGTTTTGGGTAATATTTCTCACACTTTGTTAGGTTCTTCTAAAAGAGAAAAGCCATATTATTAGTTACTTTTAACAGATTAAACGCATAAAATGCATAAAAAATCAATTAAAGAAAGAATAATGTCAACTATAAAACTCATCTAAATACTTTTACATTTGCTTACAATTGGGTGAAACCTATGAAACTTTGAGTTTAAAATCTTCAATCTCGACCTCAACCCTTTTGCAAGCAATAATAGCCTGCAAAGCCATAGTCCATAAGAATACGTAAGACGCCCCATTTACAATTCCTTGTGAAAAGCAATACAAGATGCAAACAGCTGTTGCTGCAAAGAAAGACAACATGACCTGGCTGCTCCCTGTTTACGCTCATTAACAACAATGTCTTGCTTTGTATCTTAAAAGAAGAAAAAATAAATGTATTGATTTGAACTAATCATCAACATGTTGTACATTAATAATTCAGATGAATGAAAAATTTCGATGAACTCAAGTTGATATACAATACAAGGTTACATAACCAGGTTATATATGCCCACAACAATGAGTATTACAACAATAGAATATGTCCACAAGATTTCCTCTAAGTAGGTGATTTTTCCATTTCATTCCCACTGCAATAGGGAAGAAGTATTTCTAATCCAGAAAATAAATAATTAAATTTTCTATAAAAACACAATCAGATTTGAATTTGCGTTTGCTACGAGATGACAAATGGTTGTACTGGCAGAAAACAATCCTACAAAAGAACCAGCACGAATCAATCACGAGCTCAATTTTAACTTCGTTCTCCACAACTCTCCGATGACTTTCTTTGGTGCTGGATTCTCTGGTCCTTTGTCTCGCTGCCCTGATGTAAAATACAACCACCCATTCCAGAAGCCAACTAGTGTGGTTTTAACTCGAAATGGTAGTTTCCCAAGAACTGACCAGTTCTGTAACAAAAATCAGAAATGAAGAGTAGAAACCGACATTGTAGCACATAGGCACCTCTAGGGTAAAGAGGGCAGGGGTAATAAGAAACATTATGAATTAGACAAAATTGAAGAGATTTCGATAACAGCAAACAAACTTATGACCCATTATCTGTGCTATAGCTTGTTTGTAGTAACTGATGTAAATGCAGGAGTTAGATTTCTATAAATTCACACATTCCATGGATGGTTTCGGAGTGCTGCTGTAGGTCCACAACAACAAACCTAGTCATCAAAAAGATGGTCTCTCTTGTCACCACAAGAAAGACAAGATGGTAACTGTATATGAGAATAATTGTGAACCCACTGCAGTGAACTCTATCCACAGTCTAATCAATGGAGATAAATAAATAAAAACTCAAGATCAAGGGCAATCTTGACTCCAGCTTAAGGCATTGTGATACCTTAACCTACATACCAACAGCGACTGCCTCACTGTTTGTGTGGTTTTTTGTTCATTTGTTTGTGTGTAAACAATTAAGGCACATGTACTTTATCTTTAAAAGCATAAGAGGTGAGCGTCAATACCAGTGTATTCAAGTTAAACTGGAATATTTCTCCAACCAAAGTCATCTTCTTAGTCACAGGGTGCTTGTCTGTTGTGCCTCCAACAATAACAATAGAATTGTTAACAACAACCCAAGCAAATTCGATATGGGAATCTGGTTTAGGCATGGGAGGTAACACTTTCCACTTCATTTCCTCATCTAGCATGTAAACATCACCATATACAACCTGAAACAATCATAAATAACAAAATGAAATTTATTCTAGAGGACAAGTCCAGATTTGAACTTTGGTTTCTTGGTTTTGTTTGCTAAATTCATTCTATGTTTGTGTAGGGCTCTGAAGCTTCCAGTAAGTAATTGACTGGTTCCTTTAGAAACAGTGCATGCTTCTAACTGAGTGAGTAAAATAGGTGTAACTGTGTGTGTATTAAAAGACTAAAAAAGATCCATCATTGATTCGTTTTCATCTGTACAACTGATGATGATGCAATACATCAAAAAGAACCTATGATGGCCTAGAACCAAAAGAAACTGACATAACCCTCTGGATATTATTAACAAAACTCAGACATAACTGATCCAACAAAAGAATAATAAATATATGAAATTCTTACCTCATTCCTGCGAGAGCACTTGAAAATAGGTGATCCAGGTTTGGCCATGAAATCACCCTCTTGACCACCAATAAGATAAAGACGATCATCAACAACTATACAAGCCCTACAAAAAGATGCCAATTACAGTAGAACATTGTTAAGATTTAGTTGATGGGATTACCATAGACAAATCTTGCTTCCAATTGGCAAATAAAAGGTCACATTATAGCTCATAGCGTCATGCCCCTTAAAAAAATCAGTGGGAGGGTTCAGGAAAGAGGTCTTAAAACCAATAATTATTTTCTCAGGAAGGAACCACCCAAGGCTGTACAAATAATAAAGTAATTATTCCACTAGTTGTCATGTTTCACTTGTATTACAGCTCCAGGGGGAGTTGGGAGCCAATTTTCATCCCTTGGGAATATCAAATAACAAGAAGCCCTTTCTCTTCTCCCTCTATCAACTAACTCTAAATTCTCTGAGCAGAATTTTGTAACTCAGAGTGAAAAAGCTATGAGGAGACCAAAGACCTTTTGATAACAAAATTCTAGAGAAGTTACTCCATTTATTCTCTTCAGGTCTGATGGAGATCAAGTAATTCTATCATCAAAATTTGAACATCAATAAGCTTACACCAGAACCCCAAGTTCTGTAGCTAGCTCTATAAACATTCTAAGCAGGGAGTGTGTATCATTGTCCTTATGTTATTGCCCTAGACACCAAAGAGGATTATTCTCATTGCTACATATAAGAAAGAATCTGGAATTGATAGATCACAAAAGGAAATATGAACCTAGAAAATAATCAAGAAGAGAGCACTCATACCAACAGATTGCCTAGAACTTTCAACAATGGTTATTGGTATAAAAAAAACTTCGAATTTTATGTGATCACTTTCAAGGCCAATGAATGCAAAATTGTACTCAATTTCATATGCGGGAATTCCACCAAGATCTCCCATGATGAAATGCTTAGTTACATAAACGCAGCAAGAATAAGACAGTGGACATACCTATGAGGTCCACCCCTGGGAATAGGCATTTCAGTCCTCCATTCCTTTTCTAATACTTTTCCATCTTTAACAGCAAGACTCCAATGATCTACTCCAGGTGTATATCGATTCTCCTTGCTACCACCCATTACATGAAGTCTACCTCTCCAAAGTTGAGTTGCTGGTGCGTACCTGAAAATTACTGAGTTAAAACCATTCAATCTACGTGTGAACTACAGAAGAAAAATTATATGATTTGTTTTGGACTACAAATACTTACTAATGAAATCTTACACTAACAAATTGATTTTCCAGTTCACACCATCAGTACAAAAAGTTCCCATGAGCTAAGTAGAAACCAGCAAACAAAGGCTACAACTCAACAAAGCCTTAATCCTGACATCTGGGCTCAGCTACACTACCCCTATATACACACGCACACATACAAATACACACATACATCTATAATATATACATATATAAACAGATATCCTACAATGAAATCAGGTGGTATTAAATAAGAGCAAAATGACATAAAGCCATGGTATAAATGACACTCATTCACAAACATGTGTATGCACGCAGCACAATACAGGAATACACAGTGCTCGATTTCAGTATCACACAGCATTTAACAACAGAATCGTACACTTCATTCTATTCAATCTTATTAAGGGAAAAACAAACCTAGGAACTGGTAAAGGAGGCATGTCCCGCCACTGCTTTGTCTCAGTATCAAGCACGAATGTGTGGGCAGTGGGCCCTCTGCACTGTGGCCCATACTGTCCTGTGACAATGTATATGTACCTTCCATCAGTTACCATTCCTAGATGTGAATGTGCCATTTCTTTTGGCATATCAAATCTTCCTCCCCATGTATTATCACTGAAATTGTAGATATCAACATGTGAATGTACCTAAAGTAAACAATAAACAGAAAGGAAGGCCCATTAACATAAGAAGGGAGGGTGAATCTTTTCAGTTTTGGTGAACAAGTGAACATAATAAAACATGTTTATCATAGTTCCACATAAGCGGTTGGATCTGATCTATCCCCAGTAGTTGAGTTGAGGCCCAATTCATTGATGTCACCAGTCATGAAGCAGTTTGTGATTTTCCCTTCTTTTTTTTTGGTAGTAAACATTAAAATCTAGTTCAAAAAAACAGAGTAAAAAATATGTGATAATGTGTCTCTCTATAAGTTTTTTTTATTTTAAAAAAAAGGCAATGCAGAAAATTCCGGAATAAATTTACAACTATTTCATAACACCGACAAAATCAAGATAAATTAAACTAAAGGCAATATCCTAAAACTCTTTGACATAGATTCCCATAAAGACACCACAGTTCTACTCGATACAATTAAGTCAAAGTAAGAACCCATAAATACACACCCTTTTCAACCCATCTAATCTCACTTTTTAACTACCGGATTCCAAAAATTTAAAGAACAAGAACTACCCTGAGCAGTTTGTGCTACAATCTTCAATTTTCCTTCATAGCTGCTCCTAGCAATTCCTAATCCACTTGCAACACGAACATCTTCTACTAAATCTTGATATCCTTTTCCAATTCTCTGCATGGTCTATAGAATAGAAACCCTTCTCTCTCATGAAGTAGTTTGTATTACAACCACCTCTTTAACAAATTCTTCCCCCAACCCCTAGTGCTAAAAAAATATATAAAACCATTTCTAGTTTCTACATGATTTCATTGTTTGTTTTTATTTTATAATTTCTTCAAGAAATGTAACTAATAACATAATACAGTGTGAATATTCATATTGAGTACATGTGCGTCATACTAGTCAATCTTCACTTTCAAAAGTTCCATAACCCACAAAATAATGCCCATGGCTCTTTATTTATCTTAAAAGTTATTTGCACAGGAGCATCAACAATTTATTTTGTTAAGGGACTACATTAAATCAGTTCATTTCCCGGAAAAAAAAAAATTAAAGATAGAATTCCCATAGCATCAACTAAAACAAGATCTCAAGAAAATGTAAGACCACTCTATACAGTGGTCATTTCAACGGGGTTAAGTTAAAAGTAATGTGCTAAATCATGAAAATTTGGATGTTAAAAAATAAGCAACAGACCATTTTAATAAATAAAAAAGGACATAGCCTGAAAAATTCTGTAGAGATAGCTAATATGAACAATATAAAAAAATAATTTAGTGAAGGAGCAATACAAGGTTCTCACATAATCAATGGTACCGTATCCAGCAAACACGAAAAGAAGATTCTTTATCTGTATAGCTGCCCCATCCAAGCGAGCTACAGGTGCGGCAGCCATATTTTCCCATTTTAATTCTGGTCCAGGCAAATCAGCAAAAGTTGCTGATAAAACTCTCCCATGAGCAGTATCATTTTTATGATTTCCCTAAAGGTAACAGAATAGTGGTCAATATTCAGAGCTGAAACAAGGATCAGTTAGAATTTTATTTGCCAATAATTTAACATAACAGGAAAAAGTTCTACAAGATAAGTAAAAGGACAACACATTGGTTTCATAAAAGTGGAAATTCCTTCTACTTAACCCATTGATGGATGGAATTAAGCTCCAATAACAGGACCATTGTTTTTCTAATAGGTGCAGAATTTACTCATATGCCCAATAACAGAAACCCAAATTCATGAAATCTTCACTTTGCTTTTCTTTTCCCCGCATTTTCAAGTGGAACTGGAAAAGCATCCTAAAAGCTCAAAATAAAGAATAGCAGTTCATGCAATTTCATAATTTTCAATATGCCGAATATACTAATATCCCAAATCTGATATCCATTTTCTTCTACGGCATCTTCTCAGCACCCAAAACAAAATCAAATTTGAAATCTGCAAAAACTAATCAAATAAGCAATAATGAACTCCAAAGCAAAGCAACCTTTTTTTTTTTTTTTTTTTTTTTTTTTTTTTTTTTTTCATTGTTTCACAAACGGAACAATGCCAGTAAGAATTCACATCAAAAGACAAACCCTGCAACAATGGGGGTGTTGAAATCCACAGAAACACTAATCACAATGTACAACTACCAACAATAAGCTTTAATGATCAACCAACTCTCACATCCAGAAATAAAAGCACCAATTCCTTTGCGGAGCACTTAATAACACACTAAATAAGACCGCAACGAAAATATTCATACAAACTCAGCAGCCAAGATGAGCTTCAATATAGCAACCAAACAAACTAAAAAGGCACACTTCCTCACAAATCAGACAATACTGAGATCAAATTCACATGAAAAATCATAAATCAGCACGAATGAGCTTCAACAAAACAACCAAAAAATAAAAGTATAATTTTCCCGCCTTTTGACGCAAGCCAACCAATACCCAGATGAGAATTCACATAAAAACGCAAGATTTCGACAAGATGATAACAAAGAGCCAGGCAAACCTTTTCGGGTACCTCATCGTCAGTCTTCTTGGGTGTGAGGATCAGACTGGGTTTTGAAATATCAAGGGGAGGAGCCCAATTGGAGGCAATGGAGATATAGGAATTAGCAAAACGAGGCGAGGAAGCCCAGAGGAAATCAGCAATCAGAGCAAGCCCCAATAGGCCAACGCATATCAACATCAAGCGAGCCGATGTGTGCTTCGCAGAGGGCCTAACCATCTCATATATGAATGAATGAATGAATGAATGAAAGAATCGTAGTTTTAAAGTCAGAGAGAGATGTGAATGTTGCAGAGCTCAGCTGGGTTCACTAATGGAGAGTTGGAGAGCTACGCTTTACGCATTTATCTTCTCTCCCAATTGGAAGATGAGAGTGACGGTGACACAGAGAGAGAAACACCGACACTGATTATTCAAGTGACTGAGGTTTTCTGCAATTACCAATTTTCCCGGGGTCGGAGCAAATTTATCCCTTCCTCTAGTTTCGTAGTGAAGCAACTTAATAGAAAACATTACATTTTGGAAAAGGCTAAGGTGAGAGAAATATTTTAGAAGAAGCAAAATGAACAAAAATGTCCTTATTTATTTGAATAATGTTACTCTTATCATATTTGTATACCATATTCTTATACTACCTTATGTGGCAGATGAGGTGGACAACACATCAATTAAAATTAATTTAAAGTTTTCTTATCTTTTATGATTTATTGACACTTTTTAATTGATGTGATTGTCCATTTCATCTACTACATGAGGTGATATGAAAATGTGGGATATAAATGTGGTAAGTGTAATATTACTCTATTTATTTTTGGATTTTCTAAGAAATTTTTTATATTTGCATGTCTTTGGTTTGAAAGTTGAGGGGTTTGCTGTCTTTTTTGGAAAATTTTGGCTTTTTTCAAAAGTGAAAGTTTTTTTATGGCTAAAATCTAAATTTAAAAAAGCTAAAATCTAAATTTATTATATAAAAATCACATTTTTTTAATAGCGAAATTAGAAAATTAATAATTTTTAAATGGAGAATATCAATTGGATTTTTTAAGACAATTTTAATGTTTTTATAATAAAAGTTACTTCCTAAAGAAGTAGGCCCAAACAAGACCTTTTATTTTCTCTCTCCTTGTTGATCAGTTTTTATTAGGAATGGGAATCATTCAATCCGGTTTACGCACAAAAAATGGTTATATCAACTAAACCAACCTAAACCAATTCAAGAACAGTTCGGTTCAGTTTGGGCTCACGACGTTTTATTTATTTTCTTGCATTTTGGTAGGTGTTTGTAGCATAAAAATCAATCTATCACCCACTTATAAGACAGTTATAAATAAATATAAATAAACCAATCAGCGTCAAGAACCGTGAACTAAACCGGATCTAATCAGTCCGGTAATGTTTTGAGAGATTTCGACTTTTTTTTGTTCAAGAACTGAACCAAATCGAATGATTCTGATTATGAACTTTCAAGTGTACGTGTGCAACCAAAATATAAACAATGAATCTCAGGTATGTGGAGATGGACAAACCAATGTCAGCATTGGAAAAGATCATATACAAATAACTCAATTATTTTTTCTTTCTATTTCACATTAACTCAATCTGATTAAACATCTAAATCCCCTGCTTCATCAAGCCACCCCATTACAAAAGCTTTCAAAACCTAAAAGAAAAATAGAAAGGGAAAGGAAACCCAGGAAAACTATACACCATGTTAAAAGGAATAAACACCACCACCCCCATCTTAATCTGTTACAAACACAACTTCTTCACTCCTACCGCCATCACTAACATCATCAATAATAATAATAATAGAGGGAAAGAATATACTCTCGAAAGAGCAAAACCTAAAATAAGTCTGCAATTCAACTTACTGCTAAACTGGTATGACATCATTCTTTGATGCATCATCACATCTCAAAACAATACCCTCAAGGCTAGCTGGAAAGATACATTTGGCCCACTGAAATCCTGTTGTGATTGGCTCAGGGGGAGGAACGATCATCAGCACATTCTCATTTCTCTGGACAACTCCCATTACACTAACTGTGCTTCCTTCTTTAATGTACCTGCAAATATGGCACGGCAGTTTAGATCTACAACCACATCACTTTGCATCTTTCACATTCAAACAGCTTGTATAGAAAATTTCACTAATCTCATTGAATTTATATATACCATCATACAGACAGGGACAACAACCGTCGTCATTTAATCAGATACTGTCAAATTCCCATTTTCTTGTGTTTAAAAATCTAATTTTGTATTTCTTTACTTAAATTTAGTACTGGATTCATTGGATGACTCAACTATCTTAAGGGTAAAATTTTAGGTTGCATGGGAAAGAGTGGCTAGAGAGCTGGAGCACTTTTCAACCCAAACAAACCACCCAAACCCGCATATTGGCCACCCAACTTCGTGCTAATGCCTCAAATGAGAAAAAGCTAAAATCAGTAGAAAGTACAAACTGCTACTGCCCGGTATTTGAAAGCACATTAAGACTAGATATTTGAAAGCACATTATAAACTCCTTATAAGGGGCATTTATGTTTAACACAACTATAAAAATGATAGATTATGAGGAAAAAAACTCATAGAAGCATTTATCATTTATAATTATAAGAGAAAAGGCATCAACGTAAATTAATTGTAAGAAAGAGCTATTACCCTTCTTTCAACCGCATCATGCGATCATCACTTGAAAGGTTCCTCTCACCCAACCACCTAATAAACTCTGGAGACAACTCTTCATTTTCAGGGTTCACATCAATGACAATCGAATCATCAACATAAGGAGTCACCCTTGCTCCAGAGCCAGTCTTAACCAATGCTCTTAACCCAGATTGGAAATCAGAGATGTAGAAATCTACAACACGCCCCTGTCAAACGACATAATTAGAAATTTTGGTCAAAAGTGTGAAATCTAAACCCAAGAATTTTCAAGCCTGGTAGCCATAAAAGTCATCCCTTGGTATCACCATGCAATAGCTCCTTCCAGCAACAGAACATTCAAGCAGGAAGGCAAACAAACTAGAAACAAATATATTAACAAAATTCAAATAGCAACTAGTGGATTGGCAATGGCACTGTTCAGGCACTAGAATTAAAATCAGCCAACGGCAAAATCTTAAATATTTTGAAAGTTAATGAGAGATAAAATTCAGTTCGTTAATTATGAAAACCCCAACCCCCGCCCCAATAAAAAAAAGGGGAAAGAAAAGCAGAAAGAGAAATACTATATGTTATCCATGAAACATTAAGCTGACTTTCAGTTACTCACTTCTATGGACCTGAGCCCCCAAGTAAAGCGACGATGTGTAGGGTTGGCAGCTTTTGAATCCCATCCTCGATACTCGTACAAACTTGTAGATGTATACACACATCTAGGAACCTTTTGAAAGGACGACTCAAGGGGCAGATTGCCACAAGTGACCACCTTCAAAAACAGAACCAGATATAACTTGTGAAAACTATTGATTAACATTTACATAAGAATAGCTAAGCTCAACAAAAAGGATAAACACTCAAGTCCTTAACCCGTTTGTATTAGAACCTAGAAGATAAATGTTATAGAGATATAGTATTTCCAGCAATTAAATTCCTCCATGTATCTTCATCCCACCCTCCTCCGTAGATCTCAATAACAAATAAAGCCATATGTTTGAATCCATCAACGGATTAACTTACCCCTGAGACCTTCACAAATTGCCCATTCTTCGCAGTCCTCAGCTCAGAATCTGAATAGCTAGCAATATAACCTATAATAGCTCGTCTTCCCCAATAAGTATTCCATGTGAATAGTGTAGCAACTGCACCAAAAAGGATCACAACCACAATGAGGAGATATGCATTGTGGACTGCACCTAGAATAAAACCACCAGCGATGAACCCCATCACGAAAAGTAGAATCAAAGACCATAATATTAGCTTTGGGAAGCTCTTCCTAAATGAAAACTCATCATCTTGGCTAAGAGTAGTAATGGCCTGATTGTGAACAATGGAGGAACCTTGTGCTTTCATTGATCCCATTGACTCCAAAGGACCGGATACCTTACGAGGGGCCCCAGAAGCATTTAGTGGGCCAGAAGAAATGGGTCCAGATGTAATGAGACCTGTTGCAGGGAGAACAGGAGGAAGAGGTCCAGAGTTTTGACGGCCAGTTGGTGTTACCCCACCAGATTGAGGACCAGACGACTTCTTAAGAGGTTCCCCATGCTTATTTAGCGGTCCAGAATTTGACTTCTTTACGGAAGCTGGACCAGGCATGCCTCCAGATGATACGGGACCTGATGTGGTATAGCCAGCACGAACTGCAGCATTAGGGATTGGTCCTGAATGTGAAGCAGCACCTCCAAAAGATCCAGTCCTTGAAGGAGGACCAGTTATAGGTCCAGATTTTCTAGACTTAGAGCCATCCATAGGGATATCAAACATCTTTCCTAGTTCTCCCGACTTCTTGATATCTCCACCAGTATAGGGCATGGCAACTGAGCTCATAGTTGGAGTCCTTTCCTTTGGTTGCTCTGGCCGGCCTGATACGTAAAGGCCATTGCTGAGCTGATGAGATGGGAATCTGGAACCCATCTAGCTCCTTTGAAAGACCCACAAGATATTAAACAATAAACTCAACTAGCAGATAGAATTTACTGATGAGATCCTCCTAGGAAAAAAAAAGTCACTGCAACAGTTAGAATATAACCCATTGCTTATCCAAAAACCAAAACAGTAACCCACAGCTACAGCCGCTCACACTATAGTAACACATAAATGAATTAGAGATTGCAAGGGAACTAGTAGTACGTTAGAGAAAATAAAGGTTTTCACTGACCAATAAAGAAAGGTCACAAAGGAACTAAAACGCGGTACCATCTTAGATTTCTAGTAAAGCTAAAACATTTCTAAAGATTATATACTTTATTTGTATGCCCTGGAAAATTTATCACAATGCACACTAATTTATACACCACTGAAATAGTCAACACCCATGCCATCTTCTGGACAATCTATATTTACTTGTACAATCTTTACAGCCATTGTCCTCTATTAAAAACACTAGAGATAATAGAAAAGTGGGGTTTCAGAGAACGTACAAGAAATATCTTGTTTAGAAGATATGGATATGATTTCTGCGACTTATAAAACACCAACCACCCAAGGAACCAAACAGTGTTATTATAGAAGTCAAGGAAACAAAACCAATCTCTGTGTGTATGAATGTGAATGTGCTGCGCATGCATAACATCTTGTTATGAAGATTAAGCAAATGAAGTCAAAACAACAAGCAAAAGCTGTTTCAGAGTATCTTAGTTGAGTTTGAGTGGAGACTATTTTATATGTCTATTCATGTAAGAATCTACAGTTCAAAAATCATATGCACATTTACATTTATAAAATGAAGGCAGTATTATCATTTTGAAACGCCATCCAAACTCAAAAGAACAATATCATGGATCGAATGAATTAATTACAGGATCTGTTCAAAACAATTTCAAACAAGATAATCATGAAATAGGTCAGAAACAATAATTACAAAATTAGGAAAAAGGAAGTATCAGAATCTTCTATTTTTAGAAAGGTTTGAAAACTAAATTTATACCTCAGGGTCAAAACAGAGTAACAAAGCATGTCCACATCAACATTTTGCACATAAATCGAAGACATGAAAAAGATCTAGAATACAAGTACAGATTTCAAGTGAGAGTTCAGTGGGGGGTTTTAGCTATATCAAGTCCCAATGCAACAAAAAGAAAATTCAAACTTGTCGTTTTGATTTCTCTACCTCCACTTTCTCAAAAACCAGACAAACTCAGAGAAATATAAGCAACCCAGATTCAAAGAAACATAACCTTCCGTATACGGAAAATTTCATCAAAATGACACCATCTTGAAGGACCAACCATCCAAATGGCCACTCTTACAGCCCAAATCAAGAATACAAAGCATACCCAAATCACCATTTGGAGCAAACAGTAAGAAAATCGAAAAGATCTAAGAAAACAAGCAGATATTGACAATAAAACTATCACAGTCAAAGAGTAGCTGACTGAGAGAGAAAAGCAGGGGCAGGAACCAAATGACAATTAGGAAAATTGTTCACATACCTGAAGGAGAAGCAGTAGGAGCTGAAATCTGGAGATTTGGAGACATCATGGCTTGACTGATAAAGACAAATAGAACCAAAAAGAAAAATCTGAGACTCTCTCTAAAATCTTCTTTTGGGTTTGTGTTTGTTTTTCTCTCTCTCTGTCTCTCTCTCACTTGAGACTTGAGAGAGGCGCAAGCAACAACTGGTGGGTGTTGCTGTCTCGTCCGGCCAAAACCTCCGAACTCGAAGAAAAATGTGATTACTTTTAGTACCAAGGTATACAAATTTTATATACGAATTATTATATAGCTCAGTCTTACAGTCTACAGCTCTACTGTACATCTCAATATATATCCCCCAAAAAAAAAACTGTACATTTCCCATTAAAATGACATATTTCTCCTCGATAGCTTTTGTGGGGCTGCTTTCAATTTTTATTTGTTTTCTTCTTTTTATCATTTATATTTTGGTCTGTTTTGGACCCTTTTGGTTGTTCCAATGGTAATGTACAAAACTAGTGAGTGGTCACAGGATCATAAAAAAAAAATTTACCTCACGGATGTGTTGGGTCTCACACTCATGTCCCTTCTCTCAACATGCTAAGTTAGGTTTGGATGAGAACAATTCAATTGTATGCAATCTCTATATAACAAATTAATATTGTAGATGTTTCAAAGATTAGATTTGATAAGTAAGAACTAATCATTAATGAGTACATGTCGCTCATAGGGAAATGTCAATATGAAATGTTATGTTGCTCAACTATCAATATATACAGCGTATTTTGATAAGATGTCAAATTTCCATGTAACGTAACATTCCAAATAAACTCCAAGAGAAATATATAGAAAACTAAGTGGACACATATCTGAAGGCAAATTCGTTTATTTTTTTCTTCTTCCTCTACACGTCAATTGATCAGCAATGTATATATTTGTCAAATTCACAATTTGGTAACATATTATGCCGAATAAATTTCAAAAGAAACATCCAGAAAGAATCAAGTTTGCACCGTATGTAAACTTGTATTCTTTGCATTGCTCGTTGATTGAGGGTATTTATACTTTATCACCAGCTACATTGTTGTTACTAATAGTCTCTTATTTGGTAACACTTTCATTTCTGTGTGCCTCTTCATTTTTACTTAAAACTCCAATAGCGACCTTAAATGAAAACTATTTAGAATTGCTTTTAGTTTTTGCCCTTTTTTTTTCCATACAAATTTTATCCCTCATTCATTCCTCCCCTTCCTTCTACCTTTTTTTCTCCCTATTTTCTCCCATGCATTTTCTCTATCTTTTACTAAAAATTCGACCCCAAAAAAAAATTACTAAAAATAAATACTGAAAACCAAATTGAGAGTATTACCAAAGGACCCTTAAATGCGTGGAAAGAAAGTTGAACATTTTCTTGCTTCTATACATTGGGAAGAATTCTCAAACTCTCGAAGTTATCCTTCGATTTATATAATGAGTTGGCATCCGTGAAAATAGGGAAAAGGAGAATCATGAACTGGCCAGTTGCCCCCTTGCAGTTCAAGAGAGATTGCACACTTTCCTTCATTTTGTTTAGGCCAGAAACTACACAAATTTTAATTTTTCTGGTGAGAGATTGCATTAGAACAAGACCTTTTCCCTTCTCCAGGCTGGAAGCTTCTTAACCAAAGCTTTTTGTTTAGGTTGCAAATGGCTCTGAGAGAGAGAGAGAGAGAGAGAGAGAGAGAGAGGGGCAAGGGAACTTCAACATAAAAAAAACTGATGAATATATAACACTTTCCTTTATAACATAGTCTTCTCAAGCTGGTAAAATTCCCACTACATGAAGCCACACCATTACAGAAATTTTCAAACCCTAGGAAAAACAATGGATAAGAAATTTCTAAAATCTATACACAAGGAGAGAAAAAAAAAATCACGTCATCTTAAACCATCAAGCTCATCACTGTTCATCACTACAACACCACCACTGCCATCCACCATCAATTTTGACATTGGGAACAAAATATTTTTCAAAAGAGCAATATACCCGAAAACGTTTTCTGGAGCACAAACAACTAAACGGGTATGACATCATTTTTTGATGAGTCTTCACATCTCAAAACAACCCCTTCAAGGCTAGCCGGAAAAGTACAATTGCTCCATTGGCATCCAGTTGTCAAAGGCTCTGGTGGAGGGACAATCATAAGCACATTGTCATTTCTCTGGACAACTCCCATCACACTAACTGTGCTACCTTCCTTGATGTACCTACACAAGGGCATCACTTGCAGTTATGTAAGATGCAGTTGGATTAAACCAGTAATACAACTGATTCATGTATTTTCCAAAACCCCTTCAAAAGAAGGGAAAACAGTTTTCATTAAGAATATTTATAAGAACCTAAAAATTAAATAAGCAATAGGTTTCTACCCTTCTTTCAATCGCATCGTACGGTCATCACTTGAAAGATTCCTCTCTCCCAACCACCTGACAAAATCTGGAGACATGTCTTTGTTTTCTGGGTTAACATCAATAATGACAGACTCATCAACATAAGGAGTAACTCTTGCACCATAGCCAGTCTTAACTAATGCTCTCAACCCAGACTGGAAATCAGAGATGTAGAAGTCCACTATGTGCCTCTGTCAAGCAACATAAACAAATTAGAACAGTTCAACATTAAAAATCTTACACCTCAAAAGTTACAGCATGGCATGATACTGCCACATTGGCCCTCCAATTGTTAACTAAGACATTTATGTGAGAAGGAAATCTTTTTCGTTTTTTAACTAAAATGTCTAGTATCTACATTGCAAAGGCAATCATCCAGTTCACCTACATGCATATCCTTTAAATTTCGTTCTTCTTTTTCTATCTTTATTTTTGGAAAGAAAAAGTCCCTAACTGTGAGGATAAAATGACTAAAACATATCACAATCCTAATAAAATTATAAGGCCATTAAGCATGAAAAAGAAGTTATGAACACATATTTTAAGCAATAAGTATGAATCTATCATTTTTTATGAGAATGAAGTACAATATGGACCTTTCATCTACACATTGGTCATTGGGCAAGGTGTACATCATAAACCCTGTTTTTTTAAAAGAGTGCACACCCTTCCTATATTAATACATACCATTATACTAATAACTCAAATTCTTTATTTAAACTATCAAAAACTGCCTAATTATGACTTTAAAAAATGTGAATAGCTACGATGTGTTTAGGGGTATCAAGTACTGTATACATCTCAAAAATTTAAAAAGTTTAGTGTCAACAAAATTATTTTCAAAATCGAAATCCATTTATTTATAATCAGATACTTGTTGCAGAGTATTCAAAAGTTATCCATATCCATATTGGTAGCATTCTCCAATACAATTATCCATTCAACATAATTTCAAAGGAAATTTGTCACTTCTCATTTACTCACCTCTGATGATCTAAGTCCCCATGTAAATCGACGATGTGTAGGGTTTGCTGGTTTTGAATCCCATCCTCGGTACTCATATAAACTTGTAGATGTGTACACGCATCTAGGAACTCTCCGGAAGGATGACTCAAGGGGCACATTACCACAGGTAACCACCTTCAAGAATTACACAAGCATATAACATCTAAACTTCAGCATACTATTTATGCAGAAAAAATGACAACAGGTGATGAACCACTGCACAACAAATACCAGCCAGGCTATGTTCACAGTCACAACAAATCTATAGATTCTATATCACTGTTTGAGAGCACAAATGAATTAAAGGTAAACAGAAGTAAATCTTCTAAACGAAGTTTTAAGTAAGGTGGAACAGACACAAGCACAAAGTGAAAAACAACTACTTGGTGATGTTTATTTGAGATCCAAGGCGGGGAAGAAAAGCGCAAACTAAAAGTAGAATTTCTATAGTCATAAATATCAATAGCAGATAAACCAACAAGAGGATGTATAACTATAAGATATTATATCAGCATTGGCTATGTTACATACCCCAGAGACTTTCACATATTGCCCATTTTTAGCAGTTCTGAGCTCAGCATCAGGATAACGAGAAATGAAATTTACGATAGCATTTCTTCCCCAACAAGTATTCCAAGTGAACAAAGCAGCAACTGCAGCGAAAAGAATTCCCACAACAGCAAGGAGTATGGCATTGTGGACCGCTCCAAGAATAAAACCACCAGCTATGAACCCCATCACAAATATCAGTATCACAGACCACAATATTGTCTTTGGGAAGTTCTTTCTGAAAGAATAATCATCTTGGCCAAGAGTAGTCACTGCTGGATTGTGAGCAACAGAGGAACTTTGTAATTTCATTGATCCCATGGACTCTAAAGGTCCAGATACCTTTCTAGGGGCCCCAGAGGAATTTAGTGGACCTGAAGATATGGGTCCAGACGTGATAAGACCTGTTGTGGGAAGAACTGGTGGAATATGGCCCGAGTTCTGACGTGTCACTCCACCAGATTGAGGGCCAGAAGACTTCTTCAATGGTTCCCCATGCTTATTGAGTGGCCCAGAATTAGTCTTTTTTACTGAAGTAGAACCAGTCATGCCTCCAGAAGATACAGGACCTGATGTCGTATAGTTAGCTCGAGCTGCAGCATTAGGCATAATGGGACCTGAATGAGAAGCAGCACCTCCAAATGATCCAGTCCTTGAAGGGGCACTGGTTAGTTGTCCAGATTTCCTAGACTTGGACCCGTCCATAGGGATATCAAACATTTTCCCCAGCTCTCCCGACTTCTTGATATCGCCACCAGTATAGGGCATGGCCGTTGAGCCCATCGTAGGTGCTCTTTCTTTTGGCTGCTCAGGCCTGCCTGATACGTATAGACCATTGCTGAGCTGATGAGATGGGAATCTGGAACCCATCAAGCTTCTTTGAGGGGCACAGGACAAAGCACAAGATGGTTATCTAACGGACACTCAAAGTCCTACTGAGAGAGAAAGAGGGACAATCAGATATTGTTCATCAACTTATTAACTAGCTCAATACTTGACGCTATCAAGCAATAGTTGTTATAGGTACAATGATATAACCAATCAGTCACACTAGAATATAGCAAAGGAACAATAAGCACGTGATATTATCTCAACTTCCAACTGAAGTACAACAATTGGAACTTTCGAAGATATGACAATGATTTAGATTGGGCATGTTCTCAGAGATTAAGTCTTGAGAGCAAACTTTTGTTTTGTGGTGGCACAAGCATCTCTAATACTCGGAGGTTAATTTATGATGCGAAGTCCTGATCTTCAATTTTTGGCAACCTAAGAAACTAGGCAAAAATACTTAAAACTACAATAGAATTGCAAGTAAAACAAATCATCTCCTAACTACTAACATTACAGTCTGAAATCTATCATTCATAGAACAAATTTTCATTGATGAAAGATCTGAAGCAAGAAGAAGGGATTGTAGGACTACTGGCTACTTCTGGATCTCAGAAAAATTGATAGGCAGGAGAATAAAGCTCTCAGGAATATCTTAATTGGCTCTGTCTCTTGAGCTTCTCATTTTTATCCTTTTTTCTGTAAGAACTGGCAAAACCCAACATTCAAAAGTAGCTTCTTTCCACATTTTCTCATCAACCAACCAGAGTACAAAAGGGAACTAAATTGATGATCGATATCCAACAAAACAAGAAAGACAACACAATCCTCCACATTTAGCAAAGTACAAACAAAACCATGTCATTCTCAAATTAAAAATGAAAAATTAAATAAAAGACACAGCTTTCACAGCCCAAATCAGAGAAACAAAGCATACCCAGATCACCATTTTGAACTATAACCATGGAAATGTGGAAGATCTACACAAATGAAGAAAAGTTTCATCTGGGTTCAGAGCAGATTGGTGGCAATGCGGGAAGGGGCATAATGGGGATAAAAATGAGGTAAGAGTAAGAGTAATACCTGAGGAGGAAGAAGAAGAAAAAGATTTAGTTGCTGAAATGGATCAAACACAGTGGTTGAAGTGGTAATAATAGCAGTAATGATTCTGCTGGTGAGAGTGAGATCCCATCTCTATAGCAGTCACAATCTCTCTCTCTCTCTGAAATGCTTTGTTTCTTTCTCTCTCTCAAAAAAGTCTCTTTCTTTCTCACTCTTCAAAGAGCCGCAACAACTGGTAGGTTGTCTCATCCGGCAAAAACCACCAAACTCAGTAAATGACTTTGGATAAACAAAATATTATTTCAATATTACCTGAAAAGTCTTCTTCCACCTTCCACCCCCTCTCTCCTCTCTTGTATTTCTCTTTCTCTATGTTTTTTCCATTTTGTTTGGGGTAATTTTTTTAGATTTTTTATTTCCCTAGTTTATATTCAAGCTTTTATATGTAAGAGCCAGGAGTCAATTAATTAATATCCTGAGGCCTCTAATATCCCTAATACATGATCTCTTAAGGGTACTTTTTTGAGATTAGAACCTACCATCCTTGAGAAATACAGTTGTCTTTATTTATTAAAATTTTATAATCATTATAGAGTAATAGCGTAAGCTCAAATCCTACGACTCATCAGAAATTAAAAATCAATGCTCATTGGTTTTTTTTTTTTAAAGCTAGTATTGAGAATTTCTTAACCCTTTGTGACTAAAGGCAAGCATAATCTTAATTAGGGATTAATCCCACTATTTGAGTGTGGGGACACCTCGTAGTATTTATAAAAAAAATATAGATACAGAAATACTAAACACCCCAAAATTTTCTTTTCCAGCTATACAGAACTTGATATGCGGCTTGCATATTGCATTGAGAATGTTGTAGAACCCGTCATGACGGTGCGATATTAACTGAAAAATTAAGGTTGGGATAAAAAATTGAGAAGTGTAGCATTTTTCATTAGCTTAGCTGTATAACATTCCACAATTTGAGTGATTTCCTTGACTAGTACATCTTACAAGGGATGGAATTTACTAATTACTTAGAAGTTCCATGAAGTGTCTTTCTTTTCTTCTACATTTTTTTTATAAACTTTTTTCAGCTCCCATGGAGGTGGAGCTGAAAATTGAAACTTACCTGATATCCATGTCTGTGATTGGTAAATACTGTAAAATGGCATGTATCATCAAAAAAAGCCCCACACACACACACACAAAAACACATGAGTTGGGTTAGGCAGTGTGTGTGGGGTAGAGATTGTAGAAGGTGAGAACTAAAAGAGTTGGTTTAAAAGTCAATTTTTTGTTTTAGAAAAATTATGAACTCTAGATCATCATCATCATCATTAGCATGACAGTTTCATTTCACCATAATAAAATTAAAACCCTTCATTCTCAATTTTCTTTATTTTTGACAAAAAAAAATAATTCTTGTTCAACTTCACACGTCTCCAAAAATATTCAACATTGTAATTTTCAAATTAATGGCCTCTTGACCATTTTTAGGCCAATGGTGTTATAACACCACCAAATGTCATTTGGGAGGATAAAAGGTTCAAAATTTCTTTGACTCATCCCATATTTTTTGTTGAGGAATATGAGTCCTACATCGGAAATTTGATTAAATAAAATACAAAATATAATGAATGGTTATACTACTAATATCACCGAGCCCATTTTGTAATAAAACCTTATACCTACTGGGCTTTATAGGTGGTTAACTTGGGGACAATATCGGTGTTGTTAGTAGTGAGCCAATGACTCGTCTCTTTGAAATTTAACATTTTTATCATTTTTTTATGTGGTCCTACGAAATTTTTTATGGTTTTTTTTTATTTTTTTGGAGAATGGTCTCTTGAATTAATGAAATGGGTAAATGTTAAAAATATCTTACTTGAAAGAGATTTAATTGTTTTAAATTCAATAAATTTTTAATTAGACTGCTGCAATTGATTCTCATCCAATGTGCATAGGGTGCAATATCTCTATCAGTTGGCAAATAAATTATAACATTCTCATTCAACTTTCAAAAAGTTGATCCACCATGCATAATAAAAATACTTATTCAAAGTATTATAATGTGCTCTACCCTCCTCTATCTCTCTCTCTCTCTGTATAGCATGATGCATCTGGCAAACAATGAGATCACTGGATATTTTGAAGAGCGTGATGACTAATCTATATAGACTCTTTATGCTAAATTGTTTCAAAAGTATTAAAAGATGAGAAAAAGAAAACTCAAATCCCACCACAATAAGTAAATTATTCAGATTCGTCCAAAAGGGTAGATAAACAACTGTTGGAAGATCATATTCTTCTTCTTTTTTTGAGATAAAGATAGATTCAACTACGTATTGTTGCTTATGCATCCCAAAGTGATTGGTGACCATGGTGTCATTATATTTCCTTGTTTTTGTTTTCAATAATTTCCGGAGATAATTATCTAGTTTTGTTGTTTTCTTTCCTTCATATTCATGACAAGAGTTCGATTTCACCGAGGCGTACACAAATGTCTAAGTGGGAAAATGGGAGAAGAATCAAGAACAACCGTAATTACAGTTTAACCAACAAGTTATTTCAACATCTCGGATGCTACTTGATTGGTCCACCGCATATCTAAATCTGTTAATCCTGGGATACCATTTTGCAGTGACAGCCTAACAGCTAAAATTGAAACAATCCACCTCCTTGACAAAATTTGGCACACAGTATTCCATTTACCAATAAATTGTATTTGAGATGCGGCCCTTCTCCAATCATGTCATATCAACAAGTTTGATGCGTGAAAGCTAAGGGATCAGACAAATCTAGACAGATTAAGAAGTGTTCAATTTGTATGCAGCAATTGGAGTTCAGCTGCAAAGTAAACGTCAATGCTTGAAAATGGGATAACAGAATATTATAAACACATTATTTTATTTTTAATTGCATAAAATTAGTCCTCCACAGAGCTGGATTACATGATTGAACAAGAATTTCTGGAGAGAGAGAGAGAGAGAGAGAGAGAGAGAGAGATCCAACCAACACAAACATATAACCACAGACAGATTTAGAGCTTTATATTCTCATAAATATTATTGTACAAACTGGTGTTACAGTCAGTCCAATATACTTAAAGGGGCCTTCATTCCAGATGGCTCCCAAAAGGTAAAAAGTAAAAAAACTGCTGAGAATCATTTTGGAGTATTTGCTAGTAAAAGAAAAGAAGAATGAGCTTGACAAGGCAAATATTTCCACATGATCACCACAAACTTGGTTAGCCTTCCTATCACTCAGTAATGTAATACTGCTGCTGATGGCTGAGGCTGTTGTCTTCTGGGGTGATTGCCTTGTCTATTGGTCTAAATTTGCTCTTCTTAACCCTTTTGGTTGGTCTGCAGTGATGCCTGGTCATTTTATAGTGAGGGCCTTAACGCCCTTAAATGAGGGCCTATCTCTTAATCATTGGATCAAACTAACTAATTTGATCCAGCGACTAAGTAATAGGGGCCCTCACTATATAGAATTCTATCAGTGATGCCTCCCTTGTTCTAGGGTGGCCTAGTGATTTTGGTTTCTTTTTTGTTACTGTGATTGTTTGTCTACATTTACCCTGCTTCAGCTGTTCATTGCCAATCATCGGGCTTGGTTTTTTATTAAGCCTGCTTTTGTTTGTTGGGGTTCTGCATTTTCATTCTGGTTTGCCTTTTTGCAGCTGTTTCTCAAGTGTTCAACTGGGTCCCAATTTGATTGATTTCATTATTTTCCTGCTAAAGTTGTTTCTTAATCATTAGGCTTACGACAGAGGCTGCCTTCTAAAAGAAGTAATATAGGGCAATACGCTTACCTAAAGATCTAAAAATGAGATGCTGTGAGCAACTATTTAATAAAAGTCCTTGAATTAATCTGTACATGTTGTTAGTATTTTAAATTCTCACTCATACTCCTTGTTTTACTCAAACAACTCTTTAACAATTCTAACCTAAAGATTAATAATAATAATAATAATAAATTAATTAGGGATACACGTTCATCCCTGTCTTCCTCCTCTCCATCCATCTTTCTCCCTCTCCTCCCCTTTCGCCATCGCTCTTTCCCAGTCTCCATGAACAGAGATAGAAAAATAAAGCATATTATTCTTGTTGGACCAAGGCTTATCATTGTGACCTTGATAGAGTCATAAGAAACCTCTCGACCAAAAAATCCATTCGACCAAGGCTTATCAATGACAGCATCCATTCAACCCCAAAAGAAAAAAAGAAACCTCCCGACTCCATGTGACTTTGTGTAGGGAATTCACAATTTAAATTTCCACTATGTATTTGCATGGGAAAACCCCAGAAATAAAAATAACAAGATAAGCTTATCTATTCATTTTTTTTAAAACAAAAAAGATAAGCTTATTCTCTTCACCCTAATAAAAACAATTCTTCTGATATTTATTTCTTGTGTGTGTGTTTTTTTTGTTGGCAAAGGGAATTGAATATCCTCTGTTCACGGAGGAAAGAGAGATGGTGAAAGAGGGGAGGGGGAAAAGACGGCTACGGAGGAGGAAGAGGGATGAAAGTGCATCTTTTTTTTTTTTTTTTTTTTTTTTTTTTTGTGGTGGGTAGAATGGTTAAAAAAGAGTTGTTGGGGTAAAACAAGGGGATACGATGAGGGTTTAAATTACTAACAACATGTGCTATTAAGATTAATCCAACAGCTTTACTAAGTAAATGCTCACATGACGACATGACCTCATTTTTAGGTCCTTCGGTGAGCAGGACTGATAAAAAGGGTACCCTAATATATATTTGAGAAACAATATAGAGCAAATGACTCGGAATTAATTGGAAGGAAGATTTTCTTATATAATTTTTTTGGTGTGCCAAATTAAATGAGTTGTTTCCAATATAATAAAAAAATTTAGTACTCCTTCAATGCTTTCTTACATCCAAAAATGATGCTGGTCAGAGTCAAAAGGGTAGATGTTGTTCTTTCATTAACTCAAAAACTGCAGGGTAGATAGAATTCCTCACAAAAGCAAAAGGCATCAGCAATCAAGTAACTCAACCTGACCAAAGATTCAAACTTCCGCATTCTCAGTTAGAACTTAGAAGGTTGTGGTACAATCCATATCATGCTTCTGCACTCAAACATGGACTCTATCTGATCATTGATGCAGAAAACCCAACGAACAAACATGGCATTAAGTACAAAATGGATAGCTTTCACAAATTTTAATGAGACTATCTACAAAAACGGAGGTGGTGAAGAAAAGAAGGTTTATGCAATGGAATATAATATATCTCAGCCAAAGCAAATCTTCTGCATGAATATAGATAGATGATAACTTGAACACACAAACTATCATAGAGGAACCCTTCAAACATACATTTTGACACAACACAGAGAAATGTAATCAACTCTTTGAAAGAAATCTCCATTTCTGGAAAAGAAAAATCAAAATAGACGTCCCACATACACCCTTTTCTTCATCAACCTGTGCATCTGCATAACTGGTATAAGAAGATGCATATCCGCATTGTCCAGAAGCACATAATACTAAGTAAAACAGCAAACTAAAATATCAAATTTCTTAGTCATCTAATGGCTCCTTCAGAAACCTGTGCTTTGTCAATGGAAATTTGAATCTCTATAGGGTTGTCTGAAGATAACATAGATTCCCTAACAAAGGCTTCTTGATATCAGTACCTAAAGCTATAACACATCAATTCTTTCCATTTAAAATTGTCCAAAATCAATGTGAAATAACATAAACACAAGTACCATGGAAATGATATCTCTTCTGCAAAACATTGTAAAGCCATGAGCATATTCTGGTGGAAGCTGGTTATTCACCACTTCCAATTAGAAAACGTCCTGCCAGCAGTATGTTCCACGTTGGACTTAATCACAGATTAATAACAAGATGTGACCTAATAAACCAACTGAGCCGCTCAAATCTATCTGTGACTAAAGTATGGTTTCAACCTTCTTCATTTTCCTTTTTCAACCATGCAAAAACTGATAAATTATTGTCACAGATTTTATTGCTTTATCAAAATTTATCACCATTCTAGAATGTAAACAACAAAGTGCTAAGCTTTGTAATTTCTTTCCTATCCCACGTTTCGTAATCACGTATCCAGAGTTTCCCAACAACTTTGCATATCGCTAACAAGATTACATGCAAAATTCTGACAAATCAACAATGCTTAGCACCGCAATACTGCAACAACAGATATGAAACGAAAATTGAAAATCTCATCCATAAAATATGTCAAAATTTATATATTCATACTGAATTTAAACTTATCACAGAGTTATAACCGAAACAAATTATGAATAATCCACAAAAAATATGAACTTAAGCTAAAAAACCGATAACTTTCCTTACCCAATTGCTTCCCAACCCAAACCCGCCAATTTTTCTTGCTCAATCAATACATTCCTCTACTGTTGTTGAGAATCGAACCCAGCGTGCCCAAAACTGCGAAAGCCAAGAGCGGACTAACATCCAAGGTATCGAAAATCGGCGGGATTATGTTGCGAAAGAGATTCAAATAGGGATCACAGAGGTCCCGAATCGCCGAAAGGGGTTGGCGGTCCCAAGGAATATTGGGGAACCAACTGAGCAAAACCCTAACCATCAAAACCCCACTGTAGATATCGAGCCATTTAGAGAGTCCGGCGGCAACCACCGTCAACGGCGTGTTCAAGTAGCCGCTCGGGCGGTCTCCGAGCGCCGCGAAGAAGAGGGGTCCGGCGGCGGAACCGATGGAGGGTCCGAATTGGGATCCGAATTTCAATAGTGAAATTGAGAGGTTGCGGACGACGGCTAGGGTTAGGGCGAAGAGGGTGGTGAGTGTCCGAGTGGGGAGATGGGCTAGGGGTGGTGGGGACTGAGATGGGATTTGGGTATTTAGGGTTTGGGGGTTTGTGGTGAGAGAGGCGCAGAGGGGTCTTAGGGAGAATCTTGGAATTTTGTTGGGGTTAAGGTTAGGGTTGGGGCTGAATTTGAGAGTGGGGATGCAGAAAGGTTTGAGCTTGGGTTTGGGTCTGATTGGGTTTGAGGTTTGGAAGAGGATAGCATGAGAAGCCATGACTGAAGCCATGGTTACTTTGGAGCTTTCTGTTCTGGTGAAAGCAGCGAAGTGCCCAATTATACTACCGACGTTTCTTGCCCTGTTCTGTTTTTAGACTGTAGAGATAAGTGAAAACTAACGGCATACAAAATAATTAAAAATAATAAAAAAATTCTTCGGTATTTTATTTTTTAGTTTTTGAAATACAGATATATGTCTTGTTTAGTTAAATTCTGGCAGGTTGTATGTATGTGACTATTTTATTTAAGAAAAATGCTAGCGTCTGTCACATACAACAAATAAGAACTTTTTTGGCGTTATTCCAACAAGTTATACGTATCTCATATTATTGTAATACGAAAAATAATGTTAATCGTGCATGAAGTAATGTTAACAACGAAAACAATATAATTTGTGTAAAAATGTAAAAAGTACGTAAACTTTAATACGATTTACGCTAGTACTTTTCTTATCATAAATCCTAACTGTTTGGCCATTGTAACAAATTGAAAATGAATTGGTTAATCATTTACTTCTTTATTGAAAAATTAATTATTTTCCGAACAAAACACCTTTGATCGCGATCTTTTGTGAGAATCCTAATTACTTTTGTTTTTGTTGTCTTTAATTTAAATAAAGTTACAAGGATTTCCTTTTTCTTGTGAGCAAAAACGAGGCAATATAATAAGACAAAGAAAAAGGAACTCTCAAAGTCTGGATAAAGCCTGACCGACTCTTTTGAGTCCGACGTATGAGCCGACGAGGCAAACAAGCCACCTGCCAGCGCCACGTCTTGAGGCTTCACCGCTTCACCAATCAGCATCTAGACACGTGTCAACAAACTGTGACACATCATGAAAGCTCACACCATCATATATAGAGAGAGATTTTTATATGATCCCAGTACATCACTTACTCTCATCATAAATGCAGCTTTCAGCAATGGAGTTGAAACTCAGAAGGAAAAACACTTGTTCATCTGCAGTTTTGCTGATCCTCTGCACTATATTGTTATTGGTCACTACTGGCTTTGGTTCTGCGGATGAAGGAGAGCAGCAGTATAAGGTGGAGGGAAGCAGAAATGATGATGCACCAGAAAAACCATCTTTGTGGAAGATGACCAGAAATGCTTTTCCTCCGTACACATCTTCACCTTTGGGGATCCGAAGCTACTTGGAGAAGGCCAAAGCGCTTTTGAACCGAGGGCAAGCCTACATCTTCCCTCCCAGTTTAGAGTATGTTTTTTTTTATAAATATTTTCTTTAGTAATTATTTTGTTTCTGAGGAAGAATATATGATTTAGATTGTTAATAATTATGTGATTATTATTGAATTGGTGTTAGTTTTAGGGGGAGTGGTAATAATATTTATTTTGGAGAGGAGGCTGGGAGCAGAGGAGGAGGAGGAGGAGCTGGAGAGAAGGTGAGAGAGGCTGTGGGGAATAGTTTTGGGAAGAGCAAAGAGACGGTGGACTCCTCGGCTAAAACAGCAGCCAAATTAGTTGGGGAAACAGTGCAGAAGACGAAGGAGAAAGTGAAGAGGAGCTTTTCTGACAGAGAAAGTAGAGAACCTGAATCTGAGCTCTAGGCGGCTCTGTTTGAGTAGAGCATATATAAAGTTTTGGTTTTCTTATAGCACGGATATGTTCGTAATTAAGTTCAAATTTTTGTAGTGAGTGCAGAGCGTGATATAAAAAAAATAAAAAGGAAGAAAGGATTGGATCAATATGAATTTGGTTTCTTCTCTTTTCATATGGGTTTTGTATAATAGTAATCCTTTGACAAGTAAGAGCATTTCCACTATGGCTGAAAAAACCTCTCCACCAATGAATTCTAGACGGGCGGGACATGGGCTCCATCAGCCCATCAAGATTGGGCAGCCCGAAGGTAAGATCAGCTCGAGCTGTTGCCTGAGAGTGTGCTGTCGTTAATGAAGAAATTTTAAAAATAAAAAAATAAAAAAATTTAAAAAATTATTAACAAATTTGGAATCTTTTTTTATACATATTTAGTATTTTATTTATTTATTAATCTTATATAAATAAATAAAATTAATTTCATATGAATACTAATTGTTTTTTAATTGCCATAATAATGGACGGAAAAGCATAAAAAAATATGCCATTTGCTATGAGGAATAGATGGAAGTGCTTAAGTGATTATTACGTTGTTATTATTAGCGGTCTGTCAACTCAATTTTTTTTTTTTTTTTTTTTTTTTTTTTGTGGAACTGTAACATTTCAATTGATAAAACAGGGCACAAACCCAGAATACAACAATAAGAACAAAGCCCTGGAAAGAGGTTCTTGTAATACAGATTGTAACAACACCAACTAAACTCAAGTATTACAAGATAGTTACAAATATACATCTTGAAAAACCATCTAACAAGGAGTTACTGATTATGAGGATCCTGGTCCTGTAGCAGCCAGTGCTTGACAGAGATCAAGACAGAGTGCAAACTCTCGAACTTCATGAGACTGGAAACACCCCAAGAGTGGAGGGCATTACCGCTCAACTTCCACTAGGATATTCTAAAGAATATCACAACATCTCCAAATCCCTCTTGATCCCTAAGCACAAGAGAAGGAGATCCACCAAATCAGCAACCCCACCTCCAAATCAGAAAGATCGGCAATAGATCTGCCACACAAGTAACTGATCTAGCAAGATCAGCCAGAAAGACTGGGAAACAACCCTCAAGCAAAGAGGGAAGAAACCAAAACCTTGCAACAGCAAGGAGCAAAAACAAAACCAACAAAAGTTGGGAGGGAAAAACTCTCTACAACATCACGGGGGGGAAAGAGGCCCGGTTTATTTACCAAAAGGGTGGTTCCAGGGGAAGGCCCCTGGAACCAAAACTCATGGTCAATTTAGCAGTAGATGAGCTAGGGAGCTAGAGGGGACTTCCAAGAAAAAAACTTAAATCTTTTTAAATAAATAACATAAATCAAGCTAAGAGGGGCACCTGAAAAAAAAATGAAGCTCTTTTATTTATTTATTATTATTTATAAACCAAGTTAATTTTCGTTTTTTCATATCTTTTTTATTTCTGTATTTATTATTTTTATTAATACTCAGTTCATACTAAAAAAATTTATAGACATGGGAGATGGAGAAAACAAAGTGATGTGATGTTAAAAATAATTGCGGAAATGAAAATCATGATGGAGGCTAAAATGATTGAAATTCTATTTTTGTATAATACAAGAGTTATATCACAACGAAATCAAACCTACACAAAATTACGTATATTTTACTATAGCCATTGCCACATGAGTAATAAGTGGACCAATGAAACATCACCACTTCAGCAATGTAAGTCCTTGTCATCTTCCATTTCAGCGTATTTGGTTCATCACATCTGCTCCATGAGTGCCACTGGGATGACTAGGATTGTGCCATGTCATAATTCATTTAAAATTTTATTCTCCCCGAACTTCTAAAATTCTCCAAAAATACCTCCAGAGTTTCAAAAAAATTACTGCAAATTACTACAAATCCAGTTCTCACCTCTACTATTTTTTGTAAACTCCATTTCTACAAATGACTTCAAAATATTTTGCAACATGTTTTCTAACACTTCCAATAAAGCCAATTAATTTTCCAAATTTCAACTTAATTTGTAAAAATAACAAAAACTCTAATTTTCACCACTTTGAGCCCCAAAGAGAATTTCTTTCACACAAATAATTCCAACTAAAAATAATAAAAAATCACCGAGGACTCGCAATATGACAAAGTACCCCGGAAATTGTATTTAGATCCAGCTTAATCTTAGCTTGTTTTCTTTCCCTCCGTATCACCCACAAGGACAACTAATTTACAATATTTTAACTAATCTTTAGTTTCCCCCAATATTTCAACTAAAAATTTGAAAAGAAACTCGTTAATTTTTGTGGATATCATGCATCAAATTATGTGTATATACAGACATAACTATTATCTCTGACCATCTTATATACACAAACGAAATGAAAATGACAAGCTGTTAACAGTGGAAGTTGTGTGAGTCTCTGACTAATACTAACAACATTGTAATGAAAGTTGTGTGACTGACTCTATATAAAAGGGTGAATGCGCGCGCATACACACACACACACACATATATATATATATATATGATTCAACAATATGAAAATCAATATCTTTATGGTTGTTATACTTGTACTCTTTTTAAAATAAAATTCTATTTTTTATTGCTAATGCGATAAAAATAAGCAAAAGCGAGGACATCAAAATAAACAAGACAACATGCTACAACTACCAAAAGGAAAATCAGATACCCTACGTTGATGCCATGTCTATTTTCAAATTAATTTGTTCATACAATGTTTATTTCAAAATTGCAAGTATAAATGCCTCACAATACGATACAAACTAGTACTGCAGGGACGAAAGGAAAACCCTGAGAACATCTTTGTTTATTATGAATGGAGGAAATCATGAATTGGGAACTTAGTAATAGAGAAATTGATGAATTGGAAGTGATCAACTACTTCCTCTAATCGATCTCATTCATAATTTTGAGACCACTAAATTGCTGGTTTTAAGGTGAAACCCTTATTTGTTTGTTGCGAATATTGCACTTGTGTTGGATCTTGTGAGACACGGGGTGTTAAAATTCTGTTGAATTTTGGTCGGTTTCTAGTGAGTTAGGTGTAAGTTTTGTGTATGTTGTTTGCTTATTATCGCATTCAATTTTACGATGTAAAAACAATCCTCTGTTTAGGTTGTGCTTTTTAGTTTTTGTGCTAGCTCTGCGTGATAGAATGAAATTTGATAATTTAATCAAGAAACTGAAGGCACAGATTAGATAGTCAGTATAAAACAAACTTTTTTACAATAATGGTATTACTATAATGTACTCTTAGGATATAATGTACACCACATTGGCATATGCCACCAGTAACCCTGGTACCTTCCTCTTGCAATATCCTTTTCACTTTATATGAAAGTTTGATCATATCGATTGAAGTTGAGAAGATGGTGAAGAAGAAGAACATCATCATGTGGTATGAAGAAGCAGTGTTATATATATAACTTTTTGCACTATCTTTATTGCTACAAATTGAGGTGGTGTTACACCATTGTCAAAGGTACACAGTGGCAAAAGATGCATACCCTATATGTTAAATTCTTAACTTTTACCTTTTCGGTAGGTGAGTTTTTCTGGCACCTGTTGGCTAGGTTGATTTCATATTGCCTATTTATCACATATAAAAGTTATTTCTTGATGAATTTGTACCTTTTGGTTAGGTAGATTATTGTGTATCTTAATTACATGTGTAGAGTTTTGAGATTTTGTGAATCTGATTCTAGAGCCCCATTAAATCTAAGATAGAATATTTAGTTTATGGTCGTACAAATTCACAAAAACTATGTGGATAGGAACTAAAAAATAGATATCGAAGTAGTTTTGCGGATTCAATAATTATATTATTTTTATTTCAATATTGAAACATTAAGTTATGAATTTTTTTAAACATAAATGTTCAAAATTCAAATTCAAAATCTGGGAGTACAAATACATCAAATAAATCACTTTAGTTTTAGTTTGGCATTGCTTATTTGGGGGTGATAAGTGATTTTTAAAAAATTTTGAGAAGCCTAATCCGTTTGGTAAACTGTGAGAAAATCACTTAATGTTAAAAATTGTTGTGAGAGAAAGCTATAAGGGAAAGCAGCTAATGAGGTGCTTTCATTTTCTGATTATGCAGGAGTCAGTTTCGAAGAGGCGCTGGGTTTAATGATTATGCGGCAATCATTTTCTGATTATCCATAAAATCAATACCAACAACACTTTTAACAAAAATTTTACCAAACACCAAACTGCTTTCTCTCACAGCTGATTTCTCTTACAGCAAATCTGACAGCGATTATTTTTACAGCACAACAATGCCAAACTGACCCTATTAGTTTTTATTATTTACATTCAAAGACAAAATAGTCATAAAAAATAAGTAATAAATGAAAATTGAATTTCTGACATTTTGGTCATTGACTGGGTCTCCATTGAAAAACCTGAAGTAAGAATAACATAGCTAGACTAATTCTCGTATTGATATCACAACTAGATCTTCTCATGTTTAATCGAATTCTTAAACTCACATTTGCAGTAATTGATAATGTTGGTGTTGGCTTAAGTATTACTTTTCTGTTGGTTGATCCTGTCTTTCAATGAAACTTTCAAGCTTTCACGCAGTTGATCATGCGTTCCATGAATTTGTAAAAGAAACATGCTGGAAGCAACAATTGAAGCCCTTTTCCATCTTGAACCACAACTTCTACCCCTCAAACTCCATAATAAGCATAACCATCGTCTCCAGGTCCATGGGCAAACAATGTCAATTTGGACAAAACAAACAGAGCACTGTTTACTACAAAACTCAAATTTTGATTTAGCTTAATCTTTCTCGATTTCTTTTCCCTCCCTTATCATCCACAAGGACAATTATTTTGACTATTTATAATAATATTTCTATACTAATATTTAGTTTCCCCCAACATTTCAACAAATAATTTGAAAAGAAACTTGTCAACATCAAATTAAGTGTTATAATACAATTATGAATGTCTGGCTATCTTATATATACACAACCGAATTGAAAATGACAAGCTGTTAATAATGGAAGTTGTGTGAGTGTGTGATTAATACTAACAACATTGTAATGAAAGTTGTGTGACTCTACATATATATATATATATATATATATATGAAGTCTTATATAAATTTGGTTAGTCTTATTTGGGTGGTTGGAAGTTTACACTTTGAATTTTAAAGATGTGAGGTGAAATTCATTACTTATTCTAATTTGATGAACCGAATGACGATATTTTAAAGTATAGGAAGGAGTTTGAACTCGGATACAAGAAATGAACACATTACCTTACCTAACTAACCTAATCTAGATATGCATCTCAAATTCATTGCTTACCAAACAATGGATTGGAATCTTACTTAAGTATCTCGTAGTACCAAAAACAAAAACAAAAGAAAAAATTAAGTACGTCGGCTGTTCTAACTTGACCAACTCATCCCCAGTTGCCCCCAAAACTTGAATCCACTATTCTTCAAACCTCCATTAACCAAAAATTAAAACATTAAAAATTCACTAATAAAAATGCTTTTGACGGTACGGTCGGAAGTACCGTATATAAAGTCTCGTTCCTCCTCCACTCTCTCACATCTTCTGCCACTCTCTCTCTCTCAAACACCTAAATTTTCTCTCATATTTTCCTCTTATCCAAACGACCCTCCAGAATCTCCCCTTTCTCTCTTCCCAATTTCCTTTCTCAATGGCAAGGTCCATCTCTCAAACCCTTACCCTAACCCGCCACCTCTCATCCAAATCATCCCCGTCTTCCTCGTCTCGCCTAATAACCCTCCGGGCCCAATCCAACCTTCCTTTTCACCATGACCCAACAACAGACTCATCCACCGACTCTCCTTCTGATCCCCTTTTGCGAAAGCTCGAGGACGCCATCCACCGGATCATGGTCCGCCGATCCGCACCCGATTGGCTCCCGTTTCTTCCCGGTACCTCCTACTGGGTCCCACCGCCCCGGTCAAGATCCACCGGTCTGGCTCAGCTGGTCGATAAGCTGGCCAACCCTTTGACTGAGGAGGAGACCATGTCTATGACCACCATTAGAGGCTGGCCTTCTTCTGCCTACTTCATAGAAGGTTTGATTGAGTTTTTGGATCATGTTCATTGGGTTTTGTTCAAAATTAGGTTTCTGAATTGTGGGTTCCCCTGGATTGTTAGTTGGAGTATCTGATTCTTTTGTGCAATTTGATCATCTGGGATTGGTTCTGTATTTAGGTGAGAAATTGGTGCTTATGCTTTATCTTCCTTTCTATTTGTAGGTGCATCTCCACAACCGATGGAGGCGGTGGATCAAAGTTCTAATAACGTGTCCTCCAAGTCTGAAGATGAGGAAGGATGAACAATGTATTTCTCAAAACCGGCATCTGAGGTGAGCTTAATATCAGATCAATTGCCTGATTTTGTATTTGTTGGATGAAATGTTTTTGCTCAACTAGTAAAATCAATGCCATTCATTTTGGATTCTATCTGGTGGAATTTAATGTTTTGGGCAGCAAATAATCAAACTAATTTGGGTAAACTGGATTAACTGAGGCTATTTGGTGGAGGTTTATAATTACAGAAGTTAAGCTGCTGCATATACGATGACCGAAGAGAAATTCTTTCTCTTCCCACAAGTAGCAAACATATTTTATTAATACAATATAGGTTGACCAATGCCTCAATATGGAGCGTAATGAATTACAGTCTCTGTTGGGAACATCTGTTTTGAGCTTGTTCACTCTGCTTCAGATCAGGTGTTTAAGGCCATGGTTAATTCACAGCCCTTTATTAAATTATCATGAGGGGTGTGTGCAAGCTCTGAATTTGGATGCTAATAAATCATCAATTGTTGAATTGATATATTTATGTGAGACAATGGATTTGGATTGAATGTCAAATATGATCTTTTAGTATGCCGGTGACTTTTACTTGAAAAGAGTTGATGCTGTGTTGTGGGGGCTAATCTTAGGACAAAAGAGCCATGCCCTGGTTCAAATGACGGTGCTGCTTATCTTAGAATATTTGTTTTGCTTTCCTGACAAGCAGTTGATAACTAGGCTGAAATAAATCTGTCCTGTTCTAGATGGACTTGTTCCTTAAATTTTAATATTGGTTAAGCATAGCTATTGCTTGAAAGCTAATTATGCCTTGGTTGCTGGGATACGCAGGCTCATCTGGTCTTGTAAATTGTATGTAGGAGGACAAAAGGTGCATTGATGAAAGGCATTTCGTCAAGGTGAAGAGCTGTACAGATGCAACCTGGTTAGCCAGGTAGAATGACTTCTATCCAAGAGTTCAAGTTCACAACCCAAAGGGAGTTGACTGTAATTATTCTTCGTGTATGTACAGTTGATTATCGTAGTTTAATTTCAGTTGAATTGTATGTTATTTGTACCCTTCCTTGCATGTTTAATTTGCTCTATTTGGGTTTACCATCTACATTTCAGTTTTTATCTGAATGTCCATGTAAATATAGTGAAAATTACATCAATCCTTTTTGTTCATTGATATAATAATACCTCGGCCCGTTTTCGGAATTAAGTACTATGTTTTGGCTTGATGCATTGATTAATTTCTTTCGCTTGACCGGCCATCATCTGTGTGTTGTTAATAGTTCAAAAGTAGTGAGAGGAGGAAAAGGGTTTTAAAATAAAACCAGGCATGTGTTGGAACAGATTTTTCTTTCAATTGTTCGATCGGATTGTTTCTCATTCAAGAAGAGGGGGCTGGTTTATGTTTGTGATGACTTAGCTTGATTGGTAGTAGTTGGTAGGCTCTTTCAAAGTTATATTTTAATTGAATGGCCTTGCTAAGAATTAGGTGGCGCGTTTGGTGGTCTAATATATGTATTTTGAGGGAGGCCGTTGCAACACGTGTAAACTAATTTTGAGGTACATCAACTGAGGAAGGCACTTACATAATCAACATATTAAGGTCTATTATAGCAACTGCAATAAGTCAAGTTTCATGTTTGAAAACCCCTAATCTTTGTCCCCATGTCTTTGGAGGAAAAATTTAAGTTGACCTGAGTGATGGGACATCTGTTCCTACACACTCGTAACGTCATGTCACGAGTGTTGTAGGAACAGTTGTCCAATCTCTCGCCGGGTATGTAAATTTTTCTTCATGTGAGACATCATCGTCTCATGTGCAAACCAGAGGATTTCCATTGTCCTCAACTAGTATGAAACCATATGACCTTCAGACAAAAAACAAAACTGACAATTTGACAAGAATCATAAAGGTTTGTGAGATGCAGAAGTCATATATGAATGAAAGCAACGAAAATTAAGCCATTTTTGGTGACTAAACCTATCTATGGATGAATAAGATTTAGGCTACTATTTATACTGGTGATTTTCTAAAGGATTGGAGACAATAAATGGCGAGTTTAATGAAATAAACTGATGCATAAACTAAAGAAAATTATTTTGATCAGAAACTTATGTGTATTCTTTATCTCACCTGATATGTTGTGAGGAGGATCAGTATATGGAATAAGAACTGCACAGAAACTAAAAACAAAATTTAATTCCATTTGTAACCCACCCATCTCAGCATTAAAATCTTCATGGTTCCGATCTCATTGCTCTTCTATAAATCCTCTTACCCTCTCTCCAACATGCCACAGAGCCAATCTAGCTTCCCTTTCTCCGACCTAGTATAAAAATAAAACTGAGAGTTCCAACTTTGACAAAACCATGTCTAGAGAAGCTCGAGCAATATTTTCACTACTGCTAATGGCAGCATGTGCTGCAACTGTGCTGGCGGATGTGCCACCCTCGCCCTCTCCGACAATCCCAGGCCTATTGCCACCCGGGGCCCCAAGCTTCTTGCCACCAGGAGCTCCAAGCTTTTTGCCACCGGGGGCTCCAACGATCCCAGGCCTATTGCCACCAGGGGTCCCAAGCCTTTTGCCACCAGGGACTCCAAGCTTTTTGCCACCGGGGGCTCCAACGATCCCAGGCCTATTGCCACCAGGGGTCCCAAGCCTTTTGCCACCAGGGACTCCAAGCTTTTTGCCACCAGGGGTACCAGGCTTCTTGCCACCAGGTATACCAGGCTTCTTGCCACCAGGGATCCCAGGCCTATTTCCACCAGGGAAACAGGGTGACATAGAAGCAGAGTGTTGGTCTTCACTTCAGGGCATTCCGGGGTGTGTATGGGAAATTTATGGCTCAATCTTTACTGGGATACTCTCACTAGGCCCTGCTTGTTGCAAGGCTTTCCAATCAATTGATGCAAATTGCTTGGCTAAATTGCTCCCTCCTTTCTTCCCTCCATTACCCCAGGGAGACTGTGCTCCAGGGAATGTTGCTGCTTCTAAAGCAGTTGGGTCAAAGCAGTAGTGGGCAATTGAGAGGATAGTTCTTGCAGGCAAAAAATTATATTTTTGTTCTCGATTAGTCATTGTCATGCAAGTATTACGTATACCTTGAGTTTTGCTTAGGTTGTGAATTGTGATGAATATTTTAAAGAGAATAACATCTGATGAATCTTATTGCATTAAGTCTCTCTCTCTCTCTCTCTCTCTCTCTCTCCAATTCCCGGGTTAGGGTGATCGTATACGCTTCCCCTTTCATATTTAGGGGTTATGTTGCTGGTGCAGTATACTTCCAATTAAATCTTTTCATCCTTCCTGGCCATATGAACAACTGTAATGCCATGAGTGGGAGAATTTTGCATATTTCCTAGTTCCTCTTCCAAGAGAAACTCAAGATTTTTTGTGGCTTTACCAAAAATACTTAAAGTTTCTAATTTGCCCATAAATTTTAGCTCAAGTGATATGGGATGAGATGAGATATTTTTTTAGAGTTCAGATCAAGTGGCAATGTCTTGTAACTTTGCAATAACATTTTATTGGGATTCTGGGTACATTTACATGAGAAAATAAATTCCACTAAATCAGAGGCACTTTTTTTTTTCTTCTTCTAAATTTGCAACAAAAATCCTAAATTCAGATAAATGGTTATTAAATTGAGGAAATCGAAAACAATGATGCTTGAACTTGGAAATCATGCACATCAGACATCAAGTCACCAATGAGGTCCATTATAGCAACTGCAACAACAATACAGATTCCTATATACCGTATACTGGGATTAGAAACTCCTGTATGGTATGCATACATGGGTTTTTAACCTGCAACAGTTTTGTCCAAACACAGAAAATGTTATGAGTTCAACAGTAGCTAAAGTAGATTTGCATTGCCTTACTTTCGCTACTCAGTAAAGAACGAAAAATTTTGGGGACTAGGGTAAACAAAGTTGGCTTATATTTTGGTCTATCCACAAAGATATCATCCTCAAGTGAAAGTTTTGCATATAACGGGTGTATAGTACATTCGAGATGTTGAATGTGAGAGTGATGGTGTATACATACACTGATTATATGCAAGAATTTTCCCATCATCTCTTAACATACTAGAAGTATGAAACCATATGTGTACACCAATGACGAAAAAAAATGAAGCCTGTTATTTTTTCAACTTGGTAAGGTATGAATATTGGGTCTTTAAGATCATAGGCTTCTTCCTTAGAAACTATTGCACCAAAGTCATGCATGACAAGTATCAGTGTCCCAAACTGAAGGGTTTTAGTCCATTTTGGTGAGATCAATAACGCCTGTGATGTGGCCAAAAGTAAAGCAAGAGCTTTTAGTGTTGGAGTCAAACTAAATAGAGAATTAATTGAAATAAACTTTTTCAGGGTCGTTATAACTTTTGAAGCTCATATGGTCTCAGATCAGAAACACTATGGCAAACAGTTATAATGTTACTTAATAATGCTCATTAAAATAAAATAAAAACTGCACTATAACTAAATTCAATTTAATTCCATTTGTAACCCAGTTACCTGAGCATCAAAGTCTTCAACTTAGCTCAGGCTCATTGCTCTTATATAAATCCTTATCCTCTTCTCTCCAACCATTAACAAAGCCAATCTAGCTAACCCTTTTCTGATATAGTGCAAAAGTAAGAGTTCCAGGTTTGCCAATAACCATGTCTAGAAAAGTTGAAGCAATAATTTTACTACTGCTAATGGCAGCATGTGCTGCAACCGGCCTGGCGCATGTACCACCCCCACCAGCATTGCCTCTCTTTCCACCGATCCCAGGCCTATTGCCACCAGGGATCCCAGGGTTGCCACTGCCAGGGAACCCGGATGACATAGCAAAGTGTTGGTCTTCACTTCAGAACGTTCCAAGGTGTGCATGGGAAATTTATACCTCAATCTCTACTGGTAAATTTGTAGTAGGCCCTGCATGTTGCAAGGCCTTCCAAGCAATTGACCAGAATTGCTTGCTGAAAATGTTCCCGTTCTTTCCTTCATTTCCTCCATTGATCAACAGCAACTGTGCAAATGCTGCAGCTCCAAAAGCAGGTGGGTCAAAGCAGTAATATGCAGTTGAGAGGATAGTTCTCAGAGGAAATAAGTTGATTCTGTTTTCAATTAGTCACATAGTCATGCAGAGTTTTTACCTTCTGGTGCCATTTAAGTTGCTTTGGTTTTGGAGGATTCAGGATTGTGATATGTATTTGAAGGAGAATAACAGCTAATTAATCTCATTAAAATAAGTCTCTCTCTGTCTCTCTGTCTCTGTCTCTCTCTCATACATAATTGAAATCCTTTGGTGAAAATAAACTATCAGATAGAAAATAGGGAGCAGAATCTTCAAAATAGGCCGCCGCCTAGGCAGATTTTTCCAACACAGTTTAAAACTCCCACAAACTATTTCAGCTGCTCTCAAATGATCCATAAATCTAATTAACAAGCACAAAATGACATATATGTGTATATATATATATATATATATATGCATAGTTCGAGTATGAAATTACCAAAATGGCATCGATGTCATCCTCAGGTGAGAGCTTCTGGTCTCTCTGCGAGCTCTCTTTTCCTCAGCTTTCACCGCTTTCTCTTTGCCTTTTCCTGGCTTCTTCATCTTCTTCCCCATGTCTGGAAACACTGCCAAAGAGGCCCAGACTCGGCGCAAGGAAGAAGAGAGAATTATCTGGACGACGCTAATATTACGATTTTTATTATTTAAAAATCGTATAGCCGCGCGGCTATACTATTTGTGACGCGTGGTGAAGTGTGAGCTAGCGCCAGACGGGTCCTTTTTGTTCATGAGCAGTATAGCCGTTCGGCTATACTCGGGTTTTAAAAAATAAAAAACGTATATCCGCTAGGCTAAACTCGTTTTTTTAAAAAAATAAAAAATAAAAAGAGTAAAGCCCCGCGGCTATACTATTAGGGTTCTTTCTAGGATGTTATTTATGCGTACAAGTATACAACAAAAGGAAAGTAATTACAATCCCATCTAATACGGGAATCCTATAATTATACAGGATTACAATTCCTAATTTAAATCAATTAAATGATTTACGCCAACATTCTCTCTTCAAATGTACACATGAAAAACAAATAATAATAAAGCTATTTTCAGACTTTCTAATAACATAAACTTGTTGCTTAAGTCTGATTACCTTGCAATAGTTTGCAAAGTTTTTTTTGTGGATGTACTCAACACTTGCAGGATATGTGGTGATAACATAATTTATGAACAAGTTAAGCGCCCTATAAGTTTTGTGTTTGTATCCAAACTCAGTCATGTATTCGTGCAGCATAAAGAAGTTCATTAGAGTGTTTAAGAAGTTTGTGACAACATATGATGGTATCTCTTTTTGCTCTCAGTGCCCAACCTTCTAGCATGGGACTGATCATAATTGTAGCAAAAATTACTGCTAAACTTATTGCTACGGGAGGTATCGGAGTGGAAATAAAATTCATGACACTGAAGACAAAAGTTGAGCACAAAGTGAATATTAGAGCATACCTCGAGGAATTTCTTCCAGCAAGTGAATTCATGCACCCAGAACCCATGATCAAATGCACCAAGATGAGCACAAGCTGCAAGGACACTTGCAATCGTCATTTTATAATTATCCGGTCTAACCATATCACCACTGCTGATCAGGCCTCGTTTGGCTGACCACCTTGTACAAACAAGGTCAAGCAATATGTACTACAATCACATTGATCGTATAACAAAAGTTCAGCAGAATACCTCTTCTGTATCAATCACCTCCCAGTGACCATCTTCTGAAGATTCGATATAAACCCTTCTATGTCCTGGGTCATATGCATTACAAGGGCCCAAGAAAAGCCAGTATCTATTGTATCTACGATCAGACCCCAAAAACACAAATTGCATTGGGTGTAAGTCAAACCGCACTTCTCTTTCTTTTCCATTTTTCTCTTTTGTAGAGAATCTCTAGTCAGAGAACTTTGAGATTGATTCTGAAGAATCTATAGGGTGAAACTTTAATCTATAATCTTCTTTTGCACCACTCATATGTCCTGCATGGAACCAGTAAACAAATAATTCAGATGGAATCACAAATTCCATATTACGATTAGGATCAAAATGGTTTGCTTCTGGTCATTGGTTAGGGAAAGGTAGATACGGTTAAAATAATAATATTAAATAGATCTAACTATGATCACAATTACGTATCCCAAACCAAACTATAAGCACATAGCAAGAACATCCTCTCAGACAAAGCTATATGGCCACAACTGACAAAAAGGGAAATTAGTAATTGCTTGTATATATGGCTTCCACCTTCCATTCCACTTATATAAAATCACACTATTTCGCTTGCTTAGTCACAAAGCAGAACAACTTTGTGACTAACCCTTAAACTGCTTGTATTATTTTGGATTTTCTTATTGAAATACAGGCTAATGTTGCTGCAGGTTGGAAGGCCTGTAATCTATGGCCTTGCAGCAAACGGAGAACGCGGCGTGAGACGGGTTATCGAAATGGTGAAAGATGAGTTTGAGCTCACTATGGCCCTCTGTGGCTGCCCTGGTGTTATGGATATTCCCAGGAGCCATGTGAGAACAGAATGCGATAAACTCCACTCCATGCTTTAATTTGTTTTAGAAGCATCAAAATGAAATTATGCAGAGAGATGGATGAAATGAGAATGAGGCCATCAATTATTTGGGAAACTGCTTCAATTAACAGCTATTGGAATTCAACTTGTTTTTTCTTCTCTCTCATATTGTAATTGAACTTCATTAAACGGCGGGTTAAATTTATATTTACTATGGAAGTGATAGGATAACATGTGTTTACGTGTCACCGGAGAGAACCATCTTTCGGAAGTCAATTTCCTATGCAAGGTGCATAGCTTTGATCAGCGTTTCAAACCGATACATTCAAGGTGCTAGGAGGGAGGCCACCGCTACGATTTCATCCTAATCGTAAGGAGTAGCCGCCAGGGAGTTTGGCGCCGCCTAGGCCGCCTAGCGCCCGCCTAGGCCGCCTAGAGCCCTCCTAGGCCTCCTAGAGCCCGCCTAGGCCGCCTAGCTCCCGCCTAGGCCTCCTAGCTCCCGCCTAGGCCTCCTAGCGCCGGCCTTGGCCTCCTAGCGCCGGCCTTGGCCGCCTAGCCCCGACCTTGGCCGCCTAGCCCCCGCCTAGGCCGCCTAGCTCCCGCCTAGGCCGCCTAGCGCCCGCCTAGGCCGCCTAGCTCCCGCCTAGGCCTCCTAGCGCCCGCCTTGGCCGCCTAGCCCCCGCCTTGGCCGCCTAGCCCCCGCCTAGGCCTCCTAGTGCCCGCCTAGCCCGCCTAGCGCCCTCCTAGCCCTCCTAGCGCCCGCCTAGCCCCCCTGGGCTGGTCTGGGCTGGAGTTTTGCCGTTGAGACGTCGAAGCTTAAGGTGGCATTGAGGCGCTGCATGAAGAAAGACCGAGAAAGAGAGATGAAGTCGAAACAGCGAGAGGAAGGAGTGCGGGCTGCGCTGGGAAGAAGAAGACATATAACCTAATTTTTAATATAACTAACGGGTTGGGTTTTGTAAAATGGGCTTTAACATTGTATTAAAATGGCCCTGTATTAAAAAAAGTAAACTTTTTTTGGTAGTTTTTTTATTATTTAAAATATCAAGGATACAAAAAATACAAAAGTAAAAGTCGTATAATATCAAGATTCGAAAATGTTAAATTTATAAACCACCGCCATAATAATTACGGCTACTTAAATCTCGTTGAATATTCAAATAATATTTACTGTCAAAGTATTTACATATATAATGCAGGTTGCACTATTCAAATGATATTATCTTACAAGGAACTGAACACGTTCCATTTAATAGGGCAACCTCATAGTAGTGGGAAAAATAAAAACAAAGAAAAGGTTTCAATGTCCGTGCAAATATTCTATATGTTACCTCCATTCAGAAACTAGAACCTGCATGAAGAAGATCAATTGGAGCCACTATTGCGCTCAACTTTTCTTCAATGCTTAAATTTGAATATTCGCCTTCCATCAGTCCTAACAACCATACTTCTCCTGCACGGCTCTCATCAATTTTGGTGTATACTATCACCATGTTATCTTTACTTTTGTCATGGTTCATATAAGTCAACTTTTTCATTTTGGAATTTCCTGAATTGCACCCAGAATCATCATCATTGCTACATGTACCACAGTTACCGAGGTCATCATCAACTGCTCCAGAGTCTTCGGTATCTAATTGGGATTCCTCCACTTTCTTTTCAGAAGAATTAATACGCACACGATATGTGGATGATGAAATATTTTCAAATAATGTAATATCACTTGAAAGAGTTGAACCAATTAAAGACTCTAGTTCCTCTATTCCACTGGGAAGGTTCAATTCAGAAATCTGCAAACAAAAAGAAAGTCCATCACTAATTCAAGCGTAATATCACATGAGAGAAGAGAGATTATGATAACAATATTTTCAAGAAAATTACCTGCAATGACTTCGCCAACTCAGAATCTTTCAACCCATGAATTCCTCGCTCTAGCAGAACTCCGAACAATTCACCCTTCAAAGTACCAGGACGTAAACCGTACTTCACCATAAGGCTCATTTCCTAGATAACATAAGATTCAATTTGAAAAACCAAATTTCACATTTATAGATAGGTTTATGAAACAACAGATAAAGCTTATATTAATTGTAGAACACAAATAAAACCACCACAAGAAAGTAAATAAAGGCTCCTGCGCATATAGTCATTAAAGCAAATAATTCTAGAGACAAGCGGAGACAAATAAACATATGCTCAACAGATGTTATTTAGGAATGCACAATAATGCCAACAAACAAAACTGAAGAAACTGTTTCCTTTAACATTCAATCACTACATGTTATATGTAAACAAATAATTCAGATGGAATCACAAATTCCATATTACGATTAGGATCAAAATGGTTTGCTTCTGGTCATTGGTTAGGGAAAGGTAGATACGGTTAAAATAATAATATTAAATAGATCTAACTATGATCACAATTACGTATCCCAAACCAAACTATAAGCACATAGCAAGAACATCCTCTCAGACAAAGCTATATGGCCACAACTGACGAAAAGGGATCAGGGAAATTAGTAATTGCTTGTATATATGGCTTCCACCTTCCATTCCACTTATATAAAATCACACTATTTCCCTTGCTTAGTCACAAAGCAGAACAACTTTGTGACTAACCCTTAAACTGCTTGTATTATTTTGGATTTTCTTATTGAAATACAGGCTAATGTTGCTGCAGGTTGGAAGGCCTGTAATCTATGGCCTTGCAGCAAACGGAGAACGCGGCGTGAGACGGGTTATCGAAATGGTGAAAGATGAGTTTGAGCTCACTATGGCCCTCTGTGGCTGCCCTGGTGTTATGTATCCCAAACCAAACTATAAGCACATAGCAAGAACATCCTCTCAGACAAAGCTATATGGCCACAACTGACAAAAGGGATCAGGGAAATTAGTAATTGCTTGTATATATGGCCTCCACATTCCTTTCCACCTAAATAAAATCACACTATTTCCCTGCATTGTGCAAAGCCACATGGTAAAGTCACTTTGCCTGCTTGCTTAGTCACAAAGCAGAACAACTTTGTACAACAAAAATAACTTCAGTATTATAGCTCTACCTCTACCATTATTTTTGTTTTTTGATCCATGGACAAATCTGTCATGCAGAATCCTTTGCCCCATGTACCTGCACCACATGCACAACAAAAGAAACCAAAATGCAGGTTTAAGCAGCAATTAGTATAAGATTTTCGTGAAGATTATGTATATATGATATGTTTTCCAAGTATACTTGCCTTCCAAGCATCATGACAGTAGCTTGAGGATTAGCACCCGGGGTTTGATAAAACGTTGAACCATCAATAACCCTCAGAAAATCAATACCAAGAAGTCTATATCCTTTATCAACAACCCTCCCACCTTTACCAAGAAGTCTATAGAAAATAGAAAATTTTGGAAATAACCATCATACCTTTGCTGAAAATAAACTATCTGATAGAAAATAGGGGGCAGAATCTTCAAAACAATAACAAAAAAGGAATCTTGGGTGGGAATCACTAGGGGTGGGCACGGTTCGGTTTGGACCGGTTCTTGGAGAAAAATGGAACCTGATCCAATAGTGCAATCCGGTTCGGTTTGGACCGGTTCTGCTCAATATCCATACAGAAATCCGAACCAAACCGGACCTATCCGGTTTCGGTTCGAATTCCATCGGTTTTTAAAAATAATAATAAACAAACCTGCCCAAAATGAATTTATATACTAACATACCTCAAATTTGAGGTTCTATCAAGCTTTCAACGCATCAAAATGAATCTAACTTTAACAAAAATGCAATCCAAATTCAATCCAACTTTAACATATAAATTACAACCCAAATTCAATCAAACTTCAACAAAAATGCAATCCAAATTCAATCCAACTTCAACATATAAATTACAACCCAAATTCAATCAAACTTCAACAAAATAAGTTCCAAAATAAATTACTAGCCAAATACAACCCAAATTCAATTCAAATATACATTACAACCCAAATTCAATCCAACTTCATTAAATTCCTCCTAACATTGAAAAGTAGTTGGAGCTATGGTGCTAGGTGTGGATGAACTCATAATATATACATAAAAAAAACATAAACCCATTAAAACATTAGTCAAACATACACATTATATAATACATTAATAAAGCATATAAAATTACAAAGACACCCAATCAAACTTAGCCAAGTATAAAAATATTTATATAATTTCAAATATAATATAAAAATATATATATTAATTTTATTGGACCGGTTCGGATTGGACCGGTTCCTAAGGGTGGAAAACCGGAACCGGAACCGGTATAAACCGGTTCGGTTTGGATTTTTCTCGGTTTTTGACTTTTTCGGTCAACACGGTTTTTTTTCGGTTTTTTCCGGATTGGTTTGGTTCGGTTTTACGGTTTTGCGGTTCCAATGCCCACCCCTAGGAATCACAGACAACGATTGCAAAAAATGGGCCGCCCAGTGCCTAGGTGCCGCCTAGGCCGATTCTTCCAACACTGTTTAAAACTCCTACATACTATTTCAGTTGTTCTCAAATGATCCATAACTCTAATTAACGAGCACAAAATGACATACATTTGGGAATCACAGACAACGATCGTGAAAAATCGGCCGCCGAGCGCCTAGCCGCCTAGGCGGCCGCCTAGCCCTATTTTCAAATGATTCATAACTCTAATTAACAAGCACAAAACGACATACATATATATATGCATAGTTCGAGTATGAAATTACCAAAATGGCATCGATGTCATCCTTAGGTGAGAGCTTCTGGTCTCTCTGCGAGCTCTCTTTTCCTCAGCTTCCACTGCTTTCTATTTTCCTTTTCCTAGCTTCTTCGTCTTCTTCCCCATGTCTGGAAACACAGCCAAAGAGGCTCGGACTCGGCACGAGGAAGAAGAGAGAGAGTTACCTAGATGACGCTCATACTACACGATCATTGTTATTTTAAAATAGTATAGCCGCCCGGCTATACTATTTGTTATGCGTGCCAAAATGTGCGCTAACGGCAAGCAGTTCCTTTTTTTTTTTTAAATAAATAGTATAGCCGTTCATCTGTACTCATATTAAATATAATATACCTAAAGGGTATCGCCGCGAGACTATACTACGATTTTTTGTTATTAAAAAAATTGTATACCCGTGCGGCTATACTATTTTTGACATGTGGCGAAACGGGGGCTAGCTGCCATGCAGGTGGTATTTTATTATAAATTGTATAGCCCGCGGTTATACGATTTTGTTTATAATAAAAAACCATAGTATAGCCTTGTGGCTATACTCTTTAAGTATATTATATTTAATATGAGTATTGCCGCACACCTATACTATTTACAATATAAAAAATAAAAAAATAGCACATGGCGAAACGGGGGCTAGCTGCCATGTGGGTGGGCTTTTTTATTATAAATAGTATAGCTGCCTGGCTATACTTGAAGTTTTTTTTTCAATTGGGTTAATTACATTTTTGGTCACTGGGATTAGGCCTGAATTTAAATTTGGTCACCGAAATTTTAATTTTCCAATTTTTGTCACTATAGTTGTCGTTAACAAATCAAATCAAATCAAATCCATTAATTCTGTTTGTTAAGTTTAAAAAATAAATTGTAAATAAGTAATTTTTTGGGGACTACGTTTTTGTTCTGGTTCCTTAGTTGATGATAGCAAATCCAGCACAACATCACACCTTCCTCACATCACCGACATCTACCCAGCCACCTTATCCCAGCCAACCACCACCGCCAACAAAGCATCCCAGTCACAAAATTCAAAAGACTTCTCAACCCACCCAAATTCAAAGAGAAACGAAATCAAAATTAATTCCTATTGTTACAAAATTCAAAACCCAAATATAATTAACACCAAATATTCAAAAATAAATAAATAAATAATGTAATAATGCTTCTATCTAATGGACCAACCAAATAGTATAGTTGGTCGCGCAGCTATACTACAGTTTTTAGAGCACTTCCACCTATTTGTTATGGCAAAAGGCAAGGGGCAAGGCAATGACTGTTACTATTCATGTGAATAGTGGCAACCCTTGCAAAAGGCTTGTGGTGTTTCCACCCATTGTCATGGAAACCCAAGGGCAACCACTATTCACATGAGATATGAAGAGATGAATTTGTATAGATTTTTGGTATGGGAAATGAAGAATATGACTAAGTATTTATTTAAAACTAATTTTGAAATTTTTTTGTTATTTTTTTTTTTTTTTTTTTGTTTTTTTTGTCATTAGCAAACCCAGGTAATAGCCCATGATGTTCTTGCCTTTGGGCCAGGCCAGGCTTGTGGAGCCCACCAGCTACGCGGGCTGCATTTGCTCGCTAGAACATCCAACTGGGGCTTGGACCCCTTCCTGCCTGGGCCACAACTACAACGGGAAGTGCTCTTATTATTAAAATGGGCACTAGCCGTCAAGCGGGGTTTCTATTTTTCTTATAAATAGTATAGCCGCCGGGCTATACTATTTTTCATTTTTTCGTAAATAGCTGAGGGGCCTTACCTTGATAAAAAAAAAAAAAAAAAAAAAAAAAAAAAAAAGCCGGAGGCTATACTCTTTATATACTAGGATCTTTATTTTATTTTATTTTTATCTCTTTTCCCCTGCACCAAAGTCATGCATGACAAGTATCAGTGTCCCAAACTGAAGGGTTTTAGTCCATTTTGGTGAGAGCAATAACGCTTGTGATGTGGCCAAAAGTAAAGCAAGAGCTTGTAGTGTTGGAGTCAAACTAAATAGAGAATTAATTGAAATAAACTTTTGCAGGGTCGTTATAACTTTTGAAGCTCGTATGGTCTCAGATGAGAAACACTATGACAAACAGTTATAATGTTACTTAATAATGCTCATTAAAATAAAATAAAAACTGCACTATAACTAAATACAATTTAATTCCATTTGTAACCCAGTTACCTGAGCATCAAAGTCTTCAACTTAGCTCAGGCTCATTGCTCTTATATAAATCCTTACCCTCTTCTCTCCAACCATCAACAAAGCCAATCTACCTAACCCTTTTCTGATATAGTGCAAAAGTAAGAGTTCCAGGTTTGCCAATAACCATGTCTAGAAAAGTTGAAGCAATAATTTCACTACTGCTAATGGCAGCATGTGCTGCAACCGGCCTGGCGCATGTACCACCCCCACCAGCATTGCCTCTCTTTCCACCGATCCCAGGCCTATTGCCACCAGGGATCCCAGGGTCGCCACTGCCAGGGAACCCGGATGACATAGCAAAGTGTTGGTCTTCACTTCAGAACGTTCCAGGGTGTGCATGGGAAATTTATACCTCAATCTCTACTGGTAAATTTGTAGTAGGCCCTGCATGTTGCAAGGCCTTCCAAGCAATTGACCAGAATTGCTTGCTGAAAATGTTCCCGTTCTTTCCTTCATTTCCTCCATTGATCAACAGCAACTGTGCAAATGCTGCAGCTCCAAAAGCAGGTGGGTCAAAGCAGTAATATGCAGTTGAGAGGATAGTTCTCAGAGGAAATAAGTTGATTCTGTTTTCAATTAGTCACATAGTCATGCAGAGTTTTTACCTTCTGGTGCCATTTAAGTTGCTTTGGTTTTGGAGGATTCAGGATTGTGATATGTATTTGAAGGATTATAACAGCTAATTAATCTCATTAAAATAACTCTCTCTACCTCTCTACCTCTCTCCCTCTCTCTCTCTCACATACATAATTGAAATCCTTTGGTGAAAATAAACTATCAGATAGAAAATAGGGAGCAGAATCTTCAAAACCATAACAAAAAAGGAATCATGGGTGGGAATCATACACAACGATTGCAAAAAAATGGGCCGCCCAGCGCCTAGCCACCGCCTAGGCTGATTTTTCCAACACTGTTTAAAACTCCTACAAACTATTTCAGTTGTTCTCAAATGATCCATAACTCTAATTGACGAGCACAAAATGACATACATATGGGAATCACAGACAACGATTGTGAAAAATCGGCCGCCGAGCGCCTAGCCCCATTTTTTTCTAACACTGTTTAAAACTCCCACAAACTATTTCAGCTGTTCTCAGATGATCATATCGGTATAGAGTATCGCCGTGCGGCTATACTCGGTAAATATAGTTGCTTAACAGTATCGTCACCTGACTATACTATAATATTTTAAAAGCATATCCGGAGGGCTATATTCCAAAAATAGAATATCATATCTGTATAGCCGCACAGCGATACTAGATAATAGCGTAAGCGTACAGTCGCACGGCTATACTCCACAAATTATAATAGCGTACAAGTATAGCCGCACGGCTATACTTCATAGATGACTTAATAAATAGTAATTAATTATTTTGTGTATTTTTTTATATATTAAATAATTATTAAAACAAAATATATTTAAAGAGTATAGAATCACTGTATTAATACAATAAGCAATGTGTTTATACAAGAACATATTATACAATCAGTTAGAAGATAGTTATAACTGAAAAGATGGGATGCTAACTTGAATGGTTTAACTCCTAACAAGTAACAAGAAATTATTCCAAAAGTATGAAATGCTTCCAATTCTCAAATATGGGGTCATGTGGCCTTTTCTGAAATCTGTTATCTGTTTCAGGGCGGGGAATCGCTAATCAACATTTAAGAGTTCCCTCATTGACAATATTCTAATAATGGGCAAGTTAGGTTTGCTGAATCACGATTTGTGTTTCATTTGTACTGTATGCATTGCATATCTTGAATGCTATATTTATGTTCTAATCTATAAGCTGTATTCATTTGTTTTAATCTGCGTTTTTCTTTTGGTATTTGTATATGTTTGGTTGCGGACTTATTCTGAATCACGCAGTCACAATTTTACGCTCAATGCAACATTTGATGACGTTGAGTTTGACAAATATGATGGACTAATAATACCAGGAGGACGGGCTCCTGAATATCTTGCTATGCATGCATCGGTTGTAGGATTGGTGAGAAAATTTTCCGATTCTAGAAAGCCAATTGCTGCTATTTGCCATGGGCAGTTGGTCTTAGCAGCTGCTGGAGCTGTTAAAGGTCGAAAGTGTACTGCGTTCCCAACTCTGGGACCTGTACTTGCTGCTGCAGGCGCTTACTGGGTAGAACCTAAGACCATGTCGGGTTGTGCCGTTGATGATAATCTAGTTACTGGGGCTACATTTGAAGGTCATCCTGAGTTCATTGGGTTTTTTGTGAACGCACTGGGGGGGGTAACATAGTAAGTTATATTTAAGTATTTCTCTTTGTCTATCTACATGCATGAATGGGCATAAAAATAAACTTAAAAGAACTGATGTTGACATATACTGTTGAAAGAGAGAGGGAGGAAAGCCTCAGTATGCTTTACCAGATTTGCCACAAATTGTGATGTGGTATTATTATTCATTCCTATGTAATGTATGCAATGTGTTGGCGGTATGCTTCATTGGTTTGCTTATTTGGGTTGTGTTTCACTTTGGAATACTTGTTTTTCAGGTCATTTGTGTGAAATGTGAAGGTAAATCCAAACATGCATACTGCCCATTTTCAGGTCATTTGTGCGAATTCTGGATTTGGAACGATACATAGACAAGTAGCTCCCTTTATGAATTTTAAAGGACCACTTTACATTTAGTATCATGATTCCAAGGGAAGTAGACTACTCAAGAATTTCAAATCTCAAGTTTTTTGCTGACATTGAATAAAGGACTAAAAATGCTTGCTTATTTCTTTACAGTTCAATTCTGCCCTTCCTTCCCCTAACTAAATGCCTAAACCACTAAAGATTGCCCATATTCCCATTTATTAGCTCTCCAAAGTCCAAACGCAGCCGCAAATCCATAACTTAGTTGCTTTCAGATTTCATCCAACCTATTTTCTTGAACCAGCCCCTTTTCCCCCTTTAAAATCTAATCCTTTGAATCCTACTGAAACTTGTCTCTCTACAACGCCAAAAGTTAAAAATACAAGTTGACAAACCATAAAGCCCACCACATAAGCAGTTGTAGGCTGATTATTTAAGCTATCCTGCATCAAAATATTCTTTTACTTGTTATTCTGGATCAAACTTGTACTTGTTTAACAGTGATAAGATTGTTAATAAATCAAGATTGGCTGCAAAGTCCAAAAGCAACCACCTTGAAGTTCTGCTCTGTTTGTTTCTGATTCTTCTGGTTGATGGAGAATTTACTTATTTGCACGTTATGAAGTTCTTAGCATGCCCTAATTGTTATCCACTGCCTACATTTATGGGGAAAGAAATGCACTGCATACCCAGCCGTGAAGCTTAATGTGGTTTTGTCGGGAACAACATGGCTGGAACCTGATTAGATCGTTGCTTCACTGATGGAAATTTGGTTACTGGAGTAGCGTGGCCAGGCCACCCGGAGTTCATTTCGCAACTGATGGCCTTGCTTGATGTTCGAGTATCATTCTAGTTGCTGTTTACCTGGTCAGCCGCTAGCATGTGATATACTTAATTCATGAAAGATTAAGACTACGAGGATACGCTGCCTTTTGTATCAATGAGGGACCAAGTAATAATCTGTTTTTGATCTGAGATTGCATGCTATTCCTAATATAGGGAATGAATATCGTGACTATTGGGATAACATATTCATATGCCTATTACTTGTGCTTTACATTGAAATTTGATTTATCACTCACCGAAGTGTCCTTTTCGTTTGTTGCTGCATCTAGAGTGTATTTTTCACATGATATTAGATTTTCATTTCTGTGAATTAACAATTTATTTACTAAAAAAAAACATAGCAGTGAAGGGAAAAATAGAAGCAAGAGGGCCTATTCATCACATCACTCCTTATCTTCTCAAATGTTTGATCTTCAGAGGCTTAACAACGCTATCTGATGTTCCTGTGACCAATTATGTGTATATAAAAAGTCCAGAAATTGGTATGTCCAGCACAAGTAATGGTCCAAGTCTCAAGTGGTATATCACATTCTAGGTTTATCCTGTGACTTGTATTGCAACACAATCAAACTAGAGACTTACCTCTCAATGCATCAAATTTTGATCCAAATCTAATTCGAATATGAAAATCAATTATTTAACAAATTCAATTCCATTTAAAATAACATAAATTAATTTAGAGTAAATTGCTGTACACAACTCCGAACTAAGATCCCAATCGAATCTCTCGAACTAAAAAGTAAGCAAATTTAACAACCGAATTAATTAAATGGCAAATTTAGCATTTGCCGTTAATTTGTGTGAATTTCAACCAATTTTCCATTAATTATAAGGATAAACTCGTAATTTGGAGTAAAATAAAAAGGAAATAAAAATAATTAATAAGAAAACTAGAATAACATTTTTAAAAAAAAATTAAAAGAAAAAGAAAAAACAGCCCCATCCAGCAAGAAGCCCGAACAATTAGCGTCAATGGAGGTGTGTCTCTGAGAGGGAGTTAGATTGAAGCTTTGTCTGTAACATATACCTTGGCTGCCTCCCCACACCCTCCAAATTAAAATTAAAATTAACCAAAATTTTCCACCCCTGTTGTATGTTTTGCAGACTAGGTTTTTCCAATGAAATTTCTAAAGGTTTCGAACCAAAAACAAAATAATGATAGCTGGATTCTTGGATGGTGAAAAAGTTGAAACGCGGTGTATTGGTAGGGAAAATAGGAGGGCTTTCTATTTATATGGAAAGATAAGCAAAGCCGCCCGGCTATACTTCTTAAGGTATTCTATTTATAGAGTCCGGCCGCACGGCTATACAGTTGGTATTCTATTTATATAGTAAAGCCGCGCGGCTATACTGTTATATATTCTATTTATAGAGTATAGCCGGACGGCTATACGTTTAACATATTTTATTTACAGCGTATAGCCGCGTGGCTATGAGTTCAGAATATTCTATTTATACAGTATAGCCAAGCGGCTATACCATTAACATATTCTATTTACATACCATAGTAGATATTCTATTTAGGCTTAATTATGTACATGCCCCCTGTGCTTTTACGTTTTTCTCAGATTACCACCTGTGGTGGAAATCGTCTCAAAGTACCCCCCAACGTATAAATAACCGTCTCAATTTACCCCATCCGTCAAATTTCTTGACGGTCCGTTACGAACAGTGGGCCCCACTTCGTTTTAACCTTTAAGCTGTTCGAATAAGGGTTTCTCAGTTTGTAAGAAAGGGGAAATTGGGTTTAGGGTTCATTGGAGAAGAGGAGAAGAGGGTTGTTGTCAAAATCTGAGGGTTCCTTCGATTTTGGGAGAAATTGGAGAAGAAATCATTCTTTGTAAAACTCTGAGGTGGAGTTTGAAATTGGAAGGTTGTGGAGTAGAAGATTTGGGATGATGGAAACAGGAGAGAAGCAAGGAGAAGGAGGGCATGGCCAATGGTGTCATTGTGGGAAGTTAGCACGGATGCAGACTTCTTGGACCAGTTCAAACCCAGGGCGAAGATTTCTAGTCTGCCCAAAGTCAAAGGTAAGCATGTTTAAGATAAAATTTTCAGTCATTATTTTGGGCATCACAAATTGATAGAGTTGTTAGTGATGAAATTGTCAGTGATTGATGAAATTTTCAGTCATTTTACCACCCAAATTTTCAGTCGTTGTTCTTGGTTGATACAGGGAAGGGGAGAAAAAGGATGTAGGTTTTTTCAGTGGTTTGATGCAGAAATGTGTGAGCGTTCAAAATCGTTGATACCTGGTTTGCTGAGGAAGATTGATAGGGTGGAGAAGGAAAATGCAAATATTCGAGCAAAGTCAAAAATATTGTGGGCTGCTATGTTGCTTTCGTGGTTGGTGGTGTTTGCCATGAAGATGAATTAGGCACTTTGGCAGTAGTTCATTGGGCATTGTAATTTGATACCTGATGTTAATGTAATGTAAGGCATTTTGGCAGTAGTTAAGCATTTTGGCAGTAGTTAAGCACTTTGGCAGTAGTTTAATGGGCAAATTTAATTTGAGAACAAATGCTAATCTAATGTAAGACACTTTGGCAGTGTAATGTAATGTCATTTGGTGTAATGTAATGTAATGCTAGTTAAGTTTACTGGATATGTAATTTGTTTAGGGGTTACAAATGGTGACATGAATGGTAAGCTGTTTAGAGGTTACAAATGGTGACATGAATGTAATGCTAGTTAGTTAAGTAATGTAATGCTAGTTAGTTAAGTAATGTAATGCTAGTTAAGTTTGATATGTGATATGAATGGTAATTTCTTGATGAATGTAGAAGAAGATAACCAAAATTCAGTTTTCCCTAAAAAAGCAGGACCTGCCTTCTTTGCCAAAGTTTATGGTGGATATGTAGCTTTTGGTAACATGTCAAAGTTTACTGGAATCTGGAAAGCAAGAGGCAAAGCCCAAAACTAGCAAAAGCACCTGTCATTATAAGCACAAACCAAAACAGAAAAGGTTCCAAAACAGAACACAAACCAAAACAGGTTCCAACCAAAACAGGTTCCAAAACAGACCAAAACAGATTCCAAAACAGACCAAAACAGGTTCCAAAACATATATCTTAGCAATATATGCACAAACCAAAACAGGTTCCAAAACAGACCAAAACAGATTCCAAAACAGACCAAAACAGGTTCCAAAACATATATCTTAGCAATATATGCACAAACCAAAACAGGTTCCAAAACAGATTCCAACCATAACAACCTCAGGAAATATGCACAAACCAAAATAGGTTCCAAAATTGGTTCCAACCATAACATACATTAAATATTCAGGTTCCAAAACAGGTCCAACCATAACATACATCAAATATTCAAACCATAACATACATCAAATACATTTAAATGTTCCAAAACAGTAACATACATTAACAGGTTCCAAACATAACAACCAACAACCATTAAAGTCTTCCACAACATTCAAGGATGAAAAAAAGGATCTTTGACAAAATGGCTCCTCTGTTGATCTTTCATCCTCTTCCGACGTTGTTGTACTCGAGATAATTTGGCAGGTTCAGGTGTTTGAGATGGCTGGGATTGAAAAGCATCAGCTGCTTCAGATGGTTGGGATAGAGAAGCAGCAGCTACTTGAGATGCCTGGGATTGAGAAGGCCCTTGGGAAGTGCTTGACTGTTTCCTTTGCCTTAATTGCATACTCTGTTGTCCGCCACTTTGGTCTCCACCATCTCTCCTTCTTACCTAAAACAAATAATAATTAGAAGTTTCCATGATATAAAATTTTGATGAGTGAAAACATAGTTGAAACTGTGGCACTTACTGCAAGTTTGTCCTTGGCAATGTTCCTCTTCCTAGTAGGCTTTATGTTGGGATTTCTAGGTTCCTAATAACCACATTCATCAAGTCAGAAACCAAATCAAATACATTTAAATGTAAAGCAATAATTCTAAAAACCACATACCTTACAACCACTTCGATTATGCCCTTCTCCACCGCAATTGGCACACTTTAAAGGTAAACCATACCTAGGAAGCTTATATGGATTAGAAGGAAGTTTAGGTTCTTCAACAGCTTGTTTTCTTGTCTTCTTAGGCCTACCAGGCTGCTTGTGGTATTTCGGAGGGAGTAATGGAGGTAAATTAACCTTCATCCACTGATCTTGGCTAGTCATAGGCATAATCATTGGTTGATAGGCTCTCAAATAAGCCTCTTTCTTGTACACTGCATCACAAAAGTCCTCTGGATTCCCATGAAACCAACTTATTGCAGCACATGCATGCAAACATGGTATTCCATTCAAATCCCAAGCATGGCATGAACAAGAGTGGCCATTCAAATCAACAGCAAAGGTGCGGCCACTATGGTGCATTACTTCAAACTGATTCTGTCCAGCAGCCTTAGGAATGCACCACTGAGCTTTTGCTTTGTTTTTCTCTAATATCTTTCTAATTCTTGGCCCAACTTGTCCATGCCATTTCTCACAGAGAACCCTTCTTCCCGCCATCAACAACATTATATACAACCGAATTCTTTCTAGCATAGTCAGAATAGGCTTGTCTCGGGCATCTAGTATGCTACGGTTGAATGCCTCACATAGATTGTTCATAAGCATGTCACACTTGGAATCAGTCTTGAAATATGCCCTACTCCAATGCCTAGGATCTTTCTCCATGAGCCAATCATGTGCAGGTTTAGACAACTGCAACATCTTTGTCATCTCTGCATGAAACCATGGCACTGTTGTGGCTCTAGCAATTGCTTCCATTTGATGTTTCAAGGCAAGACCTCTATGTTCCAAATAGAAGTTCCCATATAGATGTTTCAAACAATGTCTATGCTCTGCCTGAGGGAATAGAGCATTCACAGCATCTATTAACCCTTTTTGTTTGTCAGTCATAAATACATAACCATGGCTATTCGTAATATTGAGATCACCACTCAATAATTCTAAAAACCACAGCCATGTTGAATTGCTCTCAATCTCTACATATGCATAGGCAAGTGGAAACATTCCGTTGTTTGCATCAACTCCCATTGCAGAAAGCACTTGCCCAGGGTGAGGCCCTTTGACATGACACCCATCCAAGCAAACCACAGGCCTACAACCATCTAAAAACCCCTTCTTGCAGGCTGCAAGACAGATGTAAATTCTTTGAAACCGTGGCCTATCACCTTCCATTTCAGATTTAATGATAACTGTACTTCCCACATTCCTGGTTCTTAACTCATGACAATATTCCCACAATACTTCATATTGTTTGCTGTAAGACCCCTCTACAATGTCAACTGCCATGGCTCTTGCTCTGTACACAGTTGCTCTAGATGGTCTGTAACCATAGTCTTGGTGAACTTGCTCTACAAAAGAAGAAGCAGTCCAATTTGGATTGAGCCTTAACTGCCCAGAATATCTTTCAGCCAACCAGCCAGCAGTAGCATGTATATTTTTAGTCCCCTTGCTACAAACATGTGTAGGATTAAAGGTTTTCACCTGCAGGTAAGTGCTACCACTAACACTTGAAGCATAGATAACAAAAGGACAGCCCTCTTCACATACTGCTCTTATTTTGTTACGGTCATTATGCATAAAAATCAACTCCCTTCCACAATTAATGGAGTATATCCTCACAGCTTTTCTAAACAACTCGGCAGTTGCAAACCTTAAACCTATTTTGAAACTTGGGCTTCCCATATCAATTTCAGGTCTGAAATCTTCACCTTTTGGCATCCTATTCTTCTTCCTTCTTACTTCACCCACTGCATCATCTTCACTTTGTGAACTATTTGGGCAGGTAAGTGTAGGTGACTCTTCTCCATTGTCTGACTCATCATTTTGCTCTGCATTAGGATCATTGTCAAAATACTATGATCCACATAACCTTCAAACCACTTATCATCATTCTTCAATAATTCAATCTCTTCATCACTCTGTGCATAGTCACTGTCTTCAAAGTCTGGATCACTGCTATCATCATTCTCAGAACAAGAATATTCTTTATCACTGCTATCATTCCCCACTTGGCTTGAAGTTAAGCTCACTACCTTCAAGTACAAAACTACAACCCTGCTATTGCTTTTAGGTACCATGCTCATACAAGCTAAAAGTGTACTATCAGATATTATTTGAATGAGTCTGCTAGTTCCAAACTCTTCACCATAAAAACTCACATCATACCCATCGCCATATCCCAAATCTTTAGCCATTCCAAATAGCTCTAACATGGACATATAGTCAACCTCACAGTAATCAAACCAACTGACTTCACCACCTAAATAAGACCACTGACTGTCCTTTCTATTTTTCACTAGTTTACCTCCATGGAAAAACTTAAATGTGACAACCTCATCAGCATCTTTATCTGCGTAATAGGAACATTCACTTAACAAATGGAAAAAAACACACAAAGAGAAAAGAAGGACCACACAAAGGATAATACAAGGAACACCCAAGGACCACATAAGGTATATTGGGGCCAGCACAGAATAAAAAAATATATGAAAGAACAAAAAAATTTCGAGCAACACACCACACTAGGAACATGCAAGGACCACACAATGATCACACAAGAACCAGCAGAGTCAAAAAGTATACAAAAAACAAAAACAAAATCCTAACAACAGTTCAATGCACATGCCAAAATCAAGAAAATCGAGTAACAATGGGTCCACTTACATATGGGTTGACAACCTCCAGATTCTCTAAGCACCACCATCTTCGCACCTTCCAGCCTTAGAGTCTAACGCCAACGAATGATTTCTTCTCCAATTTCTCCCAAAATCGAAGGAACCCTCAGATTTTGACAACAACCCTCTTCTCCTCTTCTCCAATGAACCCTAAACCCAATTTCCCCTTTGTTACAAACTGAGAAACCCTTATTCGAACAGCTTAAAGGTTAAAACGAAGTGGGGCCCACTATTCGTAACGGACCGTCAAGAAATTTGACGGATGGGGTAAATTGAGACGGTTATTTATACGTTGGGGGGTACTTTGAGACGATTTCCACCACAGGTGGTAATCTGAGAAAAACGTAAAAGCACAGGGGGCATGTACATAATTAAGCCTTCTATTTATATAGTATAGCCGGTCGGCTATAGGTTGAGCATATTCTATTTATAGATTATAGCCGCGCGGTCATACTGTTAGATATTCTGTTTATATAGTATGGCGGCTATACTGTTAACGTATTCTATTTATAGAGTAAAGCCATGAGATTTTATTTCCTTATCCATCTGAGAGTCTAGTCCACTATATTCTCTCTCACCCCCTCCTCCCTCTCTCTCTCTGAAATTCCAAGAAATTAAACACAAGAAAATGGCGAAAGGTGAACGCAGGGTGTTGTTGGTATTGGGGGACTACGTGGAAGACTACGAGGCGATGGTTCCATTTCAAGCACTGCAGGCATATGGAGTGTCCGTTGATGCCGTCTGTCCTGGCAAGAAAGCTGGTGATATCTGCCGCACAGCCATTCATCAACTTTCTCCTGCTCACCAGGTCACCCACCTCTGCTTCTTTTGCCTTTTCCTTTGTTTATTTTTAATGAAAAACGTTTTCTTTAGCCTCATTACATCACTTGAGCACTGTCAATTGGTCTTTTCCATGCTCTGTAATCAAGCACACTCAATTAGATTGAAGATTGAATGCTTACTTCACTTGAATTTGTAAACCCAAAACAAGAAATTTGTCTCAAAGATTGAAGTGCTTACAATTCTCACATATGGGATTATGTTGCCTCCTCTAAAATTTGGAATCTGTTGGGACTGGAAATTAGTTTGTCAAGTTTACGAACGAACATCACGCTTTCAAGTTTAGTTTTTTGCATCAGCCAATCGTTGGTAGCCTTAATTATAGACAAAATGAATAATTTTTATTTTTGATTAGAGCCACTCTATTAGATTGACAAATAGCAATCCGTAGGTTATAGACTTATAGTTCTAGGTTGTGTGGACAGCGAGACTAAAGTAAGCTCAAACAAGAACACATGTTAGGAGTTTTGTTAGAGTGCTTGCTCATTCATTATGAGCTAGAGAACTAACCTGTATTGAGCTTGAGTTCTGGGGACAAGACAGCGTGAACAAATTCTTGGCTCCAACGTCACTGCGTACACCATATTCAATAAACAAAATTGCATTAGTGCCCTCATCTCTAAGTGAAAACAATCTGATAATGGGCTACCTAGGTTTGCTGAATCGTGATCTGTGTTTAATTTACAAATCTTCAAATGCTATATGTCTTTCTGGTCCCCCTTTGTTTTAATATGTGTTTTGGTTTTCTGTATTTTTTTCTTTGGTTGCAGACTTATTCTGAATCACGTGGTCACAATTTCGCACTCAATGCAACATTTGATGACATTGAATTTAACAAATATGATGGATTAATAATACCAGGAGGACGGGCACCTGAATATCTTGCTTTGGATGCGTCGGTTTTAGAATTGGTGAGAAAGTTTTCTGACTCCGGAAAGCCAATTGCTTCGATTTGCCATGGGCAACTTGTCCTAGCAGCTGCAGGCTCGGTTAAAGGTAGGAAGTGTACGGCCTTCCCAGCTGTCAGACCTGTACTTGTTGCTGCAGGTGCTTATTGGGTGGAACCCGAGACCATGTTGGCGTGTGTTGTTGATGGAAATATAATTACTGGGGCTACATATGAAGGCCATCCTGAGTTCATTAGGCTTTTTGTGAAGGCACTAGGAGGTAACATAACTGGTTCAGATAGGAGGATCCTGTTTCTCTGTGGGGTAAGTTTAATTTTCCTTCGTAGTGCAATGAGAAATATGAAATTGTGATGCCGATCAATATTGAGTATATATGGTATCGAGATTTGCCCTTTTACAGATACTTCTGAAAGATAGTGAAAATAACCTGAAGGGGCTTTACCAGATTTGCCACAATTCTGGTTTGATAGGGTTCCATTATTCATTCCCATGTGTTTTTTCAATGTTTTGGTGGTATGCTTCATTGGTCTGCCTACCTGGGTCCGTTGCCCATTCGAATACTTGTTTGTCAGGTCATTTGTGTGAGTTGTGAACTTGTGAAAGTAAATCCAAACATGCTTACTGGTCATTTTTCAAGTTGTTTGAATTATGGATGATACATAGACAAGTAAATCCTCTATGAATTTTAAAAGACTTCTTTACTTTAATTTTCCGGAAAGTTGACTACTGAAGAATTTCAATTCCCTCCTTCCCCCCAAACTGAATACCTCCAATACCCAAGCCAATTAGGTCTCCAAATTCGAAATGCTACTACTGCCCTAGACCCATAAATTAGTTGCTGTCAGATTTCATAAGAACCTATTTTCTTGAAACCAGTTGTTTGTTTTTCCTTTAAAACCAAATCCTTTGAAGCATACCTAAACTTCTCTACCTACAGTGCCAAAAGTTATACAACTTGACAAACCTTAACGCCCACCACGTTTTGTAAGCTGGTTATTTAACAGTGATAAGATGGTCCATAAATCAAGATTGGCTACTTGACAAACCTTAAAGCCCACCAAATTCAAAATATTATTTTACTTGTCAATATCAATAGTGATAAGATGGTCGATAAATCAAGTTTGGCTACGTGTTTTAAGTCACTGTAAATCTAGTAAACCCCTTGACAAGAACATTAAAGCTGCATGTTGTTTGTTTATGAACTAATTGCTATCTACGTATTATTCTAGTCAATGATCAAAATTTTATATTTCTCACAGTTACTAAGCATCATTCACTTTCTCTCCCTCAACACTTGTAGGACTTCATGGAAGATTATGAGGTAATTGTGCCTTTTCAGTCTCTTCAAGCTCTAGGATGCCATGTTGATGCAGTTTGCCCCAAGAAGAAAGCTGGTGAAATCTGTGCAACTGCTGTCCATGATTTTGAAGGTGACCAAACATACAGTGAGAAGCCGGGCCATAATTTCACTTTAACAGCTGACTTTGAAGCTCTAGATGTCTCAAGTTATGATGCTCTTGTAATCCCTGGAGGTCGAGCCCCAGAATATTTGGCGTTGGATGAGAAAGTTATTGCATTAGTGAGGCAAACTGTGGAAGCCAGGAAACCAATTGCATCCATCTGCCACGGGCAGCAGATTTTAGCTGCTGCTGGTGTTCTACAGGTAAGGTTACTCCCTTTAAGCTAGGCTATGCCTTTGTTTCCAGAAATTTGATCCGAATTTCAATTTGGTCCATATTCTTTAAGTTTCTCAATCAAATCCGACTATTTCCATATTGTTTCAATTCGGTGCATCATCAAACATAGTATTGATATTGTTAAAAATATTACTGACTTTCTATAATTCCATGTAATGCCACCAAAGGAATTGCTCCAATAATTGGGTTCAACTGAAACAAAGTGAAGCTGTAATCCCTGTTTAGGTGACAGTGTAGTTTTATTGTATCTATAGCTCATCTTTTAATAGGGATGGGTCCCATGTTGTTGGGATCAGTCCCATGCTGTCCAGAAGTTCAATCTAAAGTCCAAGTTGATTTCTGAAACTAAATGAGTTGAAAGTGTACAAAATGCAGAAACAATAATATGAAGTTAATTTGTTAGGCACACAAACAAGGACGCAAAATCCTCATTAACAATCCAAAATCATATAACAAAATCGAGATTATAAATTTTGGAATTTTAATGTCCAAGCATGATATGGTAGATATGGGAGATGCTACAATGAGGGGGATCTGAGTGGGGCATTTGAGTGAGGGGTTCAATCCAACCATCCAATCATTAAAAAAGTTTTAAGTTTTTAAATTTCCTTTATATTATTGGATAGTGGTATTGAACCCCTCACCCACAACCCCTCATTATAGCATTTCCGTGGTAGATATACATGTATAATATAGATTACATAACTTCTTACGCTTTTTAACATCAACTAAAATGCCAGAGTAAAATTAATTTTTTGTGTGGGAAGTTTAACCAAAAGGACAATATACAGATAATCTGTGGATTTATTTGTTCTTTTACTCACTATCAATGTAGTTGATAGTAAATTTAAATGTTTGTTCTGTTGTGGGTGTTGATGAGCAAGCTTGCCAATTGGTGCATGAACATTTGTGCTGTAATATAAAAGTCAGAAGGTGTGTACTGTAATGCAGAATTCTCTGAAGGAATATATGTAGTAAAAATCTATGCTAGATGGAATGGTTTAAGAATGGGGTAAAACAAGAAATTACCTAGTAAGGAAAACCAAAAGGCTTGGCTGAGCTAGGCAGTTTCAGTTTTTCAGGTGTTAGGAAGAGTTGGGAGTGTCATCAATTTTGTAAGAGGGTTGATTTACTGAGTGAGTATTTTATGACAAGGTGAAAAAGAAACCACCTTGAAGTTGTAATCTGTTTGCCTTTTGCTGATTCTTCTGATTGAGGGTTGATTTACTTATTTTCACATTGTGAACTTTTTTTAATCATGTCCTAATTGTTGTTAACTGGCTAAATTTTAGGGAAAGAAATGTACCGCGTATCCAGCGGTGAAGCTTAATGTGGTTTTGTCGGGAGCAACATGGCTGGAACCTGATCCAATAGATCGTTGCTTCACGGATGGAAATTTGGTTACGGGAGCAGCGTGGCCGGGCCACCCAGAGTTCATTTCTCAGTTGATGACATTGCTTGATATTCGAGTATCATTCTAGCTGCTGTTTACCGGGTTAGCTGCTTGCATGTGCTATATGTAATTCATGAAAGAATAAGGCATGTATGTTGTGTTATGTTAAGGTGACGTTTGTATATATGTGAGAACAAGTGACACCCTGGTTTTGATATGTATATGCCATGTTCCATGCAAGTTTGGTTGTGGGTGAAGATTGTATTATACTACTTATGCTTTAGAAGGACACTATGATTTATTAGTCGTCGGTCCCCTTGGTCTCTCTCTCACCATACACCTCAAAGGTTTACCTGAATAAATATCATGTTGTCCAGAAATTAGTTGGGAGTGGATTATGGTCTGCGTGTTTAGAAATTTAGAGAGACAGAGAGAGAGAGAGAGAGGAGAAAAAGGTGTGGTAAGTGAGAGAAAAAAGCAAGAAGGATCATCAATGGTGAAAAGGTTGAAACGCGGTGTATTCGTAGGGAAAGTAGGAGGGCTTTGTAGCATGCCACCGCCAATTTGGAGACTTGACGAGTTTTACTATCAGCAAAACAACAACAACAAACCCAGCTCTGAATTTCTCCCACAACACTTCGGAATTTCATCCAGTTTTGGGATCAGACAATAGTTCTTCGGAATTTACGACGATGATGACAATGACGGAGAAGATGGTGATGGCAGTCATGGATCTGGGTAGGGGGTGGTGGCTAGGAGCGTTTTACGGTTTGAAATATTCTATTTATAGAGTATAGCCGCGCGGCTATACCTTCTATCCGCGCGGCTATATTGTTAACATATTCTATTTATATAGTATACCAGGCGGCCATAGTTTTAACATATTTTATTTATAGAGGCCGCAATAGTACAGCCGCACGGCTATACGTTTTACATATTACCCACACAGCTCTTTACATTGAGAGTAGCCTACCTCCTTATAAGCCCTTTCTAGGTTTCTCAACTTTCCAATGTGGGACTTTTTACCTTCACATTCTCACATAACATAAGTTTCCCTTTATCCAACACGATACAGTATCAATCCAGGTTCTTTAAGTTCACAGGCTTCTTCATAAGCAACTGTTGCACCAAAGCCATTCATTTCATTTCTGTGCAGAGTAGAGATTGGTGTTTACTAATCATCATGGACAACTTACATCATTGGTGTTAGGCCAGGCTTGAGGTGAGGCCAAAATTAAAAAGTAAAACAGAGGCTTGTTGTGTTGAAGGTCATAAACAATTGAAACAAACTGATGCAGAGTGGCCTCTCTGTCTCAGATCAGCATGGCAACTTTTAATTTGGAAGCATTCAATTTGATCAAGGGATCACAAGGTCAAAAGCATTTACTACTTATTTAATAGCAAAATTTAACTTGTCATAAATCTCATAATCTAACAGTTATAACTGTTACTTAAGCTCAGCTCATCAAAATAAAAAACAGAACTATAACTGAATTAAATTGTAATTCCATTTGTAACCTACTCGCCTGAGCATTAAACTCTTCAACTTGGCTCAGACTCGTTGCTCTTATATAAACCCTTTACCCTCTTCTCTCCAACCATCAACAAAGCCAATCTAGCTAACCTTTTTCAGATGTACAGCACAGAAGTGAGAGTTCCAAGTTTGCCAATAACCATGATTAGAGAAGCTCAAGCAATATTTTCACTACTGCTAATGGCAGCATGTTCAGTAACCGTGCTGGCAGATGTGCCACCATCACCACCACCCCTGACCTTGCCAAAGATCCCGGGCCTAGTGCCACCAGGGATCCCAAGCCTATTGCCACCTGGGATCCCAAGCCTATTGCCTCCAGGGTTCCCAGGGCTACTGCCACCAGGGAACCCGGGTGACATAGCAAAGTGTTGGTCATCACTTCAAAATGTTCCAGGGTGCGCATGGGAAATTTATACGTCAATCTCTACTGGTAAATTTGTAGTAGGCCCTGCTTGTTGCAAGGCCTTCCAAGCAATTGACCAGAATTGCTTGCTGAAAATGTTCCCATTATTTCCTTCATTTCCTCCATTGATCAAGAGCAACTGCGCTAAGTAAATGCTGCTGCTCCTAAAGCAGGTAGGTCAAAGCAGTAGTAGGCAGTTGTGAGGACAATTCTTGCGGGAAATAAGTTGCTTTAGTGATAGCCATGCTTAGTTTTACCTTTGGTGCCACTTTTGTAGGCTTCAAAAGTTTGATATGTATTTGAAAGAAAACAGCTGCTGATGGACCTTTTAAAATAAGAGAATAACAGCTTATGGTCTCATTAAATAACTCTCTCTCTCTCTCTCTCTCATGCTTCAAAATTTTGATATGCATTTGAAAGAGAATAACTGCTTATGGATCTTTTAAAATAAGAGAATAACAGCTTATGGTCTCATTGAAATAAGTCTAGTTCGGCCAACTTTGTGTCTTTCTTCCCGTGGCCAGAAGAAAATGGAAAAAAGGGGCAACACTAACCTCTTTCCCCAGGTAAAGGTTACAAAGTGCAAAGAGAAAAGAATTTTATATAACACTGGGAATTGAATTACAACATTGTCCAAACAGGAAGAACAAGATCTTGATACAATTAATACCGTATTCTTGAAATCTCTCTACCCCCTCCGAAAAACAAAAAACAAAGAATGAGAAATAGATGCACACTTGATGCAGAAAACATATAAACAGTGGTTTTCTGCTCTGTAGAAATTGTAAGTATTTTATTTGTACTTATAAATGAACATACAGGTATGCTACTTTGTGAAGACAAACCACTCTTGTTATTGCTGTTCAGTTAGGCAGCACAGACAATGCTCGTTGATCAGTTCCATATACCTGGTGAGGAGAAACGACTGTTTTTCAAGTTCATTGCTGAGTTAAAACTCCAGATGCCGCATATAAATGACACAGCCATAGGAAAGCAGGACCCGGAAGAAAATATATGGGAAACTGTAGTGCCCTTAAGGATGCGTAAAGAAGTGCCGCCACAAGATGCAGGAGCGCAGAAGGTGGTGTTTGGCTAATATAAGAATCTGACAGGAAATTGTAGCTTTCCACTCTCACTGGGAAATATTACAAAGCATAGGAAAACCTGAAGAGAATACAAGTGAAAATTGAGAGACTATAAAGACACAAATTGTCAAGAATATATTCGGAAAATGCATCCATCAAATACTTGAAGTCCCAGATTCTCTGTTACAAGAGCATGCAAAGGAACAAACATACAACTGAGAGTTATCAAGGCTGAAACAAGAAGTAAATTAGTGCAAAGATAATGAAACCTGGAGATTTTAGTTTTTCTTCATAAAGCGCCATTTTTAAACACTGGTAAATACAAACAAATAGGCACATGCACTTAAGTGCAGAAGATAAACCCAGACAAAAAGATAAAAACACAAAAACAATTAGAATATAGAAAGAGGAATACATCCCTGATCTAAGTGGCAGGTTACATGGAGAGAGAAAGTAGGAGAAAAAGCAAAGCTTTAAAAAGGAAAAAAGATAATACGAAAGGTAGTTACAGAATGTAAAAATTGCTTACAGGACGAGACAATCTGCAGAACGAATACTTCCAGCTAATAAAGGCCCAACATTCTAAGCTCTGTCACATGACTGGGGTCTAACTCGGGGGCATTCTTATTATTTTCTCGGTCTTCTACAACATATTCCTGGCATCATAAAATTTCTTGATCCATCAGTTGAAAATATATGATAAGAGTTAAATGCTTCAAAAGAACTATTAGACTTAGTTTACAAATCATGCTATCCAGAAAGGCAACAGAAAAGATGATAATACAGCATACCACATGAAATACACTAGTAATACAAATTTCTTTTGGTAGTCTGGTAAAACTTGTTCAGAAGTGCCAATAGAAAGATGAATATAGAGCAAGGATTTCCAACAAATGATCAAGGAAACTTGAGTCCAAAATGCACAAAGGTACCAGTTAATTCAGTTGGAATAATTTAAATACAGCTCTGTTCCACACATTATGTCTATGAAGAATCATATTACATGTAAAGCATACGATAGGTTGCTATTTCTTTTGAACAAAAAAACTTAATTAAAACAACCTGAAAAAAAGAAGGTTCATAACTTAGAATATAACTGTTAGTCCGGAATGCCAGTAAGTTTCATTAGGAATAGTTTAAAGTTCAAAAGTAAGCTCAAAGTAGCAGTTAACAAACCTTTGTTAATTCTTGTTTGGCAAGAACATGGTAATGCCGTTCATTGATTCTCTGTCCACATATTATGGCTATGAAGAAGCCGTAAAGCAACCCCACCAAAACAATAGCTAAAACTGTGACAAAATAATAGATACTATTAGATTGCAATTAGTGTAATCATATTAAGGTAGGTAAAAACTCTCTTTTTCTTTCTTTCTTTTGGGGTGGGGAGTGGGGGAAGAAGGCATTGCCACTAATAGAAGGGTTGGATTAACTGCACAGCTAAAGGGTTTTATGAGAGACGACCCCTTCGCAAGAAATGGAATCATTTTCTGTGCTTCAACTTAAGTGCACAGCTCAATCAGAAACTCTGCAAATGATGATCATCTGGGTTTATGTGTGGGGGGATGTCTTACACAAAGAAATAACATGTATTATAGGGAGTTCAGAGGGCAGCCAGGAGTTACATACCAGCCATAGTGTAAAACCCATATGGGTGCTCCTCATAACCAAACATCTCCCTTAGTTCATCTCCATAAAATTTGTATACCATCACTCCCAAGAATGCCACAATCTGATAAAAGCAAATATTCTTAAAAGTTTAAGACTGTCAGAACTAAGGAAGTCTTATATCTTCTTCTATAGAAGTTTGTTACTTGATAGCACTTGATAAAATAGAACTAACTAGAAACCTAACAGTAATGTTCAGAGTCACCAAAAATGGGAAAATTTAAAAACAATTAGAATCAATTCTAACAGTACCCTTCTATAACCCCAGTTTAAAATATAACAGCACCATACAAATGTCTTCTGTTACTAACTAGTTCTTCTGTAGGCCATGCAAAGTTAAATGAAACTTAGGGAAAAGCACTCTTTTTTTGTTGGGAAAACTACCTGTTGATAAAATGATATGAACAATATAAATTGTTTGTAAACATACCAGCTGCACAATAATGAAAATAAATGCATGGTCTCTAGCAACAAGGAACTGGAATTTCAATCTCAACCACCAGCGGTCGGGAGGGACATTTGCTCGTAATATGAACACTGCCCTGCATTCTGTACAATGAGCAAAAGCAAAGCCCTCCTGAAGAAATGAAGGATATGGATAATTAATAGGGAGATTCACTATTATACCCAATATAGGAGCCCAAATTATTAAAAAAACCCTATATGAAATGGACTTTAGAAACACCCCCAAAGCCCATTTACAACATAACAAAAAGGCTTTTAACTTCTTTTAAATTACAAAACTGCCATTGATTTCTTAAAACAAACCCAACTCCAAAACCTCATAAAAAAAACCCAAAACACTCAATAGGGCATCAAAGTAATTTAATAATCAAAATTAAATTCAATAGGGCTAGCTTTCATTTTTGGGGTTTTTTTGGGGTTTGTTTATAGAAATTAAATTGTGTGGGGTTTATTTAAAGTTTTAGTGCTAAGAATGGGTATATAACTAAATATCTCTAATTGGTACCAAGCCTCCATGACAGAAAAATAATATTTAAAGAATAGATACAATTGCATTTATTTGACTGCTTTAAGTGCCTACACGATTATCTACAATTCCATTATTCTAAAAGAAAATTTCTGAAGAAAAAAAAATTCATCTGCAGGTCAGGAGGAAGGGTCAGCGATGAAGAAAGAAATCTTCACCTTTGTTGACCTCCAATTATCAAGACATGATCTATGGACATACTTCTGAGTACCTCTGCAATGGCATGGAGCAATTAAGTCTTCCCCTGAAAAATAAATAAGCACGCACCCTAACATATTTGAATTGCTGGCCACCTATAAAGATAGATTGAAAAGGTACTGAACTACGGTTAACTGTTACATGCGTATCCACATCATCTAAACCTTTCTCTAAAAACTAATGGTGACAGTGAAACCAAAGATACACAAAGAAATGCCAGGAAATATAAGAAGAACCTTCTTCAGTATCAAGGCAAATACGGCATTGTGGGTGCTCGGGATTCACCAACTTCGAATTTTCATCGACATCCAGATTTTGTGACTCTTCATCATTAGCAGCAAAATCACCTTGCACAGCTGTAATTTCACATGAGGATGAAGATTCTGTGGGTCTCTGTGAAATGTCCGACTGACATAAGATGGGCTCACATTCTGTTATATCTTCCTTGCGACTATCATTTGATACTAATTGCATTGCGAAGAATGTTGAGTCAGGAATACAAAGAAAACGTCATTTCCAGTGCTGTAGCTCCTACAGACCATTTCAATCGGAACATGGAAACCTATAAAATAGACAAAAAGTACACCAGTTAGGAACCAAAACCTGCATTACATGTCAAGGTGTTGTTACTTGTTAGATATGGAAATTAAAATCAATTCCAGTACTAAAAATAATAATCTAACATTCTAAACTGCTCTAAGAACTTTCCATAAAACATCCGTATGGACAAGTATAAACTATATGGTCTTTCAAGCTCAACACCCGACCTCTACTCCAATCAACATTCATGTATCAAAACATCTGCAGAAATTTTGATGATTCGAAAGTAGAAGGCTAAGGATGAAGATACCAAGTATCAATCAAGAACAAACAGAAGTTCTTAGCAAAAAATGAATATGTCTCTAAGCAGAAGCATAGCAAACAATTGATATTGATTACGTTCATAGGTAGGATACAAACTCTTGCAACCAGCCTAACATGTAACATGAGTCTAATTACCAGCTTATGATAAAAATACGTTCTTTGCATTGAATTTCTTAAAGAGATAATCCCTTTCTCAGTTTGGCCATGACAATTATGTAAAATTAGCAAAAATTTCCAACTTTACTAATCTGTAGAGAGCATCAACTTCAACTCCAGCTTTCAAGTTCCCTAATTATACAACTGTCCATACAAAGATGCTTCATTTCTTCCCCCAAAAAAAAAAACCAGCGAATGCAATAAATATATTTTATGCAAATCAAAATCCAAAAATGTGATGAACAAAGTACAAAAATCACATCGAAAGTTTCGGAATTTAATCAACAAACTAGTAAATTTCGAGCAAAGATTGAATCTTTTTTAGATCAATTAAGGGGCTGACCTGCAATTTAGCAATACAGGAAGATCGGCATGGCACTGAAACAATGCAGGCATCAATTGGATGAACAATTTGAGAATCGAATTCTAGGGTTCTTATGAATTGAAGTGATACGGTGGACTTTGAAGGGACCGAGGGTGATCGACAAAAGTTGGGATTTTTTTGTATTTGTTTTTGTATTTAATTTAATTTTAAATGCAGGCCTTGAAAACAGACAGATGGTGTTATTGCAGGCAAAAGAAATGAGAAATCATGCAAACATCAAAAGATAAATAGATTTTGAATACTAAATAAATACAAAATCATAACAAACAAAAAATATGGATAAAATCTGTACTACCAAAACAAAATATGTATAAAATACCTGAGTGTATAATTTGAATATTTTATTCTATATTCAGCAAAAAAGTCAGCCAAAAGTATAGACAATATAAATGACAAGTTGATAAATTGGATACGTAAAAAATATGTCCAAAAATACAACAATGCTTATGATATGAGCTGATCAATTTTATATTGAAATCACATTATTTTGAAGGAAATAATAATAATAAATTGTTGTTAGGATAAAGAACTTGGTGCCACTGATTCAAGGCAAAGTCTTGGTTAAAAAGGTTTTTGTTTTGCAATATTTTAATGGCTTTTTTATCACAAAACGTCTTTGATATTTGCGAAATTATCATATTGCATCTTTTTTTTATACTTTGATTATCCTCATGATCATATAATAGTTAATATAAAAAAAACTCTTAAATAATAAAAAAAAAAAAAAAAAAAAAAAAAAAAAAAAAAAAAAAAAAGTTATTGTTTGTTGTAAATTCATTCATTCAAAGTATTTAATCATCATCAATCAATCGGAAATTATAAAATATATATATATATTATTTCCTTCCTCCCGTCTTTTTCTCTCTTTTTGTTTTTTATCTCTCTCTTCTTCTTCTGTCTCCAATTCTCTCTCTTTTTCTTCCTCTGTTTTTCTTCTTCTTCTTTCTTTCTTGCTTTTCTTCTTCTTATCAGCACCTTTCTTTTGCTGAGACACTGGAATACTCTCTCTCTCTCTCTCTCTCTCTCTCTCCTCTCTCTCTCTCCTCTCTCTCTCTCTCTCTCTTGCTGAGACACTGGAATACTCTCTCTCTCTCTCTACCTTGAGCTGGTGGTGTGTGATAGTAGTTTGAAGCCTTCCACAGTTCCATTTTTTTTCCTTAGCTTCTTCTTCTCAGGTTAATAGCTGGTGGGAGTGGTGTTGAGGAAGAGGGGGATTATAAGAGAAGGGAAAAAGAAACTAAGTGGTATTCTGATTCTGAAGATAAGTTGTCACAAACTAAGAGGTGGGTTGGGGGGTGGGTTTTGGTCAAGTGATGAGCTCAGGAGCTTGTGCTGTTCAGCAGACCCTCACAGCGGAGGCTGCTTCAGTTTTGAAGCACTCTCTCAGCTTGTCAAGGAGGAGAGGCCATGCTCAGGTCACTCCTCTTCATGTGGCTGCCACTTTGCTCAGCTCAAGGACCAGTCTTTTGAGGAGGGCTTGTCTCAGGGATAAGGAATCTGACAGAGAGAAAGAAGAAGAAGAAAAACAGATAAACAGATAAACAGAGGAAGAAAAAGAGAAATATAAAAGAGGAAGAAGAATCGGCCAGAGGAAGAAAAGAGAAAGAATTGGAGACAGAAGAAGAAGAGAGAGATAAAAAAACAAAACGAGAGAAAAGGACCGGAGGAAGGAAATAATATATATATATTATAATTTTGGATTGATTTGATGATTACATCCTTAGATTTAACAGTTTTTTTTTATAGATAGACTATTTAAGAGCACTTATATTTACATTAGGGACTATGAGTGATACAAAAAAAATTTAAGGATGCAATCTGATAGTTTCACAAACGTTAAGGACGTTTTGTGATAAAAAAAACCTATTTTAATTTGCCCATGTTATCTGTTAGACTGTTACTCTTGAACTAATTTGAAGTGTCTTAAAAAACACAATTTTAAGATCCACTTGAAACTGAAATCAATATCAACGGGAGTCTAGTCCGGTGGAAAATGACCTTGATTTGCATGTTCAAACCTCTATAGCACCATGGTAGTGTGTGAGAAACACCCCTCCCCTTATAACTTATACTATCACTTGTACTTAAAAATAAATAAATTGAAATCAATAAAAAAGGGCCACAAAAAATATCATTGTTTTTAAAATAACGTGTATCTGCCTGTATCATATTATATTCTCTCTCTTTTTTTTAATGTTCTTTTTGTGTGTTCCTCTGTATATGGGCCGGCTTTTTTTGTATATTTCATTTATTTTTTGGTTCTTCAGGCACTGGTTATTATGTATATGTAATGTATTGTGAGCTGCCTAGCTGTTCATGATCTGTCTGAGATGATTTTGCAGAAACAATATAGTAAGTGCCTGAATTAATTCATAATTTTGCTGCATATATAAGCAAATAATAGCAAACTAAGTGACCAAGAATCTATCTGAATTTTTTTATTTTTTTATGAGACAATGTGAATGTGCAAAGAATGTTATTTGTTACAAATATCACTCATTCACTTTTGCTGCAGGCCTCCTCTTCAACTAGTTGAGGGTGAAAAAAACACATCTGATGATTGATGGCTGGTTACATGAGTTAGAACGCATGTTAGAACTTAGAAGGGATCAACTTGCAGCTTTAAATCTCTGGCAAATCAATTGGAGGCAAAACCAGAGCAAGCAATTTCACACTTTGACTGCTCCTGCTTTCTTTTTTCATATCTGTTCTGTATTTGTAAGAAGAAGACTAGGAAGACTTAGAACCACAGTTGCAGCATTTTTCTATAAACCATTTTAACCTGTTTGCAGAAAGAGATAGAATTAGTCAAACTAGAGAGAGAGAGAGAGAGAGAGAATTTGGAAGAACTTAAATTATATGATTAATTTTGTTGAACAGTTGAAGGGGGTTGACTTTTTATAACATTTGGACAGCAAAGCAAATACAAGTTGACATAGCATTGCATGCCTAACTACCAGTCAATTCATGGGTAGGTTTTCTTCTGTGGGTTTTAGGACTCATTTAAAGCATTGTACAGTTTAGAGTGTCTGTTTTGGTTGGTTTTGAAGGATTCTTGTTTGTGTTCTGGGTTTCCTCAACTTTGACTGGTGGGTGTAGGTCTAGGTCTAGGCCTTGGATCAAAGAAAGGAATCAATGTGGTAACCATGAATCGATTCTCAAATTGAAAGGGGGGAAAAAGTAAAAAACCTACCAGTCAAAAGCCCCTATCAAGCTCCTCTGCATAGAGTTGACAGAATTTGACAATTGCTCGTGAAAATATAAATCATGCCCAGAATGTGAAAAATCAATGACTTAAAAGAGCACAATTTGAATACAGATATCTGCCCACTGAAAGTCCATCATCAACATAAATTGTAATGCAAAGCTAGATGTTGTGATTAGTTAATACTATTGTTTCATCCAATATGAATATGTTAAGCAAAATGTGTTGATGATTTTTCATCAAAATCCTGGTCATTTTGACTAAGAACTAGTTTCCCCTATTGCTATCTACATTGGCAAAGAGATATAGAAGGCACTTACAAGTCTGCAAGGCATGAGCTCCTGGAATCCAAATCCTCAGGGGGCCGCCGATAATCCAAGGAGAATGCTGAAGATGGCAGTGGAGGGCTAGAGAGCTTCTGATCATGGTGCAGAAGAGGGAGGTTCTCGGCTGACGTGTGGCTCGACGGAGGTGGAGAGAAAGGCGGCGAGGGGGACGGAGACGCTGAAAATATGTACTTTTGGTTGCCAGGTCCTACACTGATGGGGAGGGGTGAGGGAGGTGTTGGAGGAGACGATGTTGGAGAAGCATAAACTTTTTTCCCATCATCCTCCTCCATTGAAATGTTTTTTCTTTTCACAAAATACAAAATAATGTTCTCTCTTTGTTGGCCTTGGAAGTATGTAAAATTAGTGTTGCATCAGGACATGCCCTCTGAGGCAATCTCACTTTCCCGGGAGTTTTTCTGTTTGAATCTTAGGTATAAACCTAACGGTCATAGGCATGCTCTCCAGCTGCTCATTCCCTGCTGGCGTATATTTTTACATGCCAATTTGGTAAGCTGCTGTCATTTTCTTACATGGTTTTGGTTTTCTACATTGGGCTTCGATCAATATTTTTTTAATAATAATTTTTATCGTTATTGCTGTAATTGGCTCGCTCAATGTTCGATTCCTATGGATTGGTTCCAACGTTGAATTTGGATTTCCCGTTAAGTCTCTACATTTACAAGTTGTCTAACAATTTAAAACATGATATGTTAATTAGTGTAAAGTTGCTTTTAGTAGTGTTTGACAAAAAATATGGTCACAAAAGTGCTTTATGAAGAAGCACAAATTAAGTGTTTTTTCAAGAATCATCCAAAATGATTCTATTAGACGAACGTTATGCTAAGCTCGTCAGAACATCTTTTGTGGTCACTTTTTTTTTATTTTTTATTTTTATGAACTCTTTTGTGGTGACTTTTATTGCAAAATGTTTTTGATTAATTGATTCATTTTGTTGGGTCTTATAAGGCCGTTTCTGTGACGATAGAGCCCATATGCTAAAGCTTACAAACAGGCCCAAGGGGCACTAGACAAACAGATGCCTGTTTTGTTTTGTGTTTTTTGTTTTTTTTAATTTATAATTAGTTATTTATATGCACACATTCATCATTTTTATAGTCACAAAATTTTTACTACAGTGTTTCTAAATGATTCTAATGTTCATTTCATTCGTGTGTGTGTATATATATATATATATATGTGTATTGCACACACAATTGTATTGTTATTATGTTCGTTATTTATAAAATTTTATGGTACTAAAAATAGAGTTTTTATGCTAAGTGCAAATTTTTTCATTCTCTTTTAGATGTCTAACTAAAATGTTGGAGGAAACCAAATGTTAGTATATATATTTTAAATTAGTTGTTGTATTATGTAATTTATTATTAATTAATAGTATTATAAAAAACGACATGAAAGTCTAAATATATAATAAAATCTAGTTTTCTCTATGAAGTCGAGATTGGTTTACACATGTACAATTCTCAAACATCTAAAAATGTTGTAAAAATGCCCCAAATTGAAATTGTAATAGGTGAGATTCAAATCCGAATAGTTGGTCATGAGGAAATAATTACCACCACCAAATTAATACCATTTATCTATTTTAGTTGTCACCACAAAATCAATATCATTTATAAAAGAAGGGATTCAATTTGTGTGGAAGGATGTGGCTCCGTCTTGATTGGGGACAACGTTGACGATAGATTGTGAAAATGTCTAGTTCTTTTGTATTTGTCTTTATGGGAAGAATCGTGGTACTCTTTTTCCTCGACCAAATTTTCTTCTCTTGGGGTTTTCAAAAGTAAGGTTTTAATGAGGTTACAAATTTGACTCCTCTACTGGTTAGAAGTCGATGTATTGTTTCATTATTTGTTTTAATAAAATTCTACCATTTAATCAAAAAGTATAAAAGTATACCACATCAATACATCACATTTACAACCACAAATCTCAAAGGTACCTACACTACAACTTTGAAGTATCCTCCCTTGCCATCAAAACATTCTTTATCAAGTGCCTAACTTGAACAAATTGTTGGGATGTGTAGTGGAAATGAAAATTGCTCAACAATTAGGAGACCCTCAAATCCAAATATCTAATAGTGAGTTTAGGGACTTAAGATTGATGTAACCTCGCTCTAACAATTTGATCAACTTAACCCCGAGTATTTTTTTTGTTAATATAATATATTGTTTCTCCCAAAGAGTTTCGATCTCTTGTTTTAAATTTTTCAATAAAAAATAGTTGAAGAAATTGGAGAAAAAATACCCCAAATTGCAGAAACGTTTTTTTACCATTTGTCAATTAGAACACCATTCACCACACAAACACATAAAAATTTCTGAACTCAATTTGAACTCCTACGCTGACCCATTAGTAACTCATGTTGGGTTGAGTTGGGTTGGGTTGGATTCAGATTGAACTGTCCAAGTTTTGCCAACTTAGATCGCATGTTGGCCCACCACTAGGGGCATAATTGGAAATGAAATAAAACACCATAGACTTGTGATTCCACGATACGAGGTCTTCTCTTCACTGAGTCTGTCAACGATAAGATTAAAAAACCTTTCCCAAAAAAAAACCAGAGTTCTTCAGAGGCAGAGAGAAAATCAGTCTACACTCTCAGACTCATAGAGAGATCTGAGAGAATGGGGGAGACGAATACCGTACATTCACCATTGGTGACATATGCTTCCATGTTATCACTGCTTTGTCTTTGCCCTCCATTTGTAATTCTACTGTGAGTTCTATGTCAATCTGTTTTGTTTCATTTTTTGTTTCTTTCTCTAAGAAATGAATTTTATGTTTGCTTATGTGAAAATACGTTTTCTTGAGGAATAATGATTATAGGAAATAATGGGTTATCGTTATTTCTTTGGTTCGGTGGAGAAGTAGGGTCATTGAATCCAAATCTCATCGTGTTTTTAGTTTTCTTGTTTGTTTCTATAGAAAATATTAATTTTATGGGAAAATTGTTTCTAAAGAATGCAAAGCAAGATGAATTAGAGCTCGAACTGGTGCAGGGACATGTTCAGTTTTTTTCATCTTTTTTCCAAGCTTTGAATACTCGCAGATTTTAAATCATATAAGATTTTTACATTTTATATTATACAAGGCCCTGAGATTATATTTGATGTTTATATCTCAAATAGATTCTTTTGTAATTTAATATCTTTTTGTTCCTTCGTTTTTATATTGCTCTGTTTCGTTGATGAAAAGAGGCAGGCAGAGAATCCCAATTGAAACTTTTAAGTATTTGATTTTGATTACTTGGGACGCAGTATATAACTCAACATTAGTACAGCTAACCCGAGTTTAAGAAAATCCAAATCAGATTTTATGGATGTTAAAAAGCTTGAGTCGTTTGTGTGTTTTTTGTGGCTTTTGAAGAGATGATTTGGTAGGATAAGAAGTAACAAGTAATCATTAAGAGAATCAAAGTAGCCAAGGCATATTTTGGAGTTATAACAAACTGCATTTATTAAATTCAAATTCTGAAAATTCCTTTGTCTTTTGTTTATTTGTTTTCTGTTTTTTGTTTTTTGTTTAATAGAGAAAAGGGATACTTAATTGATAAAACCAAATTGATTGTGATTGCTGTAATCACCCAGATATACTATAGCTGAAATCAGCCACGGAAAGCTTATAATGTCTTAATCTGAGTTAAGAGAAGTGGTGCTTAGCTGAATATTGTCAAAAGTGAGCTGATTCCAACTGCTAAATACTACATTCACCTGTATGGTGCCTTGGAACACCTTATCAATTAATCACTGTATACAACAATTACTGCTACATGTTATAGATATAATTTATGATAATTATGAGTGGTTGAGATCAGAATCTGATAATGCAGATGGTATACGATGGTACATGCTGATGGCTCTATTTCCCAAACTTGGGATTACTTAAAGCAGCATGGTCTGCAGGGTTTCATTGAAATATGGCCTAGACCTACTGCCACTGCCTGGAAAATTATTGCCTGTTATGGTGCTTTTGAAGCTGCACTCCAGCTGCTTTTACCTGGAAAAAGGGTTGAGGGCCCAATTTCTCCAACAGGGAATCGACCTGTCTACAAGGTGCTGGATACTCAGTTTCTTTATGTGAAAACTCTGTTGCCAAAGTGATTATGTAAACACAGGGTTCCAAATCTTTATCTGATGCAAACTCAAGTTATATGTCTTGAATGTTTTACAACCTGCCTTCTCCAAGTCAGTAGATTTTCAAAACTGTATAATTTTTTTTCTGCATCTGGACTTGCATTGGGTCATGTTTTTGCCATTTTTCCTGCTATTTGTTCAATATGGTTATATATGTACTAATATAGCATGTGCATTGTGCAGGCAAATGGTATGGCAGCATATTTTGTAACATTGGCTACCTACGTCAGCCTTTGGTGGTACACACTTTTTCCATCAATTCATAGTGTTTCCTTTTATATAATGCTGTGCATCCTTGAATTCGTATCCCTAGAAAGGCTGTGATAGTCTTTTTTTAGTTTCTTGGTGGGAATTACTGAGTTATTGACGCAGCGGCCACTATTGTTGTCTATGTATTATTAAGCCCCCTTCCCCCCTAAAATTTTGTTATTTGGTGTCCTATCTGCCAAGCACCAAACTGTTTTCTAGTGCATTTGATGTCTTTTTCTATGTTAAATTTCAGGTTTGGGATATTCAACCCTACAATTGTTTATGATCATTTGGGAGAAATTTTTTCAGCACTCATTTTCGGAAGCTTCATTTTTTGTATTCTCCTGTACATAAAAGTGAGGGTTTTGTAATTACACCAAAATATAAGTTCATCTGAATTTTAGTTATTTCTCTTACACAAATTATTCGTGTGTTCAGGGTCACTTGGCACCTTCATCCACCGATTCTGGGTCTTCTGGGAATGCAATAATTGATTTCTACTGGGTAAGTGTCATTTTTTCTGTTTCATCAATTCAGTTCCTTGCCAGTGGTAAACAGTAGCAACTCAAATTTTAAGGATGGACAGATCTTTTAGGTCTAACTGAATATATACCCCTAAAGCGTACAGATTCAGTATGTGCGTTGCTCTTTTATTTATTAATGATGCTAAGTTGCACATTTGTGACTCTGCCTTTTGACTTAGTTTTTCAAAATATGTGTTATATCCTTTAACTCATGCTAAATAAACCATGTACAAAATGTTTCTCGACAAGCCAATAGCATCAATAACTGTGTTATCTTTAATCTATCTGAGCAACAGACCCCTGCTTTTCTTTGGTTACAAGCAGTTGGAAATGCACAAAAGAATTTATAAACTTGGTTTTCTATCAGGTTCTTAATGGACTGTATCCGAAGAATGACTTTGTCACAAGAGAATTTATGCAAATGTCACGGTCATGCTCTAGTATTTGATAGCTGATGCAATACCATTTAAATTAGACTCAGTCAAGGTGAAAAGTACGTTTTGGCATACTGAATTACTGGAGCACCCTGGTATCCCTTTTGACATAATTCATCCTGATTAGGCAGGGATTATTGTGTTGTATGCTATTTTTTGTTACTCTTCCGTAGTTGACTAGTTCGATGGACTTCTTGTCCATATTTCCTTGCACCTTTTCTTGCATTTTATAAAATTCAAGTTTCCTGCGAGAAAAAAAATTTGGTCAAAGTGAAAAGAAAATTAATGGACTACGCCAATACATTATACTTCATAGCCGCCTATAAATAGAATTATTATTGTGTGAGATTTTTAATTTATTTTTTTTAATGAAAGTAATCTTTTTCTTTTTGGATATGGCCTCATGTAAGAAATTAGTGTTCCCTTTTCATTTTTTTAGGGAATGGAGCTGTATCCTCGAATTGGTAAAAACTTTGATATCAAAGTTTTCACAAACTGCAGATTTGGGATGATGTCTTGGGCAGTTCTTGCTGTGACCTATTGCATAAAGCAGGTAAATGAATCTTCTCTGATATTTCTTTTTGTCCTTGTCGTTGAGGTCCAATATTTCACTTTAGTCGCTATAGGTCGAATTTCAATAAACTTACTACTTATCCTTATGGTTAGTTAACATTTTCAAAGCTGTCCACATTTACATTTCCATTATATTTCTTTTTGTCCTTGTCGTTGAGGTCCAATATTTCACTTTAGTCACTATAGGTTGAATTTCAATAAACTTACTACTTATCCTTATGGTTAGTTAACATTTTCAAAGCTGTCCACATTTACATATCCATTACATTGATTGATGGAACGTGAATTTTTGCCCTAATTTCACCAAGGAAGAAAAACCTACAGGATGGAAGGATTATGAAGAAGATTAAATGTGTTCACCTTTTTAACTTTTTTTTTCCAACCATAGTTTTTCTAACATTTGGCATTTTTTTTCTTCTTTTACCAGTATGAAGTTAATGGGACAGTAGCTGATTCAATGCTTGTAAATACAATATTGATGCTGGTTTATGTGACGAAGTTCTTTTGGTGGGAGGCTGGATACTGGAATACAATGGATATTGCACATGATCGAGGTTCACATATGCTTTACCTTTTACTTTTCTCCATTGTTTGCTGTTGGCATGTCCAAGAGTAACCATCAGATGTGATGCCAATATTTGCCTTATTATTTGAAGGTTTATTTTTTTAACAAAATGAATTTAGAGGTCTTTTGGGGGCTGATTGCATTGATATTCTATTATGATGGGCTTTGTATTTACCAAGTTTGTTATGGTACTCTGTGGGCAAATTTTATACTGCATCCTTAACAACTCTGAGAATTTCATGTTGACCATCTTCATATTCATTCTTACCCCTGTAGATTGACCCACAATAATGTTTCTTATTCAATGAATTTTTTCTCATCCTTTACTTGGTTCAGTTCGTGCTTCATCTGACTATGGTTCATTGTACTTTTGTCTCTGGCAGCGGGCTTTTATATTTGCTGGGGTTGCTTGGTTTGGGTTCCATCTATTTATACTTCTCCTGGCATGTACCTGGTCAACCATCCTGTAAATCTTGGAACTCAGGTAAAATTTCATCCACATATGTAGTTTGCCCAATTTATTAAAAGTTATCAATCATATGAAGGTGTGTTCTAAGTTTGTCAACTTATGTTTTCCCTATTTTGAAGGCTTATGTCTTGGTTGTGCACATTTTCTCTATACGTGGGGTTCATTATGCATGATTGATGGTTATTATCTAAGCTTCTGCTACTAAAAGTTGGCATGTCTCAATGAGCATGGAGAAAAACAGAATTAAGTTAACCTTTAGTCTTTGGTTACTGGTTAGGTTGTTTGAATGAATACTATGAGATGTTCTTGAGGTATGACTTCAAAGAATTGAAAATCTTTTACATTTGGTCTCATTGCAGCATGCACAAAATTGGGATAAGATCTTGTCTTTATATGGGACGAGGTATTTTTCAGGTCGGAGAAGACTATCTTCTTATTGGAAAATAAGATTCAGTGCCAAAAAGGAAAAAAAAAAGTGCTCTGGAAAAATAAAAAGAAAAGAAATAAATAAATTAAAACTTTAGCTAGTGAAAGTCAGGCTGTAGTTTTGGCAATTTGAAAGAATTGGATTTTAGCCATAAACTACAGGAATTTTATGTAGGTATTACAAATTTAAATCCCTGTAAAGGCTGGTTTTTCCACAATGAATGACATTTGTTAGCTGATTCGTTTATTCTTTTCTTCCTTATTTGTTTCTGTGATCATTGGTCTCATATCTGACAATCTCCAACCTCATGTTCCAGCTAGCACTTTTTATTCTGGTGGCCGGGATTCTTTGCATATACATCAACTATGATTGCGACAGGCAAAGGCAAGAATTTCGCAGAACAAACGGCAAATGCTTGGTTTGGGGGAAAGCTCCATCAAAGGTATTTAGTCTTGTAAAAATTATCATGTGATTATCGTTATATGTACAGTTTGAGATATATTGACTGAAGAAAAATATATGATTTGTACATATCAGATTGTCGCTTCATACACTACCACATCTGGGGAAACAAAGACAAGCCTTCTTTTAACCTCAGGATGGTGAGTACTTTAGTTCTCTCTGGTAAATATGAAATTGTGCATACACATATAACTGAGTTTTTGTGTCAGTGCTTTTTGTTGCACATGGAGAGTTAGTTGAGTGATGCTTTTGTTGGTTCACTTCTCTTCCTCTGTACATAGCATAGTCTAATTCGTGCATATGTTATAATTTAAAAGATAAGCTGGCACTTTGAGCTAAAGTCATTGCTGAGGTTATTTGCTCTTCCTGCAGGTGGGGTTTATCTCGTCATTTCCATTATGTGCCAGAAATTTCAGCTGCCTTTTTCTGGACTGTTCCAGCTCTTTTCAATCATGTAACCATTTATGTTTAGTGTTCTGTTGTTTTCTTTGTGTTTGTTGGGACGGGGGTACTTGATACTTGGATGTTGTGGAGAACATCTTGGTGAATTTATTATTATCTTTTTCTCCTGCAGTTTCTACCTTACTTCTACGTGGTGTTTCTTACCATCCTTCTACTTGACCGAGCCAAAAGGGATGATGATCGATGTCGGTCCAAGTAAGCAGATACAGATTCCTGTTACATACAAATTTAGCTGACAGTTTGACGAAGACATATCATTCGAAGATTTTTTATTTTTTATTTTGAAAAATCCATCAAATAGTGAAATGGTTTTGAGCATTTTATATAATGTTGAATGAGATTTTGACGACGTTCTTCTTGCAGGTACGGGAAATATTGGAAACTATATTGTCAGAAGGTGTCCTACAGGGTCATTCCTGGAATCTATTGAAGAGTCCGAGTCCTTTATGCATCAAGCGACGCCTCTCGTTGAACTCAGTCTTTCTACTCGCAGCCCATCTGGTGAATTGGCAATGCTATTTATATCATTTCCCTTCAACTTACTTTCTCTTGATTTCGGATGTAAGTTTGGATGAGTTGTGAGTTGTGGTATTAGCCAAGGAAACGTTAGTTGTCTATGATATAGAATTTCAGGCTTATTTTAATGGCTCTCCAACTTGGATCTACCAGAGGATTTTTGGTTTTTTTTTCCCCATGAACGTCTATTTTCTTTTATTGGTCATGTTGGAGCGCATCAAACGCTTGATCTAATCCATGTCATTACTCATTTTCTCACATTCCCTAGCCACTTGAGCTAACCCCATTGGCATAGGAGGTAAAGAACTCAAAGAAATTCGACATACTCCAATTTAAACGGTATGCAAGGCATGCTAACTGAAAACCTAGTACTAAAATAACACAATGTAGAGTAGTATGAATTCTTCGGTGTGATTGTCACATTGCCAACTTTAGTCTAAGCCGCCTTCTTTCTCATGAACAGCCTCTCGAAGCTAACACCTCCCAAGAACATTAATAACGTACATATAACTATTAGATCAAATTTGCAACCATAGAAAAAACATTCTAAAAGAAATATAACATCTAACAAACAGAAACTACGAGTTCATTGTCCGCTTATATTATAACACATGCACACCTATATCATCCTCATCGTCCCTATATCATTTACAACCAAACAAAAGGATGATTATAGTCCCATCCCATCCTTAGATGAAATTACCAAGAAACGTTTTATTTTCTTAAAATTAGAAGACGAAAAAATATATTGCTAAGGGCCATTGAAGCTAGCCAGAAACCCTAGAGGCTAGCCTTGGAGCTGCCCTATACCTCATCTACCAGCCCGACCATAGTCTTGCATAGCCCAAAACTTTTTTGTAGCTGTATCTTTTAGCCAACAAGCAAGTAGCCCAGCCCGACGAAAGGCCTAGGCGTCCAATCCAAATCCCATATTTTGCCCAGCCGTCTTCAACTCCATTTCTCTAACGTCGGTTCTCTTCCTCCTCCTCATTGTTTCTCTTCAAACCCACCACAACGCCCCACCTCACCTCCATTTTTGTTCTTCAATCGGCTCCTCTCCTCCTCAGGTATTTCAAGCTCTTTCTCTTCATGCTTTGCTTGCTTTACTTTCGACGTCACCATAGTAAGGGCTTGGAGTTTTCATCTTAACCATGTTTTTTGTAGTCTGAAGCAATATCTGGATATCTTAGCTGAAAAATCAAGTCTTTAATTATATGGTGCATGTGATTAGTTTAGCCACTATTGATTGTAGCAGGTGGTGTGTTGGCAGATGTATTTGGAACCCCACTCACCTCACAGTCCCAGTTCAGCAGTTCCCAGCCGATCTTGGAGGCTTGTTTTGCTTATTTGCTCCCAATCCCCGAAGGACCAACCAAAACCTATTTATTTTTCAGCTAAAGCTTCATTTCATACAAGCTGCAGTAACCCAGATATTCACGGGCTCTCAGTGGTGGGCAGATGAAAGTAAGTGCAATTATTTGTTTAGTTTTTTCCTATTGAATATTGATCGCTCAAAAGGAAAAGAATTGTGGGGTAAATAAGGCAATTTTAATATCAGGGGAGATTGAATTACAGAAAGTATGCTGGGTGGAACAACAAACGATTGCAAAATGAACTGGAAGCATTCAAATTTTATTAGATGTAACATTTGTTGAAACTACCCTACCTTTCTTTTCCTTATCATCGGAGGTATAGTTTGCCTACCAAAGCTTTCCATTTCCTACTCCTATCCTTATTAACAAGGTCGTTTCTATTCGTAGGGACATTCAAAATTTTATGTAGTCACTCAGTTTTGATTACAATGCTATATTTACCTTCTCATTTTCATTCAATTTGTTTATATATGGGACTAAAAAGTAATTTCACCCTCTCCTGTAAATTTCTTATGTAGTGCTTGGTTTGCAGGAAAAATCAAACTTTGATGGAAAAAGTATGGAGATTTAGATTGTGTTTTCTACACAAAGGGCCAAACCAAATCATCAGAGCACTGCGCATGTTGCCAATTTGCCACTTTTCATCTCCAAAGGTATGCCCAACTAACAAAACCAAGAAAATTTTCCAGGAAAATCTTGACCCAGAAAGAAGTAAATGCACTCTCACTCATCAGAATGTGCATTCCACTTTATTGAACTGTCCTTCGGATTTGATTGCACTGAGATTCTTCTTGTGGTGTGCTCAACAACCTAATTTTTTTCACAATAGGATTGTGTTTGACCACATGGTTGGTGTGATCAAGCGCGTGATGGAACGGTACAAAACAGTTAAATCGGTTGTTAGGGAATTAGCGACTGTAGGGTGTGTTATAAAATCTCAGACATTTTTGCTCTTGCTGAGGATTTATTGGCGTGGCAGAATGTATGAGATGGTCTTTGAGACAATTGAGCAAATGGGTGCTTATGGTTTTACTCCGAACACGTTTGTGCGTAATGTAATCATTGATGTATCGTTCAAAATTGGGCGTGGTGATTTAGCTTTTAAGTCTCTGAAAGAGACCCAAGTGCCAAATTTTTTGACTTTTAATATTGTGCTGTGTAATTTATGTAAGTTCAATGATTTGTTCCATATTGGAGATGTGTTGAGAATGATGTTGCGGTGGGGGTATCATCCAAAAGTTGAGACATTTGAGATGCTTTTGAACTGTTTTTGCAAAATGGGTAATATAGTGGAGGCGCATCAAGTTTTGGGTCTAATGATTACTTTGGGCCTCTCTATGTCTGTAAATGTTTGGAGTATGTTAATCCATGGGTTTTGTCGATTGCAGAGACTTGATGTTGCTGGTAAATTATTGGAAAAGATGGTTGAGACTGGTTCTTCTCCTAATATTGTAACGTACACAACTTTAATCAGAGGATTTTTAAAGTCTCACATGGTTGGCGATGCATTCAACGTTTTAAGTATTATGGAATCTAAAGGAGATGCCCCTGATCTGGTTCTTTGTAATGTGTTAATAGACTCCCTCACCAAGGTTGGGAGGTACGATGATGCTATTGATGTTTTTGTTGGCATGCGATCACGAAAATTGTCTCCCGATTCGTATACATTCTGTTCATTGTTATCCGCCATATGTTCTTCTAGGAGGTTTTCTCTGTTCCCCAAGTTGGTTTGCGGACATGACATAGAAGCTGACTTATTAGTATGTAACTCACTTCTCAGTTATTTCTGTAAGTCGGGGTTTCCAGCTCTGGCTGTGAAGTTTTATAAGGTTATGCTCGATAGAGGTTTTACAGCAGATAAGTATACGTTTGTTGGATTATTAAATGGACTATGTAAAGCTAGAAGAGTTGACCAAGCAGTTGATGTGTACCATGGGATTGTCATGAATTACCCTGGTCAGGATGCTCATATTCATACTGTTCTTATAGATGGGCTTATAAAGGTTCGTAAATTTGATAGAGCCATTGGCATATTTAAGAAAGTAGTTGCAGAGAGATATGCACTTGATGTTGTAGCTTATGCAGTTACCATTCGTGGACTTTTTATGGGTGGTAGAACTGAAGAGGCTTGTTCACTTTATCGCCAAATGAAGGAGGTTGGTTTGACTCCTAATGAATATACTTACAATGTAATGGTCTCTGGCTTTGTTAAAGAAAGAGATCTTAATATGGTTAATTTAATGCTACAAGAGATGATTGAAGCAAAAGTACGACTGAGCTACAATACTGTCTTGAGATTATCAAAATTTCTTTGTAGATCATATCATTTGATTTCAGTTATTGACCTGTGGATTGAGATGAGAAATTTGGGTTTGATATCTGCTGAGGTAATGCATGAATTACTTCCCGATGAAGTTGTTGAAGGTGTGAAAGGAGATGATGGTCACATTACATTTTCGGATGCTTATTCAGAAACTGATCTACATGTGGAGACATCTGGCTCTGAAGACTTCTGTGATGTGGCTGCTTCGATAGGTTGAGACTTATATGGTTAAGACATGCCTCTTGAATGTCTTTTCTTGGAAATTCACGATTTTGAATGCTATTTCGTCTAGCATTCTAAAGGTAATTTTTGTAACTTAAATTTTGTATCCTGTCCAATTGGTTATGTTTATATTTCTTTTGGCTTTTAGGGTTTATTTTAAATGTAATCATTCAATTGGAATTTGTGAATTTCTTTTGGATTTCCTGGTTGTAGGTAGTATCATAAATTCAACTCAATTACATCAACCTAACCATCACCTTAACTATGCTAGTTGTGGTTACTTCAACCAAGAGCTTTTTTCTCATTCCTAAACTCTTGTGGCTTTCACTTGTTTCTTACAAATGTTACTACATGAAATTTCATAAATGGACATTCTAATTCGCACACAAAAGTTTGTGTATCATTAAGTAGTCAATTATTACTTATTAGGTGCACAAATTAGAATTGAACAAACATATTATTCTAACAAAATAAAAGGGGAACTTGTTTTATTAGTAATTAGGGGAAAAGGTACCATACCTTATAATTTTACGTATTTATGACTTTTAGAGATGGTACAAATCACTGCTAGTTACCAATTATTGGAGTAAATAAATAGGGAGTAATTCAAGATGCAGATTATGTACTTCCTTCATCTGGATCCTTATGACTGCACATTAGAACGGTTTCTTCATTTGAATGGATCTCATCTAATCATGGCTTTTTCATGCTTCACTTGTTTCAGTTCATGCTTCATCTCACTATGATTTTGTATATTTGTTGGGGTTGCTTGGTCTGGGTGCTATCCATTTATACTTCTCCCAACATATACCACGTCAACCGTCCTATAAATCTCAAAACTAGTTTGCCTAAATAAAATTGTGAATTTAGTCACCATACTTCTGCAAAGTTTCTGAAGGTGTATCCTAAGTTTGTCAACGAGTGATTTCCCTATTTGAGGGATGCTTTTTCCTTGGTGAATATTAATATATGTTGGTCATGTTCCTGGTAGTTATTGTGGACAGTGGATGCTCAATGAGCATGGGGAAAAAAGGGTTAACTTACTGTTTAGGTTCTTTGGATAAATATTATGAAATGTTCATGAGACATGTCTTGAACAAAAATAATAATACTAATAATAACTTTGCGATGTCAAAGTCCTGGATTTTAACCAAGATTTGCAAGAGTGCTAGAATTTCGAAGTAAAATCCATGTAAAGGCTGGATGCTTTCCGCAGTGGCTGAAATTTCTCAATTGATTCATCTGCTCTTTTCTTCTCATTTATACCCGTCGTCATTTGTCGCATTTTTCAGCTAGCACTTTATAGTTTGGTGGTGGAGCATCAAGTATATATGATATGGCAGGCAAAGGCAAGAATTTTTTCAAAGCAAATGTCGAATGCTTGATTTGGAGAAAAGCTCCACATGAGGTGTTTGTTTTCCTGAAACTTATAATGTGATTCTCCTTAATTATATGTATTGTATAGTTTGATAAATATACGTTGGCTGAAAAAAAGAGATCTCATCTGTCCATATCTTCACAGATAGTCCCTACACTACCACCACATGTATGGGAAAACAACAAAGACAAGCCTTTGTAAAAACCACAGAAAGGTGAGTGTTTTAATTTTATCTTGTCAATAGTAGATTGTGCAGATGCATATGTACCTGAGTAATTGTCTCACTGCTTTTTGCTAAACATGGGGAGTGAGAGTTGAGCTGTGCTTTGTCCTCTTTGTTGATTTTGTGCAATGAGGCCATGGTAATTGGCATCTCTAGTGGAGTGTAAATCTAGTCTATAATTTAGCAGGCTACTAAAATCATGGGAAGGCTAATAAGTCATACACACAAAAAAAAAAAAAAAAAAAAAAAAGAGATAGTTGCTGACCATGCAGATGCAGATGAGGCTTATGTCAAACAAGTTTCATTCCAAGGGGAAGTAGAAGTGAATCTAGAGGTGAGCATAGAAGGGAAAGTAATCCAAGTGCCACCTTCCAATTAATCTCAATCGGATGATGTTGAGAGCAAGTCTTGGAATCTCTGATGCTGTTCTGGGTGCATGGTGCTGGTATATATCCTTGTCTCTTGCCCCTACTAAGCAAGCCTCTTGGACACCATTTTTTGGGTTTGAAAAATCCATCTTTTATTTTGAAAATGGAACTCGGTGGCGCTTGCTAGAGAGTTATTCAAACATTCAAACACGTATATACAACTCCTCAATGTACACAACCTTATGTAACCTGATGACATGTTTACTTATTTGGAAAGGGAAGGGGGGAGATGATGGGTGTTAGAAGTAGTAGTTGATTCAATTTTAATTCCTTCTCCCAATTATTGATGTATCTAATTCTAACGGTCGACTTCCTCATTTCAAATAAGTAATACCAAGAACATGTAAAAGAGGAGAAAAGGTAAATTATATAAAAGACTTACCAAGTCAATAACTAATGATGATTACTTTTACTGTTATACGAAATTTGGCCCTACCACTAATTCGACTATAAAAAAAATCTTAGAATTAGAAGATAAGCTATACTAAATTGGAGGTTCGAACCGAAAACCACAGGATTAGATATTGTTGGCATAAACTAGGAGAATTCTGTTCTACCTAAAAAAGAAAGAAAGTCTAACGTGTTACATGATAGCGCAGCCATTAGCATTTTCTTCACTAAAGTAAGTATAAGGATCCATTGCTTGCTCTTGCTGTGATGGCATTGGCGTGTTGTTGTTCATATCATTATCATTCCAGTTTGCTCTCCCTTCATCCATCCCCATCGCCGGCATCATGTTCATGTGTTGCCCTTGATTATGGTTATAATAATTGTCATACCCATATCCATACCCATACCCATACCCCATCATCCCTTGTGCTGCTGGACCCACTGGATAGCTGCCCACGGGCCCCGTATAACAACCACCTATTTGCCCCATCTGGCCCAAATGACCCACCCGGCCCATAAGGCCCATCTGATCCATCTGACGCACATGTCTCATCTGGCCCATCTGACTCATCATGGCCTTCTGAACCATATGGCCCATATTGGCCGTTTGATGCATATCTCCAACATTGCCTCTCCCTTGTGTCCATCCAATTTTTTCTTTACCTTTTTTATCAATCTCTCCCATGCAAACCTTGGGCATCTCATCATCATCATCATCATCATCATCAGCATCAGCATCAGATTCTTCCTCCTCCTCCTCCTCAGGCAATATGAACGTGACAGCTTTTTTGGGTTTGCCACCACCAGCTTCCATGTTCTTGTTGAGTTGCTGTTGTTGGGGTTGGCTTTTTTCTGAAGCCCCTTCATCTTTCATGAGGTCCACGCTATGCACTTTCTTAATCTTTTGAAGCGCCTTAATAATAGTGAGTAGGTTTGAATCACTAGTATTGTCCGCCACTTCCACCACCAACTTGCCTTGGCCGAAATCAAACTCTCTCAGATGCACGCCATCAAATTTCTTCAACACGCCCGTTATTTCTTTCTCCAACGCGCCCGCTTTTTTCTTATCCTTCTTGCATCCATTAAATAATACTCCGAAAGTAAGCTGCCTGCCCATTAATTCTTGTTCGTTGTGTATGTGAGAGAGAGAGAGTGAGAGAGTTAGAGAGAGAGGGAGAGATTGGTTGAGTTTGAGTGAATAATGTGGTGAATTGTAGATAGTTTAACAATCACACCTCGAACACCTCTTTATATAGTAAACATTACTAATAAACCCCATTTCAAAACGGAAAACATATCCTTCTTTTTCTTCCTTTGGAAAAAAAATAATGCTAGTTGAACAAGGAAAAAACAACACCCTCAAAAAGAAACATCAAGTCCTCCTAATTCATCAGGGAAGAAATAAACAACTTAAATAGGAAACGTCAAGTCCTAATTTATATAAGGAGAAGAAACAACTTACGTATATTGTAATATCTTACGAACAAATATATATATTCATAAAATCTTAAGAACAACTTAAATTACAATAAGGAAAAAAAAACAGAAACTAAAATTACATAATTGTGAAAAAAATTAATAATCTCTACAACGGTCAGGAAAAAGAGAGATTAAACCTATAAACTTGCAACATGTATTAGCACACCCGACAAAATTCAACTTTTTACCGTCAAGAATTTTACCATCTGCCAGCTGGCTTTTTGTTACTCAATTTACTTTTCATTTAATTTTTAATTTTTGCTATTTTTCTCATCCTTTTTTATTTTATTTTATTTTTTTCGAATTTGTATTTTCATTTATTTTTGCCGTGATTTATAAAGGCCGGTAAACTAAGAAAAATATACAAATAAAGGTCAGTAAAAAGGGTAGCAAAATTCCTGGCCAATAAAAAGGACAAAATTAAAAGTTGGGTCCCGGGTTTCAAACACAAGGAAGAACTCAAAAAATCAGTCTTCCAAGTCGAAACGAATCCAAATCATTCCGTTCGTGGCTTGATTATTGAATCAGAAAACTGGAAAGAAGTAATCTTTGGTCAAATTTCTAAGCGACTGAGCATCAGTTTTCCTTTGTTTTGAGGTAGGATCCTAGGGTTCGCTGCTTTTTGGCTTTCTCTATATTCATCTGAGAATTTGTGCCCATTTTTCTTAATCTACTATGTTTTCTCTGTTTTTTTTCCAGTTGAGGAGATAACGATTTTCTTTTGGGTTACATAATGTATTTCTTGAATGTGAAGGATTTTATTATTAAGTTGTCAGTTGCCAAGGAAGAAAAAGGTTCATGAATCAATTGATTTCTCTCGTCTTGTTAGATTAGGACCCGTTTGGCTGAAATTGGGATCTCATTATGGAATAACAAATTGGTTTATTTGTTTATTTATTCTTCTGGTTTCATGGGTTCTCAGATAAGGGTAAAATTGATTCTTTCTGCCAACCCAATTACCTGAAAGTAGGGTTTTTGGAGTTCAATTGAGCTTTATTGTGTAGCATGAGTTGGGTTAATTTGGGTTCAACAACAAATTATTATTACTTGTTGCTTCACCAATTTACCCTCTTTGATTATTGGGGCAGTGCATAGTTGTCCTGTGATTACCTCTGTTTTGTGAGCTCATTCTTTCCACTTATGAATGCTTTCTGCCATGTGCATATACTCTTTTTGTGCATTGTTTTCAATTTTGTGGTCTAGAGCATAAATTTTTGCTTTCTTATCTTATAGACAAGGAAAATGTCATCATATGAGAATGTTGTTGGTGGGAAGCTGAAGCTTAAGGGGAAGGCTCTGGATGTGAAGGCTCCTGGAATGAAGAAGAAAAAGAAACATAAGAAACATCAAGATCAAACATCTCTTGTCACAGAACATGAGCTCTCAGCTGGTAAGTCATCCTTTTGATATCAAGTTGAAGTCTTCTTTCTTTTTTTATTTTCAAGTTTTAATAAGCTGCCTTTTTACCTCTTTTTATTGTCATGCAAATTGAGAAAAGTTTGGTCAGATACGTGTGTGTAAAAACACAAACAGAAATGAAGAGAACTGTTCTCTAACTTCAGATTAATTTTTAGTTTACTATATGTTTTATCAATTCTGTGTGTGATCAATGGTTCTGGGATCACCAGTACCCTCCAGTACTACTGTAATACTTAATGCCATTACTACTGAAATACTTAATGAACAGTCAATGATGCTAATTTCTTTGATTTGGTCATAGTATCATTATATGCAATGTAGTTTTTCTTACTAAGAGCAAGCCAACCTAGTAACAAAATTTGATACTGTTTTTGAATTGAAATATTACGATGATGTTTATCTGGGTTCCTTTTCATCATCCCATTTAGTTTCCAAAATTATTCCTTTTGTTTGAATTTAATCATTCAATGGGTATAGGTGGAAGTACAGAACTATCAACGAACCCTGATGAGGAAGAAATAAATGATGCCAACAAATCAGGTGAGGAGGGGAAGGCTCCTCATTACGATGATCATCTCACACCCGCAGAGAGGCGATATATAGAGCAGAGAGAGAGAATTGATACGCATAGGATGGCCAAGACAGCGAATAAATCCCACCGTGACAGAATTCAAGACTTCAACCAATATCTGGCAAACATGAGTGAGCACTATGACATTCCTAAAGTTGGCCCTGGCTAAATCTGGGAAGTCGTTGAAGATGAAAGCCAAAGGATCAACCATCTCATTTGTCATTTTGAAGCCAGTGCTATATGTATGGTCTAGTTCATGTGGACATCGAATTTACGATTTGTATTCTATATGGCGGTTTCTGTTCAGATCTGTGTAGATTGCTAATGACATTTTATTCGCACCTTGCTTTTGTGGTACCAATAACGTGTTTAGCCCTTATGAAGTTTGCATGTCCTTCAAAGCCTTCATATTCTACGACCATCTCAATTTCATTGCTTAGCTGAAAAGCAGTAACTTGCTTCCTAGTAGTCTCTTCGTGTCTGGAGGATGATTACACGGCCTTATAATCTCTCTTTTGTTTTTGCCTGGTGAATGCGTTTTAATCTTTCTAGCCTGCTCGAGATCTAGCAGGTAGCATGGATATTTCTTGTCTGGTTTAGGTGTACAAATTAAGTGGAATTGATCACTATAAAAGTCGAACGTATAGCTCATGGCCCTTCAAAAAGGTCATGGGTTGGGGCTTTGTAACGCAAGCATGCTAAGGGTAAACATCGGAATGTGCTGGCTAATAGAAGGTACCTTGCTGATTTACCGAGCTTTAGGTTTGGAGCTAGAACTACTAATCACTTCTTCCACAGCCCAGCTATACAATGATTCAAATCAAACTAAACACCTGTCTCAAATTATTTTCCGAACGGTGCAACTCGGAGAAAAGGATGGTAAACATAAGCAAGTTTTTGGTGAGACATAACACCAGCATGTGGCTTTTCATTCCGCTCATGATTTAACACGTGTACGTTGATCATACCATGCGACCGTATTACAATATTGCATTAATGTATCAGAAAACGGACGGGGATTTTTGGATCATCTTAATAAGGGCATGTTTGTTATTCCTTTTACTTTTACTCTCTGTGTGCCTTCATTTCCAGACTAAAATAGACACGCAGATGAGAGAAATGGCCAAAGGAACCAATAAATGACAAATGGAAAATCATACATACCTTATTGCTTAAATACATTAATAAGGAATGGGATCTGGTCTCTTATTGTGGGAACAAAAACCCCGAGGGAATGACAGGAATACAATAATTAAAACTATAACTACACATTCCAACTAGAACTGCCACATGATCAAAGCAAAAGTGGTGGCACAACAAAACCTAGAACTGTCGTTCTTCAGGCACAACAAAAAGAATCCACTGTAACTCAAACTGCATCACCACGCAATTTATAACAGCCACTCGAATAATCTAAAACTCAGTTTTGCGATGTTCAATCATCGGGTTTCATCCTCAAGAGCGCGGAAACCACTTGTCAGGTCCTCGTGTAGCTTCTTAAATTTTCCCACAAGCACTTCTTCCCCTTCTGCCGGATCCTCAAATTTTTGCGACCTGCACGCCACCATAAAGGAGTTAAAGACTTGTTTCCTATAAATTATTGAAATACTCCCTCCTGTTCAGCATTATAATGTTACTTACACTAGGCGGTAAAAGAGATCTCCCAAACGGTGCTTGATTAGGCTGTAACTTATCTTTTGACCATCCATACCAGCTGCTTTCTCTACTGCCTGCATATTGAGAACCACATCATATCAACAAAGGACCCACCCACAACCACTGCTCAATCAATTTGCCATTTTAAGTTGAACTTGGAAGTTCTCCATGTATGATAAATAAACTGCTTAATTCTTATCCATTGCACCCTTCTAGGAGCTGGTTCCAGGTAAAAAAATACGTATAGCAATGATAACATTAATATCCATCATTTCCCTTACTATATGAACAGGAAAGAAAAAACTCAATCAACCTAGACACGATTCTTCACACATACCGAAGATTTTTGCTAATGCAGAAATAGTAGGTCATATAAAAAGAAAGGAAAGAAAAGGATAAACAGTTCACCTGATTGGCCAGATTAAAGTAATGAATGATATTCCGCATCATCCAAACAGACTTGTAGAATGGGCAGAATTTGTCATATCTGTCCAGCCATGCGAACCATGTAAAAGATCAATTAGCTTACCAGGCCCAACCAATAATAACAAAGAAAAGAAGATATTGATAATTAGAACAGGTATAGGTCAACAGGACTACAGAGCTGAAACTCACGGAGTAAATGCATTCTGTGCGAGATAATCCTCTCTCAAGAGCTTTGCAGTTTCTAAGGTGATCTTATCTCCTTCAGCCAAAGCATCCTTTCCTACAAGCTGCAGTAACCAAGATATCAATTTAGGGCCTAAAACATCACCCCACTCTTTAATGTTTATGGTAATTTGTAGTTGAGTGTTATTGAAGTAACGTGCAAATATATAATGGTTTCTGTCCTTAGGATTGAAGAACCCCCTAATTCATAGTGCAAGCAAAAAGAACTTACTTGGACAATTTCATTCAGATCATCTTCTCGTTGCAAAACCTCACGTGCCTTTGTCCTGATGTTGATAAAATCAGGATCAAATTGATCATAGAAAGACTCCAATGCCTAAGAACAACATACAGAGAAACAAGTCAAACAATCAACAAAAAGGAATGAACGATCAATATGGTTTCAATCAGTGACACCAAAAAAGGGGCCGCCTTTCATAAATGATAAGGAATAACAGTTAATGAACATACTGTTGAGTACTTAGAGTAGGAAATAAGCCAGTTCACAGAGGGGAAATGCTTCCTCTGGGCAAGTTTTTTGTCCAGACCCCAGAAAACCTGCAAAAAGGGCAAAAAATCATTAATGAGAGTAAAAGATTAAGGTAAGATAATGAAAGTCGTCTTTTCCCAGGAGGAATAGACCCTTACTGGTGGAACGAATCAAATGTATTATTATTGCTGCTCTCAAGCTCATAAATCTGGTGCATTTATGACTTAACAAGGCAGGCACTTGCAAGGCATCAACAAAAAACTTTCTATTAGCTACAATTTCATGCATAAAAATGGCATTGCAAATTATACCTGTACAATGCTAAGGGTTGCAGACGTCACTGGATCTGAGAAATCTCCTCCTGGGGGAGAAACAGCACCAACAATAGTCACACTACCAGTACGCTCTGGTCCACCAAGGCATTTCACTTTACCCGCACGTTCATAAAATGATGCTAAACGTGCTGCCAAATAAGCAGGATATCCACTATCTGCTGGCATTTCTGCCTGTATTAGCAAGACAAATGCAATTAAAGGATGGAAATAATATTTCATTTATAGAAGGAAAATATGAAAGCTTCCTAAGGGGTTTGTGAACGAAAATAAGCCATGTGACATAATTTTTGTGTCTGCTTGTGGGTGGGTGGGTGTGTTTGTGTGTGTCACAGAGAGAGAGAGAGAGAGAGAGAGAGAGAGAGAGAGAGAGAAAAGAGAGTATAAATCAATTAAATAGCATCTTTCTGATTAAACAAAAAAAATAAAGGAAGAGAATTACCAGCCGCCCAGAAATCTCACGCAATGCTTCAGCCCATCGAGAAGTTGAATCTGCCATCATGCTGACATTGTAACCCATATCTCTGAAGTATTCAGCAATAGTGATTCCTGAAAATTTCAAGGACACAAGTTGAAGAATATGAAACCAATTCCTCAAATAATAATTAGACTCGAACTCACCAGAAGACCAGTAACATCAGCAAATAAAAGTTAACCAAATCTAAGTAATTTTTCCCAGAAAAAATCTGTAGAAAAGTTCAATTCCTATCTGAGCCACAGTCAATCTCTATGCTTTTTGCTGGCCTATGTAATGGACCATTGAAGGTGATGAAGTTGAATGAAATCAAGCACTTTCATAAGAATAAAATATCAACCTCTCACACTCTAAAGTTCTTTATTAGATTAGTGAAAGCTTAGTGAGACAGCAATTAAGGTTTACCAGTATAGATTGAAGCTTCACGAGCAGCCACAGGCATGTTAGAAGTGTTGGCCACAAGTGTTGTGCGCTTCATCACAGATTCTTCACGGCCATCAGGCAAAGTCATGGTCAATTGAGGAAAATCCATAAGCACCTGGACCATTGATTACTTTGACTTGATCAAATCCAAGACAATCGAAATAGGTAAATAATTATCTGATTATAGAATAACATACCTCAGCCATTTCATTTCCACGTTCTCCACAACCAACATAAACTACAGTGTCTGAGTTAGAGTACTGCACACAAGCAAAACATCTACTGTGAAGTCCAGTGTATAAATAACAATAGGAAATCTCTCATAATTAATCAATGTGTACCTTTGAAAGAGCTTGACTAATAACCGTTTTACCACAACCAAAAGCCCCAGGAATGGCACACGTCCCACCAAGAACAGAGGGGAAAAGGGCATCAAGAACACGCTGATATAAAACAAAGTTGTCAGAAACCACTAATCCCAAAAGATAAATAGAGTCGATAGAACAAACATTTAATCTACCTGTCCAGTGAGTAGAGGGGTATCAGCAGCAAGCTTTGATGCAACAGGCCTTGGTGTACGTACAGGCCATGTCTGCAAATATGCATACCAAATAAAATATAGTTTACAATGATGAACCAAGTGTATGAACACTCTGAAAGTACAACCCACAGAGCAAACAATACAAACCTGAAGCATAGTAAATTTCTTTTTGACACCTTGAAACTCAAGCTCTAACACAGTATCCTGCAAATGCATATAGGAAGAGTCAATGCATTGGTGACAAAGCTGCCGAACATGTATCTCATGAGTTTAAAAAGGATACATTATGTCCAAGAGGAGTACACATCATGGACAAATTTCAAATTATAATTCTCCTTCTATACTATTTCATGGAATTATGAGTTCCAATGTCTTCTAGCTGTCAGACCATGATTTCAAAAATCCACCAGGTACACATATAAAGTTATATATCTTCTCAGTCAAGGACATGCTGTATACAGAACCGTGTATATATCATTTGTATACATGCAACTGTATATACATACTCCAAACATACTACAATGTCAGTTGACAATGATGGTCATAGAATGGGATACCAAAATAGTAATTTAAAAATCAGTCAAACCTTCAATGAATATTGACCAGGTGGTGCAACGTAAGTAATTTTGCCCATAGCATCGGGAGGAAGCGCAACATGGTGCTCCATCAAACTATTTTCAAAGACGGTCTGCAATGCAAAAAATGCCATCCTAGAGTTAGATTCAACTCGAAAGAAAATGACCATACTCAAGTATTCATAAACTACATAAATCCAACAGTTCAATGCTACAAAACTTACAGCATACAAGTCTCCACCAGTGAGAGTATCACCTTCACCTGCCATCAGTGGTAGAAATGAATTTCAAAATCAAACTAACCATATTAACAATGAATTTAATAATTGCCGCTAAACAGCTACACAAATTTGAATTAGGTTACCTATTTTTTTAGGCTGAAACTCCCAAAGTATATCTTTGTCAAGAGCTGGGACAGATACACCACGTGGGATATAGACATCACCAGATATCTTTGCAATAGTTTTCAAAGGCCTCTGCCATGATAAATAAAATAAAATAAAATAAGAACCAGGTAAGCATAAAAAATTGCTCCAATTAATAAAGTTCTCTCAAAATTCTCAAGGTTCACTTTTGGCAAAAGAGAATGCAAAGTAATAAATAGAATCAATTAGTCTGCAAAACTAAAAAAAGAAAAAAGAAAAGCTTCAAAGTAATGTTCAAACAAACCTGGATTCCGTCAAAAATATTTCCCAATATTCCAGGTCCCAACTCCACTGATAAAGGCTGAAACATCAAAATAACAATTATTAGCTGATTCAGTTAAAGCAACTTAAAACACATAGGGTCAAACAAGATGACAGACTCACCTTCCGAGTACGTAGAACAGGATCGTTCACCATCAACCCAGCTGTTTCCTCATAAACTGAAATGGTCATGGAAAATAACTTATGGTTATAATAAAAATTAGCTAATGATTTCTTTTACTGAAATGAGGGAAGCCAAACACGACTAGATATGAATGCAAACAAGAAAGCATGAACATGAAGAAACAAGTAACCTTGGATTGTGGCAGAATCTCCTTCTAACCGAATAATTTCACCAATCAAATTATCATGTCCAACACGAACCAGCTCGTACATGGCAGCTCCAGCCATGCCATCTGCGACGACGACTGGTCCTGAGACCTGTTAATTATATTTGCTAAATCCAATTAGCCAGAAGCAATTCACGCAAAAACAAACTCCACAACCCTCCGCTACAACAATAATAATAAAACAATAATTATGGCAGTGAACAAATAAAAGATACCTAATTAAACAGGTCATAGACACATGATAACATAATAACTCATGATCAAAAAACCCAAAAAGGAGAAGTTCGATGTGACTCGTGATTAAAGCAGCAGGAAAAGTACTCTACTTTTGCTGCTTCAACACACAAATACCACTAAATGAATTAGGTGATTCTTTCCATACTGTTTCATTTTAGATTTCAGTATCTTTCTACTCCGATTAATCAATCACCCATTTTTTTTAGAAATGCAAATCGTACCTTCTAAACGCACCAAGCAATCAAACATACTGATCACAATGAACATATGAACGCCACTACTTGGATCAATTAAACAAAACTAAGCCATTTCATTCAACCATAAAATCGCAACAATTACAAAATCCACAGCAACAGAGCACTGATCCAACGACTTAAAAATTCAATTAGAACACAAACAAAACAGATCGAATTGAATATCGAATTCAAGGAAACTGAAGAAGATGAATCTGATCCGTTCGAATCGATTAGGGAAGTGGAACGAACCTTGCGGACGTAGCCATACTCGCTCTCCTTCTCGGAGTCCTCAAATGTGGTCAATCGGGAACCGTACACCGCTGGCATTTTGGGCACGGATCGGACCGAAAATTCGAGATCTGAGGTACAAAGCTCGACCAAAACCCTATAGGGTTCCAACCGAATTACGGAGAAGATTGATAGGGAGAAAGAGAGAGAGAAATTTACAGACCGAAGAACAGAGAGAGATAAAGAGAGAACCTTTAAGAGGACCCCCCGACTGTAGTTTATGGGATGGTATAATTGGTATCAGAGAGAGAATAGAGGGCCTGATCTGCTGCGGCCGACTGTATTATCTATAACTACATGCGGTCCGGTTGCAACCTGCCACGTAATGAGGGTCCCACAGTTTGCGGATTTAACTGCTGACGTGGTGAGATATAGTTGGTGATACGTATTAAAATGTGAGGAACCAGAGGCCAACGGCGTGTTGCCACGTGCCTGATGTAGGATGTTTCCTGGAAACTGGTTTTTTTCTTTTATTTTTTGTTTTTTTGGATCTGTTCTGTCACTGGGCTCTCCATATATTTCCCTGACCAGTTATCAACTTCCAAGTCACAAGTGTGCTCAACAATCTCTCTCCTCTACCCTTTTCAACATATAGCTGAGCACAAGGGCCTTGTCACAAGGGTTCTTTTGTAATCTACATATTTAAATATCTGGATATTTTAAATGTGGATAAAAACAAATAAGGCTGTCTGGTACTGGTTGTGGCACATGCTAGGTTGTGGTGTCTTGTTTGTCCTCATCATCTTTATTGTCATTTATTTTTCTATTACATATATAGAGCTAAAAAGTCAATAAAATAAAGCCTTTCTTTATTTTCAGAATGTAGTATAGAGTGAGAGAGGATAATATATTAATATTGTTACTTGGTCTATTGGTTGATAAAATTACACATATGGGGGTGACTATCATATTTAATGTATTTCCAATGTATTCATTTTTTTTAATAACATGTAATTAAATTCTAGCCTCTTTTCACACGTCACGCATATGGGTGACCATAACATTTTATGTATTTCCAATGTATTTTGTTTTTTCTAACATGTAATTGAATTCTAGCCTCTTGGGGCATGCTCACGCGTGTGCCTTAGCTTTTTTGTTTTTATTTTTTGGGTATCTTTTAATTAGTTAATTATTGGTGTATATAAAAAGATTATTCAAAATATCATAAAATACCATTGAATAATGCATACATTAAGAATTGAAATTATTAATTAAATAAGGATAATATGATAAATTCACACTTTTTTACATTTAAAAATTTTAAATTAAAGAAAAGAAGATAATTAATCTTATTTTTATGAAAAACAACTACCCATTATCTTTTAGGCCGGAAGCGAGTACGGAGAGGCTTACTATAAATAAAAAAAAAAAAAGGGAGGGAAGGAGGGACATGGGTGTAAGAATAAGACGAAGTGAAATTATGTAGAGTGGACTTTTTTTTTAACTAACTTTTTTCTTAATTATTTTTTTTTTGTGTTATTTGGTTTTTTTGTGTTTTGTTTTTTTTTTTTTTTTTTTTTTTTTTTTTTTTTTTTTTTTTTTTTGCTATTCTACTAATTATATTATATGTATTGTTCTTAACCATGGCCATTTTCAAATTATTTTTTAATGTTTCACCATTTGAGACTTTTCCCTTATATATATTAGATATAAAAATCTTACTAATGGCAAGAGAGTTTTATATTTTTTTCATCTTAGAAAAAAAAGATAAAATTGGTTTACCAAGGCCCAAACCTAGACATATGCCAATGATATGTTGCACTTCCCAAAGTTCAGAAAGGTTTTCAAGCAATAATTTTGTATGTTGGAGCTCAACTATGTAAACATCAGAGGCCCAGTAATTGTAAATCATTAGAAGATCGGAATACTTTCTTTTGGATGAAAAAAGTGAATTATACCTTTATTTCTTTTCCTTTCAGCATTTGTTTCCAATTAACATGAAAGAAAAAGGTTTATTAATAAGTTCATATGATGAATTTGCCTCATCTAAGGTAGGATTTCCTAGCTTGGAGAGCTTGATCATCCGTGACATGCCAAGTTGAGGACTATATGGCACTGCTAACTTGACCCAGGCCCATTTCAAAAGCTCAAACTAGTTGAAGTTTTGAGATGCCACAGTCTAATAAATATCTTTGCGCCATGTATGATGGGAAGATTGAATGCTCTAGGCATATTAGTGTTAAAGCAATGCAAATCACTACAAGTAATATTTAACGTTAAAGAAGCATACGGCACATCGAGGACTCAGTTGAAAACTTTTGGGTGCCCAAATCTGGAGTTAGTTATAATGGATTCGTGTGAGAGTTTAAAAAATATCTTTCCAGCCTTAGTGCCCAATATCTTTCTAGCCAAAATTCATACTAAATTCATCTTAATCATTTATCGCATCGAAACTTTTTGATCTACCAATGCTGTGAGGCTTTTGTTTTTAAAAAATTTGCACTATCAGGGTCTCATCATTTAACTCCTTAATGGTAGAGAAATGCATGATCGAGTTGAAGATTTTCTTAAATAAGCCACTGATCCAAAGTAGTTCAAAACCAAAAAGACAACAAATAACAAAGGAAGTTGAGGAAAAAGAAGAAGATGATGATGGTTGTAATATGTATGCTATGGGTATGGGTTTGTTCAAAAATGGATAATAACATTCTTATTCAAAGTTCATACTAGATTCATCTTAATCATTGATCGCATCAAAACTTTCTGATCTACCAATTCTGCAAGGCTTTTGCTCATCAGAAATTTGCACTATCAAGGTCTCATCATTTAACTCCTAAATGGTCGAGATATGTCTGATCGAGTTGAAGATTTTCCCAGATGAGTAACTAATCCAAAGTAGTTCAAGACAAAAAAAAGACAACAAATAACAGAGGAAATGGAGAAAAACAAGAAGAAGATGATGGTTGTAATATGTATGCTATGGGTTTGGGTTTGTTCAAAAATGGGTAATAGTATTCTTATTCAAAGTTCATACTAGATTCATCTTAATCATTGATCACATCGAAACTTTCTGATCTACCAATACTGCAAGGCTTTTGCTCATAAAAAATTTCCACTATCAGAGTCCCATCATTTAACTCTTTAATGGTCAAGATATGTCTAATCGAGTTGAAGATTTTTCCAGATGAATAACTGCTCCAAAGTAGTTCAAGACAAAAAACACAACAAATAACAGAGGAAATTTAGGAAATGGAGGAAAAACAAGAAGAATATGATGGTTGTAATATGTATGCTATGGATTTGGGTTTGTTCAAAAATGGATAATAGCATTCTTATTCAAAATTCATACTAAATTCATCTTAATCGTTGATCGCATCGAAACTTTTTGATTTACCAATTCTGCGAGGCTTTTACTCATCAGAAATTTGCACTATCAGCGTCCTATTATTTAACTCCTTAATGGTCGAGAAATGTCAAATCGAGTTGAAGATTTTCCCAGACAAGTTACTGATCCAAAGTTGTTTAAGACAAAAAAGACAACAAATAACAAAGGAAGTAGAGGAAAAAGAAGAAGAAGATGATGATTGTAATATGTATGCTATGAATTTGGGTTTGTTCACGAAATGGATAATATCATTCTTATTCAAAGTTCATACTAGATTCATCTTAATCATTGATTGCATTGAAACTTTCTAATCTACCAATTATGCGAGGCTTTTACTCATCAGAAATTTGCACTATCAGGGTCCCATCATTTTACTCCTTAATGGTCGATAAATGCCTGATCAAGTTGAAGATTTTCCCAAGTAAGTCACTAATCCAAAGCAGTTCAAGCCTAAAAAGACAATAAATAACTGAGGAAGTTGAGGAAAAAGAAGAAGAACATGATGGTTATAATATGTATGCCATGGATTTCGGTTTGTTTAAAAATGGATAATAGCATTCTTATTCAAAGTTCATACTAGATTCATCTTAATCATTGATCGCATTGACTTTTACATTAAATCTAAGTATAATTACTTAAGTTATAATAAGAATTAACCTATTCATGGAGCATTATTTCATGACCACACTACATAAATCCATCATCCCTTATGGAATGGAACATTAATATTTGAGAGAATTTGATAGTTTTTTACTTTTAAAAATAATGATTTCTTCATGTTTTCTAACTCTTTTCTCTTTGATGGATTGGAGAGTGAAAGCGTTGAGGCATAATTTCCTTTCGGTATAAATTATAATTGAAGCCAGTAGCATATTTGAAGTTTCTTAAAATAATTAATGTTTTTTAAAATTTAATTAAGGTTTGAATCATTATTTGTCTTTGGATGAGATCTACCGACAGGTGATTATAGTGTTCCTTGGTCCTTGACGACCAGATGAACGCCACTGAATATAGTATTTAGTTATGCAAGTAGCCAAGTGGGTTCACAATGACATCCAGGAGTTGATTTTATTTCAGGGTAATTCATTCCTCAACTTGGAAAAGTTGGGTTTGGACGAGAACATGGAGATTTGATATGAATCACATGGTCCACTTCTAGTAGAGTTATTTATAAATCTAGAAAAAAAAAAAAGATTTTCTCGTGCACACCCCAACTCATTTGCTTTCGACCAAAAATTGCATGGCCTTGAAGAGCTCATTGTTATTGGTGGTCCATGGAAAGAAATATTTGTGTATGAAGGAATTAATAGCGGGGAATGACGACTACAAATCAATTTTTCCACACTTGGAAATTCTAAAGATGTGCGATGTGGCAGATTAAAGAATCCAACTTCATCCGTAATATCCTTTCGGAATCTAATCACTTGAGGGGTAGGAGGTTGTGAGGGACTGAAATACTTGACAACTTATTCGATGGCTAAATACTTATACCAACTCAAAAGGTTGGAAGTTGGGGATTGTAAAAGCTTTATAGAGATAGTGGCAAGCAACGGAAATGAAGAAGATTCAAAAAATTATTATGAGACTGCTTTCAGTTCCTTGCAGCATTTGAAACTTTTTGATCTACTAATTCTACGTGGCTTTTGCTCATCAGAAATTTGCACTATCAGGGTCCCATCATTTGACTTATAATCGTCGAGAAATGCTTGATTGAGTTGAATATTTTCCCAAATAAGTCACATATACAAAGTAGTTCAATACAAAAAAAACCAACAAATAATATAGAAAATAGATGAAAAAGAAGAAGATGATGATGGTTGTAATATGTATGCTATGAGTTTGGGTTTGTTCAAAAATAGATAATAATATTATTATTCAAAGTTCATACTAGATTCATCTTAATCATTGATCACATCGACTTTTACATTAAATCTAAGTATGTATCTAGGTTAAGTTATAATATGGATTAACCTATTCATTGAGCATTGTTTCATGACAACACTACATAATCCATTATCCTTTATGAAATGGAATATCCAATTTGAGAGAATTTGATAATTTTTGGTTTTTAAGAGAATGATTTCTTCATGTTTTCTAACTTTTTTCTCTCTGGGGGATTCCTTGGAGCTATAATTTATCTATCATTGAGGGTTCCCTTATGTTTTCTCTCTTAATCTACATTTGGATTCCTTAGAGTGATGCGTCATCTTAATCATTCATCGCATTGAGTTTTACATTAACTTTGACTATGTATTTGGAAAACAATTATTCATGCAATAATGGAAGATGGATTTCAAGTAGGTTATTTATCTAAATCACTACAAAAGCAACTATGAAAATCTAAGGAACTAATTGAAGAACATAGAAGCTGCAAACAACAGTATAAAGCATATTGTTTATGAAGTTGAAAGAAAAGGTAAAAGAGTCCATGCTGATGTCCATAACTGGCACACTGAAGTGAATGAGTTCACTCGAGAGGCACAAACAAGTTTGAAAGATTAATGCCATGAAAAGACAAAGTGTTTTTATGAATTATGCCCTAACATGGTTTCCTTTCATCAGTGTGGTAAAATTTTAGCAAAGTTGGCGACAAAGATCCAACTCCATGAACAAGTAGAGTTTCCCATTGTTTATAACAATCGATTGGATGGGGAGGAGCTTAAGCCATTGTTCTGGCTGTATGGAATTATTGCAGGGGGAGCTGTACAGTTTATCTCGGAGACTTGTTGTAATATGTATGCTATGGTTTTGGGTTTGTTCAAAAATGGTTAATAGCATCCTTATTCAAAGTCCATACTAGATTCATCTTAATCATTGATCACATCGACTTTTACAATAAATCTAAGTATGTATCTAAGTTAAGTTATAATGAGGGTTAACCTAGGGTTGTTTCATGGCCACATTATATAAATTCATCATCCCTTATGGAATGGAATATCCATATTTGAGAGAATTTTATAGTTTTTGGCTTTTGAGAAGAATGATTTCTTCATGTTTTCTAACTCTTTTTTCGTTGATGGATTCCTTAGAATGACAAGTTATCTATCATTGAGTGTTCCCGTGTGTTTTCTCTCTTAATCTACATTTGGATTCCTTAGAGTGATGCATCATCTTAATCATTCATCGCATCAAGTTTTACATTAACTTACGTATCTAGAAAATCAATTATTCATGCAATAATGGAAGTTAGAAGTCAAGTGGGTTATTTATCTAATTCATTACAAAAAGCAACCTTGAAAATCTAAGGAGCCAATTGAAGAATGTATAAGCTGCAAAAGACATGATGAAGCGTATTGTTGATGAAGTTGAACGAATAGGTAAAAGAGTTCATGTTGATGTCAATAACTGGCACATTGAAGCGGATGAGTTCACTCAAGATACACAAACAAGTTTGGAAGATGAACGCAATGATAAACAAAGTGTTTCTATAGATTATGTCCTAACATGGTTTTCTTTCATCAGCATCGAATGAAATCTGCGAAGTTTGAGAAAAAGATCCAACTCCATGAACAAATAGAATATCCAGTGTTTCTTATAATCGATAGGATAGGGAGGAGCTTAAGTCATTGTTATTGCTATATGCAATTATTACAAGGGAGATTCATTATTATACCCAATATAGGAGCCTAAATTATTACAAGGGAGCTGTATAATTTATCTCGGTGACTTGTTGAAATCTGTATGTTATGGGTTTGAGTTTGTTCCAAATGTTGGTACAATGAAAGAGGCATAGAGACGAATTGTTTTCACTGGCTATAAAGCTTAGAGATTCTTGTATACCGCTAGACAAGGATGTTAATAGAAAAGTTAGAATTAATGCCTCAATTTGTACGAGATGTTTCTATCGGGATTTCATCTAAACATAAACACTTACGCCTTTTCAATCTCTGGAGATGAGCTGAAAAGATGTCCAGATAAGGATGTGTTAAGAAAATACACTTGGATGTCGTTAAACTATTGCAATATTCCAAGGCTTCATTTTTCGTGGCTCGATTTCTTGCACCTTGATTAGTCTGTCTCAATGGGATATGTAAAAAGTGGTTAGATTCTGAAAGGATATTAAGGATGAACATAGAATATTATTCATTAATCTATCACAAGAGTACACATATAGAGTTTCCAAGTTTGGAAAAACTGGGCAATGCACAAATTCGGAGTTGTCATTCCCTAGAAGCCTCGAGTCCTCCATTGACTTAATTGTCACTTTTCTTGTCAAGCTTTTTTTACTTAATTGCTATAGTGCCCCAAACTTTACTACCCTTTTGTCCACTTAGAGCATCTCCAACAGCTTTGGAATGCTAAAATAGGTGATCCACATCATCAAAACCCTCTCTAACAACTTTGTCAAACTTAGTCATCAAAGGTGGAATGCAACCTCTTTCTCTTGCTTCACGACTAGTTAGTTGACATTGGCTCTTCAAAACCTTTAATTTTACTTTGGAAAAATAAAACCTACTTTGAAAATGTTAAAAACATGCATTTTTTCTTTTCAAACAATAAATATATAAACATTTTGGCAAAATTGTAGCGATGATCCCTAGACTAAGACCAAACTTTACTTTTCGTCCCTTATATTGCTAAATTTTACAGTGGTACCTTAATTATGTATCGACTTTCAGAAATCGTCATTTCCATCATCTCAGTCAACTTTTCCGTTAAAAATGATAACGTGACATGGTTACAATGTTTTCATTCTTTGACATAACATTGCATTAATTGAATTGAAAAGACCATTGGGGCACAAAATATTAAAGTAGCAAACAAAGCTTTTCGCATTGCCACTTAGGTCAACAAACTTCAATTTGAAGAGTTTGGTTTGCTACTACTATTGGAGATACTTTTATACTCATTGTGTGTTTTAATACTTTTTATTATAACATAAAATTTTCAACGAGTGTAAATGACCAAAGAAGACAAAGGGAGTGTAAATGGACGTAAGAGGAGTGGGAAAATTAACTCCCTAAAATAATTTTTTTTTTCATAATGTAGTATAGAATGAGAGAGGATAATATTGTTAATTGCCACAGACAAAAAATAAATATCGTTTTTGAGAGAAAAAAAATTGTTAATTGGTCTATTGGTTGAAAAATTACACATAGGGGTCGCTATCACAATTAATGTAGAATTCTTTTATTTTTATTTTTAATTTTTTTGGGGGGCTAACACATGTAAAAAAAAAAAAAAAAAAAAAAAAAAAAAAAAAAAAAAAAAAAAAAAAAAAAAAAAAAAAAAAAAAAAAAAAAAAAAAAAAAAAAAAAAAAAAAAAAAAAAAAAAAAAAAAAAAAAAAAAAAAAAAAAAAAAAAAAAAAAAAAAAAAAAAAAAAAAAAAAAAAAAAAAAAAAAAAAAAAAAAAAAAAAAAAAAAAAAAAAAAAAAAAAAAAAAAAAAAAAAAAAAAAAAAAAAAAAAAAAAAAAAAAAAAAAAAAAAAAAAAAAAAAAAAAAAAAAAAAAAAAAAAAAAAAAAAAAAAAAAAAAAAAAAAAAAAAAAAAAAAAAAAAAAAAAAAAAAAAAAAAAAAAAAAAAAAAAAAAAAAAAAAAAAAAAAAAAAAAAAAAAAAAAAAAATGTGCACAAGAAAATGCAAACTCTTTTAGATTGATAAACAACTTTGCTGGGAGTGGACTATGTGCTTCATACCAAATCTCTGCGTTCTTGTCCAAGTGCAATACTTCCAAGTTGGGGAATGGATTACCCTGAAATAATATCAACATTTGGATGTCATTGTCAACCCACTTGACCAGTTGCATAACTAAATACTATATTCAGTGGCATTCACCTGGTCACCAAGGACCAAGGAACATTATGGTCACTTGCCGTTTGATCTCATCCAAGGGCAAATAATGAATCAAGTATTAATTAAATTAAAAAAAATTAATTATTAAAAAAAAACTCAAATATGCTACCAACTTCAATTATAATTTATACCGAAGTGAAATTATGCCTCACCCTTGCTCAACGGCTTTCACTCTCTAATCCAAAAAGAACTTGGCCTCTGTTCTACCTCAGTCTCTTGTCAATTTCCAATTTTGGTTTTTGTGCTTTAATTTTCTTTGGGTTTTTTCGTTTCTTGGCTAAATTCAGTACTATTCAGTTTTTCTTTATACAATCTTATTCGGTGATTTCATGTACTTTATTGGGGAATCCTACACAAAAAAGAAATGAGGCATTTCTGGAGAGTGAAAGGAAAACGTGAGACAGTGAGAGGAGTAAGTGGGTTTAAGCATTAGTTGTTTTTTGTTGTTGCTGTAATTGAAATTTTGGGAAGTGTTTTTAAATTATTTAAGGCTTGAATCATATTTATCATTGGATGAGATCTAACGCAGGTGACCAAGGTATTCCTGAATCCTTGGTGACACTATCTTCATCTAATGTCATCGATTGAATTATTTTAAATTTTCGAGTCTTTATTTTGTTGTATACATGTCTTTACTATATATATGTTAGTAAATTACTACTCCCTAACCTCGACTATTGTTTTTATTCGACGGATGTGCTTTGAATTTTTTGACAAGGTGGAGGCCAAAAAATTATTTTAATAAAAGAAAAATCTGCAATACTAATAATAATAAAAAATTGCAAAGAAAATAAGTGAAGAGGAATTTCGCTACAGGAGCAAGAGAATTCTGTACCTTGTCAACGAACAAAAAAGGTTGTTTGATTGGTGTTCCCGAATCAAGTCTTTCTTCGAATCTTGAATATTCGGAAGCAAGAATCTCCACTTTACCACATTCAATGAATATCAATGATTTGAGTAATGGCCACTTGGAACATGTAGCCCCGAATAGAAAATCCTCAGTTGGGGCATATGTTTCAATTGCACAAGTGTTACTTTAGAGAACACAAACTCAGGTGTCATTTCTAGTCCGTCCTTGGCAACAATTTCTTCCAATATTCCACAATTCTCCACGTACAGCTCGCTTAGCTGCTGAAGACCTTTGGCCAATGAGGCTGGAAAGATATTTTTCAAGTTGTCACACGAATTTATTTTTACATAATCCAGATTTGGGCACCCAAAAGTTTTCAACTGAGTGGTTGATGATGTGCCGTATGCTTCTTTAACGCAAAGTACTACTCCCATGTCAAAAACTACTTGTAGTGATTTGCATTGCTCTATCACTAATGTTCCTAAAGCATTCAATCTTCTCATCATACTAGGCGTAAAGATATTTATTAGACCCTGGCATCTCAAAACTTCAACTTTTTTTAGCTTTCGAAAAGAGTCTGGGGCAAGTTGGCGGTGCCATATAGTCCTCAACTTAGGTAAGTCACAGATGATCAAGCTCTCCAAGCTGGGAAATCCTACCTGTACACATATTCATCTCATATACCTTTTTCACTAATGCAGGACACATTAATTGGAAATAAATGCATAAAGAAAGGGAAAGAAATTTATAATTCACCTTTTCATAAAAAAGAAAGTGTGGTATAACAGTCTCAAGATTCTCCTTGGAGTTCCTATTGTCATTTTCTTTGCCCATTGTAGTAATTTCACTCTTATAAGATATTCTAGTGGAAGTGCTACCGATAACACATTTCTATTGAAGATCATATTTCATATAAATAGACTTTCGAGAAATGGATCATGCTTTCGTCATGATTCATGAATTTTGTACACTAAATAAAAAGCTAATAAATTAATATACCGTTTTAAATGAATTGTAACTTGGATATAATTTCAATCCTAGCAAGAAACAATATGCATGAAAGAAAAACGAGAAATAAGGCGTAACTTACCATTTCGTCAAAAAGAAAGAATTGTGCATCAGTCCCAATATTCTCCGTGGAGTCCCTGATCTCTTCAGTTGCTTTGTTGATTGTGATATTTGTATTCATGGGATCAAAGATGAATGTCTCCAATTTAGAACAATCCTCTACATGCAATACCTCCAAGGAATGAAAATTAATAGAACGACGTGCTGAGCAAAATCTAGTGAGGTTCGGAAGATATTGTAGCTTTAGATCTTGTAGAGGACTAAACATGTCATGATCTGTATCTTCCTCACTGGATTCGTTTGTTGGTACTATCTCTTCCATGATTTGACACCTGGATATCGTAAGATTTTTGAGTTGTACAAGACTTCTAGCCATGGAAGATGAAAACAAGAATCTCAAACCACCACATCCATCCACGATCAAGCTTGTTAATTTGGGCATCAAAACCTGCACACCAGAATTCATGTTTAGTAAATAACAGCTTAATTACATTTTTAGTATTGAATCTCATACAAAAATAATAATATATAAATTGTGCAAGAGAATCTTATAATTCACATTAATTGGAAATAAATGCATAAAGAAAGGGAAATAAATTTCTAATTCACATTTTCATCAAAAAGAAAGCGTGGTATAACAGTCTCAAGATTCTCTTGGAGTTCCTATCGTCATTTTCTTTGCCTATTGAAGTAATTTCACTCTTTCTATCAAAGATGAATGTCCCCAGTCTAGGACAATCCTCAATATGCAATGTCTCCAATAATGAAAATTCAATATAACTTCCGGAGTAGAATCTAGTGAGGCTTGGAAGATGTTGCAGATTTAGAGATTTTAGATTGCAAAACATGTTATCTCTATGTTCTTGATTGTATCCACTTGTTGATACTATTTCTTCCATCATTTGGCATGTGGATATCTCAAGATGTTTGAGTTGCTCAAGACGTCTAGCCATGGAACATGAAAACAAGAATCTTAAACCATCACATTGATGCAAGATCAAGCGTGTAAGTTGGGTATCAGAACCTGGGTATAGTACACAATTCATGTTTAATTAGGGAAATGACAATTTACATGCTCATCAGTTGTATAAATTCCCAAATGAGTTGACAAAAAGTAAAGGTCTAATATGTCCTTGTGGAGTAAAAATGTATCTGAAAAAGAAAAAGTGGCCTCAAAGTTTATTAGTCTATTAATTTAAAATATAACACATTTTTGTTGAATCACTGAATATTGTACACTAATAAATAGACTTTCGAGAATGGATCATGCTTTCGTCATAATATGAATCATTGAATATTGTACACTATTTAAATGGATTATTTTCTACCTGCAGAAAGAATGACCAAAATGAAATATATACAAAAGCAACTAATTTGTTAAGAAATAAATATAGAACAAATCCGAATGATATGTAGAAAGGCTGGGCATATGAAACCGCAAAACGTACCTCTCCATCCATGAAAGTTTCGTGGGTCCACCAATTTCATTCTCCAAAATGATTTCTTCGGCCTCTGTACTTACAACTGACGTGCTGCCTTTGGAGGAGAAACCAATAAGCTTTGGCAGATTCCACAAAGTCAAAGATCGTAACTTTTGAAAAGGCTGAGCTATGAGTTGGCCACAACATACATTTTCCAAATTAACAAGGTTGTAAAGAGATAGTGACTCCAAGTTGGGGAAGGCAGACTCGAGTTAATGACATCTGTAACTTCATCGTTGTTTTGGACCCGGAGTTTCTTCAGTTGTTTACCTCTGTCACTTGCTGATATATAGGAAATAATATTTGCAGCCTCCATCCCATCCAAGTACAAATGTTCACATCTCTTAGCAGCAATTTTATACCTTGGCCGAATTGACTGTTTGTAGTGAGCTTGAGTTTTAACATGTTAGAGGAGGTTCCTAAAATATAAGGAAATAGCCAACAATCACCAATAAAGTATGGTGTATCTTTCTAACTTTGTATCCGAGAACATGTTTGCTGGAAGAAGCTTAGATTGGAATACATATCTCTAATGCAGTTAGTTGATGCAATTGTTTCAGCTCTGACACGCTCGCATTACTTCTTCCATCATTTAAACCTCCTTCCCATTTCTTAAGCTTCCGATTCTCAAGTCTTCTAGACTTGTCAAGCTTGATATAACGCCAGGTGGGATCCGTACAAGTTCAGAGCAATGAGTCAAATCCAACAATTGTAGACGAGTCAATTGCCCTATTTCTTTGGGCAACTCTTTCACCTTAGAATATAAAAGGCTAAGAATTTTCAAGTTGTTAGCCGTCCAACTAGAGCTATGTCCCCCAACATGCACTGATCTAAACACAAAGTTTGAAGATTTGTAAGGGATTGAGAGATGAAAGCAGTGACGGAATTCGCATTCTGGTTACGTCCAACACTTTGAGTTCATCTCACCCTTCAAAAAGTTGCCTGGATTTCCATGGAGTCAGCATCACATGATGCTTCCCAAAGACAAAATCTCAATTCTGGGCATGCCCAAGGTACTTTCAGGAAGTCTGGGATCTTGCAGGACTTCAAGAGATAGCAGAACATTTTTAAGGAATCCTGATCTGGCCATTCTTTCAGCGCATCTCCATATGCTCTTGAAAAGCGTGTTTATCTTAAATGCAATCCAGATAGCAACATCTCGTACAGCTCATGCATTCGTACAGTCCCATCCTCATACCATCTAACAATAAACAAGAATCTTTTAGTTTTTTAGCCAATGAATGCAATCTTCCGCGCCTCTTCCAACGTATCAACATTTTTAACCAAACCCAAACCCACGGCACAATGCAACAAGTAAAACAGATAAAATTGAAACTGCTCCCCACTGCAATAGTTCCACAGAGCAAGAACAAAGCTGAAGCTCCTCGGGCATCCAATCGATTGTAACTCACTCATAGCCAAGTAAGCTTTTTCTGTCAATCTTTTTGTCAAAACTTTTGAAGCTCCTCAAGGCACGTTCATACCTCTGAAGTAGTACATGATCTTAGAGCGCTTTGCAACAGCAACAACTAAAACCGGGCAAACCTCCACATTTTTGTGCTACTTGGTTGCTACATTCTGTATACGCTCATCTTTAACAACATCACCTGCCTCTTCTCAAATAAACTCCAATTTTCGTTCTCACCTAAAACATCAAGCCGAAACACTTTTGTGTACGCATCTCAGAGACTACATCTCTAGACGTCAAGTATATTTTACAAGTTGCCATTGGGCGAAGTCCCAAAAGCCTCCAGATCAATTGCTTCCCGACATCATCTAAAATTACAAAAATGTTCTTGTCTTTTATCTATTCCATAGATGCTTTTGCCCTCGCTTCTATATCCTGATTTTCATCACATCATACCTAACTTTTCAGCAATTTTTTTGAATTCTTTCCATTTTTTGCAAGTCTGGGAACTTTTTCACATCCAAGACTAGACCCCCTCTCAAATAAGGTTTCTCTTCCGTAGCTTGCTAAAACTTCTTGGCGAGTGTGTCTTCCCAACACCGCCCAATCCGTACACCCCATCAGTTTGGTTCAGGATGGTGCAGTTCCTTCCATGTTTCCGTCACCATTGAAATCCTTATTCAAAGGCCAGGTAGTTTGGAGAGGGCGTGGCACTATATCGCTTCTAGGGGAGGGTTGTAAGAAACAGTGGTAAAACTTTTCTTTTTGTCATAGGGAGTTCATCTTTCCTGTCATTGTACGGATTTCCGCTAAGCTGAGATAGGAAAACCAGGCTTAGGACGTACTCCACGGAAACACTTTGTCTTGCATGGTCTTCATAGCGTCCTCCCTTAATTCTTTTGCCTCTGAAACATCTCTTCCGCTTCTGTCCCCATTTTTTGACGTCAGGTACGACTTTTGTTTTTGCCTTGTTGTTTCTTCGTCTTCATCACCATTATGCTTCATATTGTCTTGGCCCTCTAAAATTCTCTCATTTGCTCCTTCGGATTTTCAAAGTTTCTTGGAGGGACTTAGATAACCCACTTGCCGCCCAACAGGTTGTCTGTGTGTACATTATTTGAGAAAGAATAAGTGATGGGTCAAGATTGTCATGCTTGCTATTTTGTGCTTTGGAATTCCAGACTCCTCGTGTAGTATATATCTGTTGAATATTAAACGAACCCAGAGAACAAGAAAATGAAAAAGAGTCATTAAAAAAGGAGTTTCACTAAAACACCAAAATGAGCTGAAATTATACAAAAAACTCAACACCCAAACACTTTATAAACACACCCAAAACCCTCATTACACACACTCAAAACCCATTTATAAACACACCCAAAAAATATACATTTATTGATTTTGGGTGTGTTTCTATGTTTAAATAATGCTTGAGTTTTTTTATAAATACAGTGTCTAGATTGGGTTTTATTATAAATTTGTATTAAAAAAATAAAACTTTTTATACATAAATAAATAAATGTAAACTTTTTGTGTCTAAAGTGATTCGAAAAGTTTATTCAAAATAATATGAATTGTCACGTTTGTCTCTCGAATTTGTTTATGGCCCTTAACTAACAAGTACTAAAAATAAATATTTTTTCAATTTCAAATGCTAAATTCACTTTCATCCAAAAAGAAAGTATGTTAAAATTCTAAAACAGTATTGATTTTCTTTGTTTATTTAATCGAAAAAAAGAAGTTGGATTTACTTCTGAAATATTAAGTTCACATAAAGCTCACATAACAAAATAAGACAAAATACAGAGGACAAATAAGGAAATAAAAAGACGAAAATTAATACCTTTCTCTCCTTTGGTTGCGAATGATATCACTTCCCTTCAAATGCTTTAAACACTGCAGCACAATCGGCCTAATGATGAGACAAAGCTGACTCTACTACGTTTTTTTTTATTTTTTTATTTTTTTTTTTCCTTTGAAAATAAAGCCAATCAAAGAGGTATAATAACAGAACGAAATCAAGGGGTCACACGAAAACCCGAAATTCTACTTTCTATTTTTTATTTTTTTTTTTTATATAATATATCTAATGCATTTTTTTGGACACCCGCAAGGACAATGCGACCACTTAAAAAAAAAAAAATGCACACAATGAAATCAAGGGACAACAAAATCAGCAAATCTGAAGGGGAATTTTTTTTTTTTTTTTTGGGGGTGGTTTTTGATTGGATTTTTTAATTTGGAATTAAAGCAAAACAATCTAAGCAGAAGCTGGTTGCTGCAATGAAGAAACTGAGGTGCGCTGGAGTCTCTTATCAGAAAAAGCTGTTGCTGCAATGAAGAACGAAAATGCCAGGAGACACTTAATCAGTGGGGGTGGCAATCATTGAAGACAAAGAAACGAAAGGTCCAACTGTCTTTTTAGAATTTTGTTGTTTGGCAGATGGCGTAATTGAATAATGTCCTATGTGTCGTCATACATAAAAGAAGTCATGATGTCATGATTCATTCTTATTATGCTGCTACTTAGCTGTATAGTGGCAAATAAAGTTACCAACAGAATAAGGTTGAGTCTTTGGTGAAAAACCTAGTGGCAGAGGAAACTTGTAGGCTTTGTTTGGTATGCATGACTATCATAGGCCATGGATTATATTTAGGGACTGTCATGAATTCGCTTGAGTTTGGTTTAAGCTAGATAAATTTGTCTCGTGTTTGGTGTATTCACTTGGCTTGGTCTAACCTTATTATATCACATTGTGTGTATCAATCACTCATGTTATATTACGTGTATCTGTTATTAATATTAGTTATAGGTTTATGAATATCAACTTGCAGGCTCTCCTATGGGGCCATTGACACATGGTTTCTTCTGTGTTTCTTTTGATTGGCTTTTATAATTTGTAGGGCTCTCATATAATGCTCCCATAACAAAAATAAGAAAATAAAGAGCAGAGGAAATGAACACAAAGAGGAAACAAGAAGGCGCACCTTATACCTTTTGCGCTTTTGGTAATGAATGTGGCCAGTTGCTCTTCAAATTCCTTTGCTTATAGAACTGGGAGTACATAGGACTAAGAACTCTGATTCTTCTTCTTTTTTTCCCCTTGTAATGAATAAGGCTCGTTCAAGAACAATCACAAAGTAAAAGCAAAACGAATTCGTGACACAATCAAATCAAGGGACAAATGAAAACCAGGAAATTGAAATGCCATCCCCTCCAAAGGCAATACTGTTTTTTCTTCTTCTTTTGATTGGCTTTTTACAATTTGAGAAGTAAAAGACGTAAACTAAGCCAAAGAAGGTTGCTGCAATGAATTGAACTGAAAGTGCAGAGGAGATTTTGATCAATAGGGTGGATGGCATTATGAAGACAATGAAACGAAGCGTCAAACTCTCTTCAGTCAATTATTGTTTCTCGAGCAAACCCAAACTCTTTATAATTAAATATCTGAAGGTTCACCTCCTTCACTTGTATTAGCCCTTGTTTTGGGTTAAATAAATGGCTGTATTAGTTGACGTCAATGTAAAATGGAACTAATAGTTGATGGCAAGTGGCACAAGGGCGCAGGCATAATCTAAACCAGATCCCATCTCAACTTAATACTAATATAACATAGCATAGTCTTCGATGACGGACCAAGAACTAGAATTATAAGTTATCTTATCTCGAATCAGTTGAAAATTCAAGTCTTTTTAAAAAATTTTAAGTCCAAAAGTGAATATATAAACAAAAAATTGTACCAAAGTGACCTCGGAACTACCCTATTATTATAAATTGAGTCACATAGTCTTTGTTTTTTATTTATTTAAACTTTTAAAAGTTGTTAACATTGGGAAAAGTAAGTGCAAACATTAACGGTACAACATAAAACAGGACAAGATGTGTTCTGATAATTGAAGTCATCAGTGGTGCAGTTTTCTTGTAGACAGTTGGTATAGATGTGTTGGGTCAGGGAAGCTTTCAAAATTTTGAGATCAATGACGGTGCTCAGAGGATGTCTCTTTCCCTTCACTTAGCAGGTAGTTTTAGCGAATAGTCCCTAAAAGTCTTACTGGACTTTTACTGATCAAAACATCCCATAGTTTCCAAAACACCTCAAATAAAGAATTTTTTGGTGGGTGCTTTGGTGGCTATGACAATACATTTTTGGATAGTTTGAAGCAACTACCATAAACATGCAAAACGTTTGGTTACAATCTCTCAAGAAAATATACTTCATCCATTTTGAGGATCAACAACAAGAGATGCGTAAAGAGCAGAGTACAGGAAGAAATGCCAAAATTTATGACTAGGTGCACGCACCAAATGCAATGAACACAAAGAAAAAAAAAAAAAATTAACAAAAGATAACAGATGATGAAGTCTCCATTTGCAACCAGCACATAGCAGAGCTGGAGACATACAAATCGGTTCGGTTCTTCAATAAACTAAAAAAACTAAAAAAATAAAGCGATTGGTCCGATTCGGTCAAAAATCCAACCTTTTTTTTTTGTCAAATTTTTTTCCAGCCCTAGTTGCGAGGAGAGATTGTTCAGTGCTTGGGAAACTTTTTGTTT